ATAGTATAATACTTTAAAGTAATAATATTAGAATCTAATATATAGATAATACTTATTAATTAGAAGTAAGCCTTTAATTAGTATCTTTACTATAAATACTTAGTTATTAAGAAATATAAGAGAACTAGAAACCTAACAGTTACTAACATTATTATATTTAATAATTAATATATAAGAACGTATATTAACCCTATACTTAAGCTAATATATTATAATTATAGTATATAGAACCTTATACCTACTAAGTTATAGGACTACCTTAATAGTAGTAAGAGTTAGACCTTATACCTACTAAGTTATAAGACTACCTTAATAGTAGTAAGAGTTAGACCTTATACCTACTAAGTTATAGAACTACCTTAATAGTAGTAAGAGTTAGATCTTATACCTACTAAGTTATAAGACTACCTTAATAGTAGTAAAAGTTAGATCTTATAAAACTAAATTAATAAGGTTAAGTAGTTAAATATAATTAGTACCTTACGTCTATATAATATTTAGTATATATACCTTTAGTACTAATTATATTTAACTACCTAACCTTATTAATCTATAGCTATAGTACTAATTATATTTAACTACTTAACCTTATTAATTTATAGCTATTTGTATCCTAAGAGTTCTGTAAATAAGATAGTTTAAATATACTATTTAGTATTACTTTCCTTATAAGTAGCTTTTTAAAGGTTTAATTTCCTATACTCTTAATAATCTAGATAGATAGAGGGCCTAAAGTTATTTCTACTATAGAGATAGTTTTACTAGAGCCTTATTACTAAAAAGCTAACTTCTACTAAGTATAGGTATTCTAGCAGTCTTAATTACATTAAGATAGGAGATCTAGTTAGAGGATATTATACTATAAAATATAGTAGTCTTTATAGTAAACTTAGTAGTAATCTTTATAGCACTAATATAAGAGCTATACCTAGAGGTAGTAGGTTTAACTAGGACTAGATATCTATAATACAGAGCTATTACTAGAATAATAACTTAAAGAGCTAGTTACTCCTAGAGGTAGTAGGTTTAACTAGGACTAGATATCTATAATACAGAACTATTACTAGAATAATAACCTAGCTATAGTAGTCTTTAAGGTAGACTTAGCAGTAATCTTTATAGTATTAATACAGGAATTATACCTAGGAGTAGTAGGTTCTACTACTATATTAGTATATAAGCTAGTTACTTCTAGGAGTAGTAGGTTTAACTAGAACTAGATATCTATAATATAGAGCTATTACTAGAATAATAACCTAGCTATAGTAGTCTTTAAGGTAGGCTTAGTAGTAATCTTTGTAATATTAATATAAGAGCTATACCTAGGGGTAGTAGGTTCTACTACTATATTAGTATATAATTTAGTTATACTAGAAACTAACTTCTACTAAGTATACTAGGACTAGATATCTATAATATAGAGCTATTACTAGAATAATAACCTAGCTATAGTAGTATTTTAATAGAAGAGCTTATAGCATGCTTTTATTAACCTAGCTATAGTAGTACTTTAGGAATAGTAATTACTAGCTCTAGCTTAACTATATCCTTAGAAACTACTAGTATATTAAGGCTAAAGACTATTATATTTTACCTTTTTAAGATTTTCTTCCTTATATTTAGTCTATTAAATCTTAGTTAATATTTCCTTTTTATATTTTACTTTCTTCTTAGCTTTTTATCTTATAGCTTAATACCTTTAGAAATCTATTATATATAGAACTTATATAGAAGTTAAGATATAAAACTAAGTTACTCTTTAGTAATACTACTAAATCTATTATTAATATACTAACTATTTATAAGTAACTAAGGTAGGAGATCCTTTATAAGTAAGCTTTAGAAGGAGTAGATTACTATAAGTAGATAGAGTAAGGCTTAGTATATAACTTAAGAGATATTTTCTATTAAAGTATCTTTCTATTTAATAGCTAAGAGTATATCTACTATAATATAGGTATAGTATTTAACTAAAATATAATCTATAGATAAAGAAGGTACTTATATATATTTTAATAGCTTCTTTTTATATATCTAGTTAATAAAGATATTAAATATATTAGTATTAACCTAGTAGATAGAGATAATACTATTAGCTATCTCTTTAAACTTACTAGATAGCGTACCTTAAAAGAAGCCTAAATAGTACTAAAGAAGCTTTTTCTATTAAAGTATTTTTCTATCTAGTTAATAAAAATATTAAATATATTAGTATTAACCTAGTAGATAAAGATAATACTATTAGCTATCTCTTTAAACTTACTAGATAGTATACCTTAGAAGAAGCCTAAATAGTACTTAAGAAGCTTTTTTTATTAAAGTATCTTTCTATCTAGAAGCTAAAAGTATATCTGCTATAAGGTAGGACTAATATTTAATAGAGATATAATATACTAAAAAGAAAAGTATTAGTATATTCTTTAATAGCTTCTTCTTATATATCTATCTAATAAAGAGGTTAAATATATTAGTATTAACTTTACTAATAAAAAGAATACTTTTTATTACTACTTTATACTTTCTAAGAAGTATACTATAATAGAGTTTTAAATAGTAATAAAGAAGCTTCTTATAAAGGGTATATCTCTTCTTTTAGCTTTAGCTATAATAAGGATAGTACTTAACTTAGTAATTATACTTATTCTACTTTAGCTCTAACTATAATAAAGATAGTACTTAACTTAGTAGTTATAATTACTTTACTAGTAATAAACTCTAAAGGTAATAGGTTAAAAAAAAAGTTTAAATAATATTAGAGAAGCTTTTTATAAAGAGTATATCTCTTTTTTATTAAATAGAAGTATATTTATTATATAGTAAGTTAAATAACTTATTATTAAAATACTAATAGTAATAAATATAGGCTTTAACTAGATTTTTAGTATCTTTTAACTACCTAGTAAAGTATTTTAGGATATTAATAGTAGTATTAAGAGTTACTGCCTAATTAAGCTTAAGATAGTAGTAGTACTTAAAGTTTTACTTAATAATAAAGACTCTACGTAGTATAAAGATATCTCTACTAATATACTTACTAGGCTGTAATAGTTAAGAAATATACTATTTATAGTATAATTTAATATATAATAGTTATAAACATCTTTATATACTTATTATAAATTAAGGTATAAATTTACCTACCTATTTAATAATAAACTATAGTTATTTTATACTAAGTTTATATAAATTTACCTTACATTTTATACTATATTGTAGTATAAAACGCAGTCTTTCTTCTGTGTTTTTTACCTAATAAAGCTATAGGGTAAATTACCCGATTTTGTACCTTAGTGAGCGCGGCATCTAGCAACTTTATCTCTACGCCGAACAAGCAACTTGCGCGCATGATATCGTTTTCCTTCTAAATTAACAAATCCCCATACATTAGTTAGATGCCATCCACCCTTCTCGCTCGTTACCGATGCCTTGATGTGCTTCAGTCCATCTGGGCCTGAAGACCTCTCAATCAGCCAGTCGTCCTTCAACCATGCATCGTCAAGTTCAGACAAGTCTGACCAAATCGATGCACTTTTGATACGACCGAGATTGACGTGGTTCATCGATTCTTCGGAACCATCGAGCACTACTAAAAGGTGTAGCTGCGGTCAGTAGGTTTGTCATATATGTAATGTTTGTGACGATAAATTACTTACACCATTCAGCTCCGCCCTTGAATCCGCCAGAAATTCGCAGCTCAATGTCATACCGAAGGACATCACTTGGGGTTTTCGACTGTTTGATGTGTTCGATGACCGTGACAATACCTGCCGCCTCGAAATCGTCAACTCAATGCCAAATTACCTAGAGAGCTTGGGCATGTACCTGTCTCTTCCACCAAGCTTGTCCTTGAAGTGTCAACAAAGCATCAGTGGAGTCGGAAAGACCTTTGTGAAATATCCAGCGGCCCTCTACAGGGCGAGGAGGTACGATTAGTATGATTTTTAACATCTATTCGTGCTTTCACACTTACCCATGTTCCAAAGTGACGAACTCTCAGGTGCTGCCATGTTTAGGTGATGATGACGACGTCGAATAACAAAATTGGTGTGAGAAAAGGAAGATCAGCTATCCAGTGTGGTACAGGCCACAGCTACATAGAAACGCAAGATCCCAACAGCGTGATTATCGGCGGCGCGCACTGAGACCAACACACCCGGACTTCGGGCGTCGGAGACATGCGGTCACATCACGCAATTCGGCGCTTCGGTCCAATCCCTCTAAATTCGGGGCGATTCGAGGGTATGGTCAATCCCGCCAGGTTTAGCGGAAAACCCTGCATTGCACCATACTCCACTTTAGTCCCGAACCAACTCTACGTCCCTTCGAAGTTCAAGAGCCGCTATCGTCGGGACTCGGAGCCGACTTGGAACCAATCTTGAAACCACAATTGACACAGTATATTGGATGATACAAAGAACTTGAATATTAAGTGCTCACTAACTCTTGCAAAATTTCCTCCATATGTCTCGCCGGCAAACTTAGATGCCCCTCATCCAACACGAATAATCTCACACCCCTCAATAGCGTAACTGCTCTTCTTGTCATGCTGACAGGATTGCCAATGTCCATGTTCCCATGCCACAGAGTCAAGCGAGTAGCATGAATCTCGTCTAGTGGAAAGCCCCAGTCTCCTCCCAAAAGCCTAGCCTCCCAGGCAAATGCGTAACTGTTCGCTCTGATACCTTCCCTGACTGATGATAAGAACTTCTTTTTGTATGATTCATCCTCCAAACAAGCGTGGTCGATCTCAGGACGCATTTTGACATCCCTCATGAATGCCTTGTTGAAGGCTCCTGGATCTTTTGCTCGAGCTGCACGACCTAGCACTAGGTATATAAGTGCCGCCATAAGAGGGGTCAGCCATACTGCGAGGAATACCATGATCCGTGGCATCAGTGGCATATCCTCAATCCCAAGTTCGAAAGGATAGATGCCCGACACAATAGTCGCTCCGCGAACTCGACCCTCGGGTAGTTGATGTAAACAGGCAAGAACGTAAGCACCGCCGCCTGAAGTTCCAAGTAGATAGAACTCGTCAAGTTCGAGGTGATGGAGCAAAGCAGCTACATCGCGAGGCCAGTCCGTAATGCTGCGTTGGGGCTGGAATGATGAAAAGCCGAAGCCTGGTCGGTCGAGCACGATCAGTCTTATGTGGTATTTCAGAGCGGCATCATGCCAGAGGGCCCCTTCGAGTCGCGATCCTGGGAAGCCATGACAATGTAGGACTGGGTGTCCCTGTAGATCGCCGTAAATTGCATAACTGAGGTAGCGCCCATCTGAGAGTTGAATATAGTCTAGCCGACATGAGTGAGAGAAGGATTTATTCATTATTCCTGGAGTCTGACGATCGAAAACTGGTTGAAGTTATAAAGCTTTCTATCAGTATTAATGTGCAGCTGTAGTCTTGTGGAAATGGTCGGAGACATATCGTGTTGCTAGTATTGATAGATCGCCGACCATGAAACTATCCGGGATGAGTCAGGTAATAGTCAACAGATATTATTAAATATAACATGGTAGAACCATGATCAATATTCTGTTTCTTACACGACTCGGAGCGCTTCCGTGATTTCATCCATATCAGATCTCAAATCTCGAAGACGGCGTCTGCCATACTTCTTGCTTTCCATGTCTTCGTGTCTCATCATCGTTTTCAGTAGATCTAATGAGTCATAACGGGAGAGTAGACCGATTCCGCCTCTGGTGTCGTTCGATGATCTACGTAAATCAGAAGCGGGCTCGCTCGCATAATCTCGGGTACAAGGTTCCTCCGACGGCATCAAGCTCTTCCTGTTTGATCTTGATGTCATCGATGCATTCAAGAAACAACGGCAGCCAAGAGCTGATTCCATCATATCTAGGAGATAGCTTGCCGTCTGCACAAGCACTATTGCTTGAAGGTGTCGCGATATCTGGAAGGGAGAATGTTCCGCTTTCAGTCCCTGGAAAACTTGTGGGAAGTAGGGACATCCTGAAGAGGTGTGCATTTCCAAGTTGATGGACAAGATTCCAAAAAGATTGCTGAAGAGACGCAGTATTTGCAAAAAACATCCCACTATCAAAGAGAGCATTTGTGTGCTTAGGCGAGGGGTTGCCGAAGAAATCACTGTATGATCATGGGAATAGGGCGAAGCATGTGCCACGGGATGGTCGAGCCGCTGGCACGCGAGGCATGGTTGCGACGCCTTTCTTTCGAAACTATTTAATAATTCGAGAAAACGCTGAGAAGCGTCGAGAATCTGGGTGACTAGGGATGAGCTTGCCGATCTGCTGTCCCCATGTTGCGTGTGTACCCATTGAGCTGACTTTTCGCTGTGTGACACAATGTCCTGCAGCTCGAGGTTGAGTTCACTGAGCTGTCGCATGTTGATTCCAGGAACCGAATTATCGGGTATATGCGGCGAGGGCGAAGCCTGGTACCGCGCGTGCGAGTGGCTTTCCCCGCTATTGTGAATTTCCAACGATTCGGTACTCTCCACGGCTTGTGTCAAAACACTCTCGGTGGCCAGCGAATGGTACTGGGCGATATCATGGTTTCCTTCAAAATTGCCCGTAGATATGTCCATTTCATGTGTAAAGTTCATGTCGAGTATGCTCTCCAGAGAGGGGTCGAACGATGTAAAGGTATTAGAAGTTGGTGAGAGACCTGCCGGCATACCAATAGTTCTACTGCCTGCCGACCCAGAGACCGATTGGAACATCTCTGACCCTCCGCTATAACTATCGATCGTATCAAGTGTTTCCCCCTCTGCACCTTCAAACCACCTGGAGGGAATGGGTCTAGAGATGGTCTCCTTATCGTTTAATATTGAGGTGTTGAAAGCTGTTGGTGATTCTGTCACATCATTGATCCCTCTGTTTTTGTCTGGTATGTCCAGTGTTGACTGGAGGCCTCGTTTTGTGGGGCGACGACCCATGCGTAGTGATGGGCTGCGGATACATGGAACTTGCGCGCGGCAACAGCGATCGCATAAGGTTGCAGAGGCCTCGTCGTAATTGCATCGAAGTTTATGCGCTCGGCATCGATCACATGCTGCTCGTTTGGGCGCTTCCATACTTCTGATATGTCAGCATCCACCTCCGACGTCTGGTTTATGTCCTCAGCTTACGGAAGAGTCGTTGATGGTAGCGGCCAAAGCAATCATGGCTAAGCTACGGGTAGCGGCCACGGCCTACTTAAGTAGCATGAGTACCTAATCACTGACCCTAGAGCCACTAAATCGATTTCTGCATCCTTTCAAATAGTTCGAAGAGTTGCCAACATCTATCCTTGAGTCATGTAAGGGCATTGTGCATGGTAGGATCAACAGCGACGATTTCATGCTTATACTCGGTTCTTCTCTGGTTGCGATGGACAAGACAGCTCAGTAAGCTTACTGTGTAGTATCACTCGTTATGATTGTTGAATTCAATATGCATGCCTTAATTTGCAAAGACCTATCCCTGACAGATTCAAGCTATTCCTGCACAAACAAAAACGCTCTGTCTGAACAGGTATAGACTCATACATACTACAATGGTCTATGGATATTTCTCGCAGTTGCATGAATTCAAACATTTTCATAACCGTGCCACCATGTACACGCAGGAATTCAAGCACGTTGTAAGATTACTCTAGGCTTAAAATTGTCACGTGCTTGTCTTCCCGCCCCTGTCCAGGTGGCACGGTAACCCGTCTGAGGGGAGCTGACTGTACTGTGCATGGTAGAGTTTGTTCGTGTATGCGCAAGGGTCTGGAAAGAGTTGGTATTTAGATGATCCAAACGATCGCTGGCTCCCATTGCTCGAAAACTACAAGCATATCACGACTATCAACACAGAGCGAGATTTGACTTATTTCTCATGTAATGCCACATGTGATGTCGATGCAAAGCTCGCGTCAAAGATAGCCGGTATTGCCGGTATTGCCAAGCTAATCATATTCAGCTCCATTCCTGAAGGAACATGTGGAGGTGTCCGAGAAAGGCAGGCGGGGGATCGTCTGACGAGCATATATCATATGATAGGATATATGCCAAGTAATTGTTGAGACCTAATCTTCTAAGGGTCAGGGGGTTAAAAAGCAGAGGTGAAAGAATTTTGTCAACTATGTGGTTGAGAAGGCACGCAATCAATACATTCTGTCAATCTCCTTGAAGCTCACGTTTGGCCTTCTCCAGCTTGCTGGAGCTCGGGCGTACGTCTGCCTGCGTCTGACACTATCCACGGGCTGAGTATACATCTTTAAACAGCTTACTGGGGCCTGTTGGAAATACTTTGACACGCCCCGTACCAATAATGGCTAGTATGAAAGGGGTCAGCAGGCGTGCTGTGGACAGGCTCTTCCTTGAACGAAATCATGTCCTTTGATACGATATCCCATCGGTTTTCCGCATCAGCCCACTCGATCATGATTCAGGTTGTTGGAAGTTGGCAGGTTCTAACGCAGTCGATTACCCTCGATATCTACTGTTCCGGTTTCGGTAGACGTCTGCACTACATCGATGCAGCACTGAACAAAACGACAGCTTGTTTCGCATTCGAGAACTGGTTCGTAAGAGTGTACCATCTCTGATCGAGATCCCGTCGTGCCTTGTCGTCGAAAATCCGAGAAGGTTTTTGGATGATCATGTCCGACACATGCGCATGCAAAGAGCTACCGGTCATGCCAAAACTTGGCATATGCTCACTATAAATCTGATCCAGCCCACCGGTGATGATCTCCCGCAGCTGTTCGCAGAGCTGCGTAGACAGCGTCAGCATAACCATCATATGCATTGAGACGGTCGATAGAGAAGGCGATCCCTCCGGCTTGCTGTTTTGCAGCTGGGCGGGGATGTATGATCCGATTTGCAGTGGAGGAAGGCGGACCGCCGGCTCCTCGCCGGGCCATGGCAGCTGGGGATTCTGCGAACACGATCGTATGTTACTCGCAATAGACCCGTATACGTCTAGCAGTCGATGATAGCAAGATAAGATCAGTAGGGTTGTTGCTTGATCAATAGAGGCGTCACTAGATAGAGGGTCGTCGAGAGAGAGTTGAAGTCGCTTTAAAAGTGTGATGAGGGATCTTGTGAGCGTGAAGGTTTCGTCGATGGCGAAAAAACGGTTGACTGAGAAGTCGGGTGTCTGGACTGTGTTTTCCGAATGCAGAGGTGCTGGCAGTGTGCAGAAATGATTATACAAGCGAACGTTCAGATTGGCCAATTCACGAATGGCGTCGGCGATTGCAAGCGGTTGGGTGTCTTGCCCCTCGAGCGATGTAGACATACTGCCCACACTCTCGGTAGGAAACAGGTTACTGAAGTCCATTGTCCAACTGTCGAAAGAAGGCGAAGTGGTGTTTGGTAGACCAGCTACAGAGCACGGTGAGTCGTCTACAAGTAGACTAGTGGAAAGTGCCAGTGGTGCTGTCCTGTCTGCAGTGGCGTGCTCCCTTTCTGGCTCGCGGACCTTGCGCTGGCTCCGAGCACTAAAAGTGCACGAGGTTCTGTGTTTAGCACATCTTAGACATTTTTGCAGATCTACTGTTTTTACGCAACGCAGTTTCTGAGCGTGACAGCGATCGCAGGTACTGCGCAGTCGTGGTCCAGCGAGCAGCTCTTGCGTGTGGGAACGAACCATACCAGCGGATAAAGGTATGAGAGAAAGCGACGTTGGTTCGGGTGCAAGAGATTGCCCGTCGAGCTTGGCGTCAGCTAGATTCGTCAGCAACCATGTGCACCACGTGCTCAGCTAAGACACCTCCCTCCGCCACCAAAAGCGAGCCAGAAACGATACTAATTACTATGCGAATCAATAATACTCCACTCCTTTACTTTTTCTGCGAAGGACAACCGAAAACCTTCAACCGCATCTTGTCCGAATGACTTCAAAATGTCCGCCGGCGTGATGCACCTTCGGCGATTTGTACGGCGTTTGGTACGGAGAGCTGGTTGACGCCCCCAAACAGGGGCGTCGGTCACTGTTGGTTATCTACCCACGCGGCTGCCTCCCTCATCCAGTAGATCAAAAAACTCCCAGTCGCATATATCCTCTTTCGCCGACAACAAACATGAGTAGTTCAATGTCAGCTGACCCGCCGTCAGCCTCACCTTCACCGCCACCAACACAAGATGCACGCAAAACCATCACCAACAATCGCGGATGGCGATTCTGGGCCATTTTCCCGGCTTTGTGCGTTACGGCATTACTATCTGCGCTCGAAGCTACCGGTATGTCTGAGAAAAGCCAGAGGAAATTATTCTCGCTGAGCAGCCGCTACAGTTGTATCAAATGCATTAAGCACTATCACCGCCGAGCTCGACATGGGCGATAATTACGCTTGGGTTGCGAATGCTTTCTTGTTGACCAGTACTGCGGCGCAACCAGTTTATGGGCAGCTGGCCGACTTCTTTGGACGCAGATGGGTTACCATATCTGCCGTCGCCCTTCTCATCCTCGGTAGTGGCATCGCTGGTGGTGCTAACACTGGCGCGATGCTCATCGCAGGTAGAGCCATTCAAGGTATTGGTGGAGGCGGCATTAATATGTTGATCGATCTTATCATTTGCGACCTGGTACCTCTTCGCGAACGGCCAAAATACCTTGGTCTTGTCGCCATCATCTTCGCTATCGGAACAGGAATGGGTCCATTCATTGGGGGTGCACTCGTACAGCGCGCAAGTTGGCGTTGGGTGTTCTATAGTAAGTGTACCCGAGTTCAAATATAATCAGGCAATAAGATAATTTAACCCCAACTTCAGTCAATCTACCTATCGGAGGTGTTGCTATCGTTCTACTCTTCCTATTCTTGCACACCAACTTCAAGCCAACTACTTTTAAGCACTCGCTCGGACGATTTGACTACATTGGCAGCGTTTTAGTGCTAGGCAGTTCCGTGGCTATTATCTTTGCCCTGACCTACGGTGGCTCTCGATACGCCTGGTCCAGCTGGCATGTGATCGTCCCCCTTGTGCTAGGCTTGATAGCCCTCATTGGATTCCACGGCTACGAAGCCTCGCCATGGGTTACCCAGCCTCTACTTCCACCACACCTTTTCGGCAATCGAACTTCAGCTGTCGCCTTTGTCGCAACCTTTGTTCAGGCCCTGATGTTTGTTTGGGTTATATACTTCCTTCCCATCTATTTTCAGGCTGTCCTTGGTTCCTCATCGAGTCGATCTGGCGTACAGTTACTACCTACAGTTACTGGCATCGTTCCGTTTGCTGGCATTGGTGCTGCATTTATAGAGAAAGTCGGCAAATATAGACCTGTTCATTTGGTTGGACTTGCTTTGATGGCCATTGGAACTGGAACTTTCGCTCTGCTGGATGAGAAATCATCAACCGGTAAGTCTCAACGGGATGCAGAAGAGGCTGGATCATGCTGACCGTGCCTTCGCGATAGGTATGTGGGTTGGTCTACAGCTCTTGCAGGTGGCAGGATTTGCTGTCATTACAACGGCCTTGCTACCGGCTGTTCAAGCACCATTGACAGACAAGGACAACGCTACCTCAACAGCAGCCTGGGCCTACATCCGCAGCTATGGAGCAATTTGGGGCATCACTATTCCGGTGGCAATTTTCAACAATCAATTTGATCAACGCCTCTACAAGATCAGTGATCCAGCCATTCAAGCTGTGCTGTCTGGAGGAAATGCCTATGCTCATGGAACCAAGGAGTTCATGTCAGCCCTATCTCCTCAAGTCCGATCGGAAACAGTTTCGGTCTTTGTGGAAAGCCTTAGAGTTGTCTGGATCGTTGCAGCTGCTATTTGCGGCGCGAGCACGTTGCTTGTTCCGCTTGAGAAAGAGATACCCATGAGAACTGAGCTTGACACCGAGTATGGTTACACAGACGAGGAGAAGAAGACAAAGAAGAAAGGAGAGGTTTCTTTGGAAGGCGTTTAAAGGAAGTTGTCGAGATTTCTCATGTTTGTTATTGTACTCTTGCGTCCCAGGGTCAATATGAAGATCTTGACATCACTCGCGCACAATCTCTCAATCTTCTTCGCCTTGGACAGCCCAATCATATATCTTTGAACCGTTGAAAGCTCCTTTCACGCTGCTTCTAGGCTGATAAAGACAGCTACCAGAGAGGTGACGAAAGCCGGAACCTCTGAAATCAAGAACCTGATCTTGTTCATCCGCAGCCACTTTTCCAAAGCCTTCAAGTTTTCTTGACCTGCTCCCTCCACTCTCCCCGCAGCTTGTAGCCGATGCAAAGCCTCCCTCGAAAACACGAGGTGTGCTAAGGTGAAACTTAAACTCGCAGCATACCAATACCACGCCTGGCTCTCGGTGCGTACATATAGATTGAGCACGCCAGTGCACACGCCCAGGGTAAAAGAGAAAGTAAGATCGACGAGAGATCGATTGACCATCGACGGTAACCAATACGGTAAAGCTTGACCAAGAAATTGCTCCCTATATGTCGTGGGTTGCAACCACGGGTAGAAGGCGTGCATTTGGTACATGTTCGCAACCAGGCTATCGGCAGAGCCAGCATCAGAATATAGTAGCGCTTTGAATAGCTTGCTGCTTACAGGGCTGTAGAAGATACAAGTGGAGCTCCACGAAGAGCTACCATTAGGGACATAGGCACGGTGAACGATTATGATCACTTTGATCAGCGTTAAGACCGTTTGCACTGTGAACGATATTTGAGCATTACAACTGGTAGGTATCAGCTTTTGAAATGATTACTCTCGCAAGTTAGTAACTGTAATCTTAAAATCTCCATACGACCACTTGATCCGAACTCAGTAAGATTTCATTTTCAATCGTGTCAGCAAATCAAAACAATAACTTGACACCGAACCCGAACATCCGATAAACCCCCCTGTTCGGAGGTAGAAGAACTTTCAACCACAGCTTACTACCGATTCGAATTCCCAAGATGTTCCCCCCGACTCGGAGACATTCGGGCGTTCGGATACATTCCACCGCCGAATGTCCTTGACCAAGCTCGCGCCATAGAGTTCCCACTCTGATGCATGTACGAGCAGGTATGCAACACATGCAAGCAAACCGCAGATGAGAAATTCGCATTCCATCAACACCCATCTTAGAAGTCATTGTTTGACCTCCCCGTTATGTACGAATTCTTCAAGGGTGCCGAATTCTTCAACTTCGAGCTCACGCGCATCTTGAGCGCATCGCCATATGGAGGCTGCGATGTCGCAGAATTTCTCGATGCTCTGGACACCATCAAACCCAATCATGCACAGAGCTGGCAACAAGCCTGGACGAAACAAGCCGAGAAGGTGGAAAGATTAGCCAACGATGCGCTGTCCACGGGTCACACGAAGCTCGCGCGCGGTGCGTTTCTACGAGCGTCGAACTACTTCCGTGCAAGCCAGTATATGCTCTTCGAGCGCGAGCTATCTCTGAGAATACTCGAGCGTAGCATTGCTAATTTCCAACTTGCAATGGGGATGTTTGACTACCCTGTGGAATCTGTTGAGATAGCGCATGATGGACTGATGTTGCCGGGAATGCTATATCTTCCCAATCAGAAACAACGCGTGTCTGAGAAGGTTCCACTGATTATTGTCTGCGGCGGCGCAGACTCGACAAAGGAGGAATTGCACTTTCTGATTGGGGCATCGGGGCCATCAAACGGATACGCGATGCTCCTCTTCGACGGTCCTGGCCAAGGGATTAGTCTGTTGCGGGACAAGACGGTGCAGCGGCCAGATTGGGAGGCTGTTATCGAAAGCGTTTTGGACTATATAGTTGCATTTGCGGACGCACACCCAAGCGTTGCACTGGACATGGACCGGATTGCAATTACCGGCGCGTCGATGGGGGGGTACTATGCACTCCGCGGTGCAACAGATATCCGTATTAAGGCGTGCGTGGCTATCGATGCGTTTTATGATCTCTTTGATCTCGTCATGGTGCGGCAGCCGAAAATGTTCATGGCCCTTTGGCTCGGAGGCTGGATCCCTGACCGCGTCATCGACACACTTACGCAGCTACAAGGGCGCCTTGACTTCCAGAGCAAATGGGAAGTGTGGTGTTCGTCGACTATCTTAGGCACAGAAAAGCCGTCGGACTTGATGAGAAAGACGAAAGAATTCACACTGAGGCTGCCGGACGGCAGCGAGCTTCTGGATGCTGTGACATGTCCAGTCTTAGTATCTGGCGCGGCACACAGCTTGTATTTCAAGCCAGAGTTGTCATGCGGAAAGATCGTCGAGTGTCTGCACAATATTGAGGAGTGCAAAAAGGAGGTTTGGGTGCCCGAGGAGCCTGCGGATGGAGGATTACAAGCCAAAGTCGGGGCATGGGCATTGATGCAATATCGCACGTTCAAGTTTCTCGATAAACATTTTGATATCGACAGGTGTGAAGTGTCGCGATGAGTTGCTTGCTCATACAAAATAAATTAGTTTCTCCCCGGAAACCTTCTGCAGTCTCAACAACTCTAACCCCTCATCCAGTATGCCCTGCAAGCTACCTTTCATGACCTTAGGTGGATGCGCTCTCAACCTCCCGTTATCAATCATTCTTTGAACTTGTTCATAATACTTTACGCCGAATTTGCGATGTTCCGGGTTTGCTTGCTGCTGGAATGTCGAGCCCATTTTGATATCCTTACCAAGCAATGACATGCCCAGAACCCAGTTCGATTTGATTGTTGAGCGCGGGCTGTCCAGTGGAGAGAGCTCAAGAGAAATGTACGTACCGCCCAAACGGCCCATGGAGAGATAGCAAAGTTCAGACGCCTGTGCCGTGGCAATTGTGTCCAAAACATATTTCAGTGAGTTTTTGGTGGCCTTTTTGATGTCGGCGACGCAATTCGGGTTGTTGTAGTCGAACGCTTGGATCGCACCGTATGATTTGACCAATTCGAAATTCTTTGGTGAGCATGTCGCGATGGGCTTTAAACCTGCGCTGCGACTTGTCAATAAAACCACTGCAGGTTACTACGGATGTACTCACAGCTTGAGCAGTTGGATTGCCATCGTGCCAGCCGCTGTAGCTCCTCCATTGACCAAAACATCCACTGGCTTCTGTGCTGGGTGCTGGAGTGTTCCCGGCGGTTTGAGGTAATAGAATATTGCGAGTCCAACAGTACCGATGCCAATTGCGCTCATCGCTGCAGCAGTTTCCCAGCTCATGGCTTTTGGAATTAGAAATATGAAATCTGCGTCTGCAACAAGGTATTCTGCAAATGCTCCAGATGAAGGCTCCGCAGGGTTAGCCCCATGGATACCGCCGAAGACACGATCACCAATGATGAAGGTGCGTTGTACGTCTGGACCAACTTGTACGATGGTGCCGGCGAAATCGCAGCCAATAACTGTGCCTGGGGCGGGAAACTTGTGAGGAACTTTGTAGTCGAACAGATTCAGCGCGACTGTGGTAGTTTTGACTAGCACCATGTTGCTATTGAGTATAGGTATGCTTGCTTCATTGTCGACCATCGGCTCGCCATCAGAGTTAGCGCGGATGGCACGCTGCGTCGCCGGGAGTTCGACTGCAGACATGGTAGTGTTTTTCCAGATAATTCAATGTGCAGATGGATGCGATTTCGTGTTTTTATTGTAGTTATGCCTGTTCGGCCGTCAACGCACCTCAGTGCTCGGGTGCCGAATGCCGAACTAGATGAATGTTCCGAATCCGACCAACATGTAGAGAATTCCAGGACGCCCTTTCTTCTCTGCAAACCACTGTCATCCCAGCACAACAATTTTAGAGAAGTATTAACGATATGCGGTCACTTGGTGTTCTCATCAGCTTCGTATCAGCAGCTTTGTCCTGGCAATACATTTTCGAAGAAAGCGAGAACGCCGAATGCCATGAAAGTTGCTTCACAACAACGATAGGCGCTTATCAAACTGTCAAATCCCCTATTTGGTTTTCGCAAAGGCCTTCCGATTCTTTTGAACGATCAAAATTCTCCGGCGTTAATGATACTGCGTTCGAACAGTGGTACTTCGAAGCCGTTTCAGAAGCTGGCGACGCTTTTATTGTCTCCCTTGGACACGATCCTTCGTATAAGGCTCTTGGATACGGCGTACTCCCATTTGAGATAATTCTTGTCTTCGCCAATGGAACGCGCCACGCAACAACGGACTTTGCGATTGAATCTCGCGTACGCGACTGCTGTGGGCAGGTGCGGGGACTATGGAAAACAAAGACAGGATCAGTGTCTTGGTCGGTTTCCGCGGATTTGAAGGCTGCAATGGTATATTTTGATACACCGACTGTACAGGGAAGAGCAGAACTTCAGTCCTTTACTCCAGCTCGCTTTGCGGACGGGACGTCGTGGCCATCGAACTCAGCACAAACACAGCTTGCTCCGCATTTGAACTTTGTTGAGACCATTCCAGTCGCGCATGCCAAGGTGGATCTCAAGGTACAAGACAGTCGGCTGACGTTTTTTGGTATCGGTGGACATTTCCATGACTGGGCTGCCTTTGACTGGTTCACCCTCGTTGACAGCTGGCGCAATATGCGAGCCAAGATTGGCCCATATGCTTTCTCATTGTGGATCCCAAGATCAAGGATTGCCGGAGGCATCCAGTATTCGTCAGGTGTCCTTTACAAGGATGGGATACCTATCGTGAAGGTTTATGGCCCTGATAACGACACTTCACAAGAGCGTAACAAACTATCAATTTGCGGGCACTTCGACGGGACAATATCTGGAAGGCTTGGCGATAAATCATCAGGCTGGATTATTGAGTTCGCTGAACCTAGGTCATCAAGACGATGGCGCTTTTCGTCAAAACATCAGGTTCTGGCGCACGAAGTTATGTTGGGCTCCGAAAGTGGTCTTTCGGTTTTCACGGACGAAGTGAAAGGGGGCGAGTTTACAGAAGAGCAGCACTCTGGCTACGGACTCTGCGAACAAATCATCTTGCCCAAGAGCATTGGGCCGTCTGCAGCGTGGGAGGTTTTTAAGACTCATCGCGACAATACGGGCTCCACAACGTGGCAGGCAGTGTGGTACATGTTTAGTGCTGTCTGTCGTGATGGTGTACTGACAGTCAGTTGGATACTGTTTGGGAGAGAGTGAGATTGATGTGCGAGAAAAGGTTAGAGTTAGTGGTCATAAATCGAGGAGTTTGCAGCCATCAATATCAAACTGCATCCCTCCACTAAGAACCATCAAAAATACTAATGGATGGGGTGTTGAACGAGAGGTAGCTTACGATCAAGCTGATGATTGAACATAGAATCTGATCCGCATCCTGCTCCCTACGTACTACTACTCCTAAGGTCATTTAGATCTGGAGTAATATGTTATTATATATAGAGAACGAGTGTCGGCAAAAGAAAAACTACAATCGTCCTGTGAAGACCAATCATCGTGAAATGCAGCCACTTCAGTTGTTATCCTTATCAGTTTAACTACTCTGTCATGTGCTTCACTTCCAATACCTAGAAATAATCCTTTAGTCTTGTCTTTAAAGTCGTGACAGGAATAAGGATAGCTTAATCGTCCTGGGCCATTAAACAAATTAATGTTAACTGTGACGGAGTGAAGTTATTTGCATCAGCTAGCTCTATGATTTATAAATTAGTCTAAAGTCTCCAAAAAGTTCCCCTCTCTGAACTTGGGGGTGTGATGACTGAAATCGTCCTTGTTGTAATTGTTGCAGGACTTGTATGCGCTGTTTAGAATGCCACAGCCAAGAGGCGAGTAGGTAGCAAAAGTAACACCAGGGCCCATGCAGGTCCGAGATAGGGCCATCTTCTAGCATTAAGAATGAAGAACGAGTACTCGATATACACGACGTTGATGTGCATCACCTAGGCGCGGCGAAGATCCACGGTGCTGAGCCTCATGTTTATAACCTCAATTGAGGTTCACTTTGCTGTGACAAGACGGCGACAATCGGCGACTCAATCGATGGTTTCATGATCGAACGACATTCGTCCGGTAGTGGTTGGCCACGTCTGTAAAAGTGGATAATAACTGGGAGAGGCTGGCCAACAAAGGACTGCGTAGCCTCACTTGTCCTGTCCTTTTTAATATAATAACGAACGAATGAAATACCTGTTCTGCATTTACAAGAACAATGACGTTTGTCGTGCTCTACACACGTTGTTACTCGTAAGTGCATAAAAGCACACCAGGAAGGATCAATCTTCCTCACGTCTTCAAACCCTGCATCAACAAAAATAACTTCGGCTTTCGTTACTTCAGGAAATGACAATCCAAACCCCTTCGCCACGCCCATCGAATCCTGTCTCAAATCTACAAACATCTCCTCAGCACACGAGGTAGCCGCATACCTAGTCACAGCCGTTAACACCTCTTCCAATCCAGCCAACGCTCTCTGGGAACTATAGGACGCCTTCTTTACGGTTACTGCTAAATCTAAGACTTTACATAAGCGTTACCTTGCCCTCTTAGATACTCTGCGAGCGCAACTACCTACGCAGCCTAATAACGTACCTATAGTATCTAATACAGAGCAGAAGCTCCTTAACTACTCTAAGGCTAATAGAAAGCTTCTTACTAGTATAGCCTTATTTATTATAATATTTAGCTGTTAGATCTACTTATAGCTTTTTATATAATATACTAATAAACTATTATTAAGTAGTATATTTATTATAGAACTATTTTTCTAGTTTTACTAGTTACTACTATATTAATAACCTTTACTACTCTATATATAGTTAGACATAGATAGTTATAAATATAAATAAGAATACTAATAGTATAGATACTAGTGCAGTTCTATATAGAAAAGAGTAAGCTTTATAACTATATTTATAAACTTACGTATAGGTATAATACAAATAACTATAAATAAATAATTTCTGTATTCTATCTACTATATGCCTTGTAGTAATACCCGCTAGGAAACGATGCAACCCCGCGTAGCCCCATTTTCGTTATGTGCAGCTCTGACTGTATTTCGCCGAACTACATCGCTTGTTGGAACCATGCCCAACGCGACCTGCAGATGCAGTGTACCATCAATACCGTCTTCTACCTCCGGAGGCATGTCCCATAGATCCTTCAACTCTCGTTGCTTCTCCCACATGTCGAATCTCCTCAAGAACTTGTGCACGCTGGCAAGTGCACTGTCCAAGCTACCACCAATCCACCCATGGTGCCCACTGCTCGCCTCTCCACAGATATGGAAACGGCTGTCCGCTGCTGGGCGTGTGAGATAAGGGTACAAGTTCGAGAATTTTCCAGGTCCAAATAGTGCAAAAGCGCCCGAAGTGAACGAGTCGTGCGACCAGCTCCAGGCGTGGTGTGATATGTAGGCATCCCCGATAATCTGGCGAACCTCGTCAAGAGTAGTCAGGCCATGGTAGGAAGTGGGTTGTTGTTGTTGGAAATTCTTCAGGTGCACCCGTGCCAGATTATCTAGCATTAGGTCACGGAGCTCGTTGTCATGGCGCGCGATCAGGCTACCAATGCGTGTCGCATCCTGAGCCCACGTGTAGCTACAAATAAGGGTGGCCGACTGATCTTGCGGGTCGTGGACATTATAAGATGGGTACACGCACGTGCGAAGGGGTGTATCCGTGGCGGCCTCGCCGCCGCTTGTGATGCCGCATTTCGTTATCCACCATGGATAAGAGAACTTCATGGCCACCTTCGCACTATCGTCGTAGTGCAAACTTCTGATTGCGCCCTTTTGACTAGGATGCAGGTCGAGACCGGTTAAATCCATTCGTTGCAGACACGGCAGGCTGGTTGTGTTAAAGACGGAAGTATAGGAAGGACGGCTTCCTTCGGGTTCCCCGGCAACTGTAACAGTGATTTCGTTGGTCTTTGAATTCTGGGTGTATTTTCGCACGCGTTTTCCATGCTGTACAGGTTGCTCGATAGTCTTCTCCATGGCCTGGATCAAAAGTGAAGACCCGCCGTCGATGCAGTACCACTTTATGGCCTCTTTTCTAGGCCCAGCAAAGTCGAAAGAGTCCATGACTGACTCCGAGAATGCCTTATCAAAGAGGCCGCTTGCTGTGTTGTTGGTCTCCAGCCATTGGACACTGAAAAAGTCCAGTGGTTTCAAGGGTGTCAGTCCATTCTTAGCTGGGGGCGGATTTCGCAGAATTTCGCGAGTAGTATAGCTATCGTATTTCATCAGGAGATTAAATCCTTCTTCGAAGTCTCCAGCCATCGCCTTTTTGAAAGGTTCGTAGATACCATTGAGCAGTTTGTTCACGTCGTCAACATTCGTGTCAGGGACTGAACCTCCGTTCGCTTCGCCAACACGGAACGGATCAGAGCCGCGCGGCTCGCCATCAATGATTGTTCTGTCATTATACATGGTTGGGCATTTGACAGAACCGCTCTCCGGGTCGAGGAAATACGGGATCAGCGGAAGATTCAACTGCTTAAAAAGCTTGAAAGTCGACTTCATGATGTCAATATCTGGAAATCGCATGGCGCCGATATCGTAGTAATCGTGTGGGACATCGGAGAAGTAATGAGAGTATATCCGCCCTCCCGTTCTGTCCGATGCTTCCAGGATGTCGTATTCCAGACCAGGAATTTTCAGGCTGTCCAGAATCATAGCAATGAATAGGCCAGTAATACCAGCACCGACGATGCAGATCCTGTGCTTGATACTCAAGTCATCGGGTTTCGTAGAAGAGACTCTGTCATATTCCTGCACAACATCTTTCGGGAGGTCGAATGGGCCTGTGGGAATTGTGTCTAGAAGGTCGCTCAGATGAGGAGCTGCGAAGGGAAGGCATTCTGTTTGCGAAGTCGCTCGCGAGCGATTCTGCTTCTGTTGACCATGGTCAGTCCCTTTCGTGAGGTTCGTCAGCTCATGGAAGATATTCTCCCTGATAAGCCTCGACGCCCATTGTGAGCGAAAGCTACAATCACCTGCGCTCGTACTTGGCGAAACCATGCTTGTGACAATCGAAAGGCTATGACTGAGACTCTTTGCATGTGACTGCCCTGGCGAGGTTCGCGAGATTTCAGGAGTTCACTTGGCAGAAGTACAAGGGAAAATACCGACTCTTCGAGCGATGATTTCAAATATAAGATTGGCTTCTCTGAGTAAGCTGGTCATGCACATGGTATAGCACATCTCCATGTCACACACTAAGTGGATGGGTCGGGACAAGAATGCCGAGGCGAAGAAACATTTCGCAAAAGAAATCAACGAGGTGATGAATCAGCCCGTGGGAGCCGGGAAAAGAGGCATGACAAGACATTTCCAGAATCGAAGGCTATACATCCCGCACATCGACTATTGGTGTAATCACCTCACATCCAATAACAAGTTTGCCAAGGATATTACTAAGATAATATGTCTAATTCAGTGTGTCGATTTATTCATAGAAACTTGCCTTGGTTTAACGAGAAACTGAGTCAGAAATGACTACAACATTATTAAATTTCATATTTCCCCAGCTTTAGTCTCTTCGTCATACATGTAGCAAGCTCGTGTTAGCTGTGTCACCTGGGAAGCGATCCATCTCAGCTCAGGGGTCCAATGGATATCTACGTGATACCGAAAGTAGATTGATTCATATATGCATATATGTATCTGTTACATGTCCCTTTCTCAGCTTTCCCTAGTAATCTAAGATACAACCAAGCTAGCCGCGATCGACCTTGCTGCGTATAAGAGCCATGCCTTCTCAACTTTATGACGTCATCGTGGTCGGTGGTGGCGCGATCGGGCTTGCAGCTGCATACGAGGTAGCCAAAGCAGGCAAGTCTACTCTGGTACTCGAGCAAAGTTGTCTTTTCAACGCGGCTGGGAGCTCCAACGACCTAGCCAGAATGTATCGCACCATGTAAGATAAGGGCATCACACTACGTGAATGACAAACTTCTGCTCAAACAGGACATATAGGTATACTGAGCCATTCATGGCGGAGCTTGCTCACAAGTCCATGAGCATTTGGAAAGAATTAGAAATGGACTCTGGGACATCTTTGCGCACAATGTCAGGACTCCTGAATTTCGGAGACACTACGATGGGAGCAGACACCCCAGAAGGTTCTTAATCAAGCTTTTCTGCATGTACGATAAACAAATCTAACTATGTTTTAGGAACACTGATGGGCCCTATAGCTAATCTGGAAAATCTGGATATGCCTTTTCGAAAGAGTACGTGTTCGACTTGATATCCAATTCTTCTGAGCTTATGAGACATCAGTGACGAAACTAGAGATGGAAAATGAGTACCCATTCAAAAACCTCCCAGAAGCTTGGGAAGGTATCTTCGCTCCCGATAATGGCGTAATCAATGTTCCACTCCTGCTTCGAACTCTGTCGCGCCTGGCTAAAGACTATGGCGCTCGCACTCAGCAATATACCGAGGTCAGAAAACTCGTCCCTGCGAAGGAGAACGACGAAGACATATGGAAGGTCGAAACCCATGTCAACGGTAATGAAGCTGTTTCATTCAGGGCTCGAAAGATTATCATAGCAGCGGGTGCATATACAAACCACGTCCTGCAACCTAGCTTTAATTTCGAGCTAAAGCTCAATATTTGGGAGATGGTGGCATCGTACTTTACGGTGAATGCTGGTCCTAATGGAACCCATTTTCCAAGTACGTACTGACGAAAACTGTTTGCGAGGCTGCTAATCATTCCAAGGTATGTGGTTCCAGTTCGCGAACGACAAGCATGGCAGGTCGCGGCTGTTCTACGGGTTTCCAGCCGTCGAGTGGGGTCCTCCCAATGTGTGTCGTATCGCAGTAGATGCGGCGACAAGACAGATTACAGACCCCAATCAACGGTGCGGTAGCGTCGTGAACCCCGAGGATATACACGACACACAGCAATTCATCAAAAGGCACCTAGTGGGGGTGGATTACACAACGCCTGCGTACACCTTATCGTGTCTGCAGACGAATACGTTCGGTACGTACATTTCCCTCTCTAGTGAAACCAGAAGCTAATCACCTGAGTTAGACAACATGTTCGTATTAGACTTCATCCCAGAACCGTATCTCCAGGGCGGTGCAAAAGATAGTGTGGCAGTGTTCACTGCCGGATGGGCTATGAAGTTCGTGCCGCTGATTGGCCGAGCCCTAAAAGACATGGTGCTGGATGGACATTCCGAACATGCGTTGGACGAGTTCAAGATCGACCGTCTGGATCCCAAGAGCAAAGGGAAAGATGGCAAACCCCAAGCGGGCATCATTAACGAGGTAGATGGTGACTTTGCCAATCGCTGGGAGTATCTCTAGTAGCCAGTATTTATGCACCGTAGTGCAAGCTAAGTGTTTATGTACTATTAGAGTAATAAACACTGTTGGTTGCCCTAATGATCCATCCGCTGTTAATTAGATTACCAGCGATAGCATAGTGCGGCTTTGGGACTTTTCGACCGGGACCAGGGGCCTCGCAATTCAGTTCTGTAAAGCTGCTCATCGAGACTAGTGCCCGTCTCTCGTGCGGGGGCAGACACGCTTGCCGACCTGCTTCGACTCTGTACATGGAAATCTACCAAGAAGATACAGAATCCACGACTTGTGACTTAATTGTGGCTACCAGCGAGGCTATTCAGAACTGGACTGCTATAGTAGAGGTTACAGCTACGGCGCAGGCTGGAATTCACAGCTTATGCAGCTATGTTGTACCTCTTCTGTCGACGCTCAGCGGAAAACGCGAGACGCTTCTGGAGACCGCCTTGTCTGAGGCTGTTAACACACAACAGAAAGCGATAATCTCATTCCTGATCGGCTTCTTCGTCGATTCATGGAGACCTCGTCACTCAAATCAAAAAGTAAGTATGATAATCAGAGATGCTTGGAGCTCCGTACTTCGCATCGTCGAGACATTGGATATTTGTACTTTCCACGCGTTCACATCCCTGGCAAGCTGACTCCTTCATCGCTATCTACCGGCGTCAACTTTGGACGCGATATCTTCGTTCTGCGGGCTCAGTTACAAGGACTTGCACTGGTACCCAGAAGCACCCGAACCATGCGGAGGCTAGGTTGATGCATGGCTTTACCTCTTTACCCTTGAGCCGATCAATCCAGGGAGGTGTCGTCCCAGTGTATTATCGTACCGACTGGTACTTGCCTTCCTAAACACTGGCTTTTTCTCGATTTCAAAAAACAGAGCTCTAGTATCAATGATATCGTGAGCCAGATGAAGCGTCCAGAAGAGTGGGCCATCGACAAGATCTTTCCCTCCGCACAAAATGCCCGAGTTTATATAAGAGTAAATGGTTCATCTGTGGATGGACGTTACAAGAACTTTCATAGTGGATTGGCAAGGGTGTGATCCTGGGAGGTGTGGCGGTCGAGAAGTAGTGCCACTGTCTAGCTAGAACGGCTCAAATAACTATTCAATTACTGTGTAATTTAACAGTCCCCCGCTCGTGACATGAGAGCAGTATCAGCTGTATAGTGATCAACTGCCTGCCAGGTGGGGGACAGGACAATGAGCGCCAATGAGGCAGCCAGAAGGATGAGTGCACATGCATATGCGAGGACTACGGTACTTATGAGCTGCATCGGCAAGGACTATTGTGCCGGGATTGGGGCTTCTTTGCTTACCTCATGCACCCAAAAAAGACTGAAAGCCCCTGTAGTCAGCATAATACGCCAACATTCTTTGTACGCGCCAACTGGCGAACTAGTCAGGAGTATTGTCGACGCCTCAGTGACGACATCGACCAGGAACGATTAACCTTGAGAGACGTACAAGATAAGTTAAGAGAATGAATGTAATTTGTGTAGTGCAGTGGTGTCAAACGCTGTAGCTTGGCTGCTCCACGAGGTGTCAAATTTTGGACTATGAGGTATTAAATCCTTCCCCGTTCTATCCCTTCACCACAGTGTCCAGCGATGTAACGACTACAGTGTCCAGCGATTTACCGACCAAAGTGTCCTGCGGTGCACCGAGCTTTTGTGCGTCATAAAACGCATGGATAAAGCTGTCTATTTCCTCAACGCTAACACGGCGGACATCGGCAAAAGCTTTAATACTGGCTGTGCATTCCTTGTATCGTTCGTCCGTCATAAAAAGTTTGAGCGTCTCCGCCCTCGACTTGATGGCATTCCAGCCGGTCAAACGAGAAGCATAAGCTATGTGCCGTTTCATCCCAAAGTCAGCTGGGTTGATGCTTTCGTAGGTAGAAGGATTGTTAAGAACAGCCTTTGTGTGAATGCCTGCCTTGTGGCTAAATGCGCAAAAGCCAGTGATGTAGTTGTTAAAGGGGATCTTGATTTGGACGGCATTGGCGACAAGCTCCTCAATGTCTTTGAGTGTCTTGAGGTTGTACTTGTTAGAGACATACCCGCGATCTGACACGATCATGCGGGCCATTAGACCCCCAAGGGGAGTGATACCATTACGTTCACCAATCCCTAAGACGGTTGTGTCAATATGGGTTGCGCCCGCTTCTAGGGCACAGAAGGCATTGGCAATAGCACACCCAGAGTCATTATGGAAGTGCGTTTCGATGTCACATGAGACGACATGCCGGAGGACTCGAACCAGCTCGTAGACTTGCCTGGGATTGGCACAGCCTACCGTATCGGCAACTCCAATCCGGTTGACACCTATCCTGTCGACGGCTTGGTAGAGAGGGAACAGGTCGTTAATATCCGAACGGAAGCTATCTTCAGACGAGAACCTGATCTCAAGATGCTTGGATTTGACAAACTCGATGACTTCAAGCGCGATCTTCGTGATATAGGATATGTCCTTGCCGTGGGAGTGCGACATGAGGTGTGAAGACGTTCCAATAACGACATTGCTAGAACTATTAGCGAGGTTCTGGGTTCTGTATAAGATGTTGATGTTTACACGCCGTCTACGCCAGTCTCCACAGCAATCCTAGCATCATCCATGTGGCAACGAATGTGGGTTAGAATCTTTATTTCAAATTAGTTACTGTAACCCACGTAACTGGTCTGGAAAACTCACTTTGGCGTTTAAGCCTAGCTTGCAGATTGCCTCGCAGTCGGCACGCGACTTCGAGCTAGCCGCTGGTGACGTAAGTTCAATCTGATTCAAAAATAGATGTGAGTAGCTGGAATAGGAAGAATTGGATACTTGTGTGGGTCATGATCTTACATAGTCAACACCTGTGGCCTGGTCAGATTCGATGTCTCTATACACTCGCTAAAGATACGAAACGTTTCGCTTACCAAAGTCGTCCAGAGCTTTAGCGATCTTGATCTTTTGATCTGTATCGAAGAACGCATTCTCAAACTGCTCCCCCTAAAGATTGGTGTTAGTAGGTGAACTTTACTTCGAGCGTGGTTTGAGCTGAAGATTACCTCACGGAGGGTGGAGTCGATAATCTTGAAGCGAGAGACATTGCCTAGACCAGGGTGAGCCATGTTATCTAATTTCAACAATGCTCTCAATAATTCTGCGATCATTGAGAACCTGCATGTACTTGGCAATCGTGGACTTACTTGCGCTAGAGTCTTTTGAGAAGCCGTTGCAGCCATTGGCAGCACTAGAAGTTATTCTTGGTTGGCCTGTCATAGCTGTAGACTCGTGAAGTCTAGGTGCTTTCGAAATTGAAGTCTGAAGTTCGACTATTAGAGAAGATGGCGCTTATTACATAGTAACCGGAAATATCCCAAAATCAATAATGGTGTAGAACATTAACACTAAATGACTAAGTTTCTTAAGCACACGGTTGCATTCTTAATCAAGAGCACTCACTAGTTTAGTCACACAAATGACTTACTGAGTCATATAAGTAATTACAAGTAATTAGCTTAGTCACATAGAGTAGCGGGTCAGCATGCGGTCTACTACCAGGATCTTAGTATGTGCGTCTCTTGTCATCATTCCATCACTTGGGTAGTCTGAGCTGGCATGCTTCGTCTACAGACCATTTTAGCGCTCGGATAGTATATATTCACGACGAGGATTGTCTCTAATGGAACATCGTCAATTCCACCCTCTTCATTTTGACGTGTGTAGTACACACCATCTTTCCAAGTCACGCCATGGCTTTCACCGTGCTATCTGATCATGACATCAAACAATTACTGAGCGGTCTCACCTTAAATGATACCCACGAACTTATTAAAGCCTTGCAAGAAATCCTTGTCGCCTACTCGTGCCAGAATGAGCAGCAGTTCCAGCCAGAACGTGGTGTTGTTTCTCGGCCGGACGGGCAGATGAGCTTGTTCATGCCCGCCACGACACCACAGTCGGTCGGTGTCAAGATTGTGGGCATTGCTCCTTCTTCCGGATCCACCACCACCACCTCGCCGGAGGCATCGCCACCACCGCCAGGGATACGCAGCGCCCTTACCCTATGTAATGCTGTAGGAGAAGCTGTCGGTATACTCAATGCCGCTGAGCTTACGGCTTTCCGAACCGCCCTGGGCTCTATGCTCCTCTACCAGTCTCGTAAAGAGACAGGTAACATTGTGGTCTTCGGCTCAGGGAAGCAGGCACAGTGGCACATTCGTTTAGCTGTGTTGCTACGTGCGCAGGATATTCGCAAGATCGTCATTGTTAATCGAAGCCGTGAGCGAACACGAGGACTGATCGCCAGTCTCATCAAGGACTCCCATGCGCCCTGGCCGTCACATATTAAACTGTACCAGTTTGAGGAACGTAACGAAAACCTCGAAGACGTGGTTGTAGATGCGGACGTCATGTTCTGTACCACTCCAGCCACCAAACCTCTTTTCCCCGCGAAATTCCTCACTTCAGAAAGTTCTCGAAGAAAAACTCGATACATCTCTGCTATCGGCTCATACCGGCGAGACATGGCAGAGATCGATCCAGAGCTCCTTAAGGCTATGGTGGATCCTTCTGGAATATTCTCGCAGCAAGTGTGGGAAGGGCATATCACGGTTGACACTCGCGAGGGTTGTCTGCAAGAGGCGGGAGAGCTGGTCAGCGCAGGTATAGATCCGAATAAGATGCTCGAGGTCGGACAAATCACTAGATCTAACGATGCCCCCCTGGCGCGTACTGAATGGCTCGAAAGCGGCTTCGTTATATATAAAAGTGTTGGAGTAGGTGTTATGGACATAGCGGTAGGGCGACAACTTCTGCAACTTGCAAAAGCTAAGAGTGTTGGGATAACCTTATCAACTTTCTAGAAAATAGATTAGGGAGTATATAACAAGAAATCTACTGTAAAACTCCACCTATCTTAGATTTAGCTAGCAGGGGTAGCGAGAGTGCTAGATAAATGCTTTACTGTAGACAGTACTTGGGCTAATGTCAAAACTACGTAAAATTCTGCTAGCGCAGCCCTCCTACTAACAAGCAAAGAAGAGAGCATGTAACTTAAGGCTTATTCTTCTACTTATTAGTAAGGACAAGTAAGCAAAACGCGGCATTTATGTTTCTAAGCTAGTGTCTAGCTACCAAGTATTCCTACTAGCTAGATCTGAGACGGCTGGAATTTTACGGTAACTGCTCGCCCCTGTCGCTAAGGCTTCTCGCGGCAAGCGCTCCGCCGCGCTCCCGCCTGCAGTACTCCCGTATGTACTAGCGAGAGCGGGATTGAACTACCAGCAAACGTATTTCAAGGGCAGGATCTAGTCTCCACGCCTCCTGCCTACTATTCTACTAATAGCAAGACACGGATGCAGCCCCTAGAGACGGCTGCTAGTAGTTGAATTCAGCGCTTACTAGTACATGCAGTCCTTCGAGCAGGCGATTGCCTGTACCAAAAACCGGCTGTCACTAGTACCTACAGTAGACCAGGGACTTCTTTGCCCAGGACAGAATCCTGTAAGATTGATTGGTGCATTAATTAAGCCCGCTCTTGTGCGAGCTTTGGAGCCAGAGCGTCGAGGAAATCCTGGATTGCAAGCTGCCCTTTAATGTCTAGGAGCTTGTACGTGGTTGCTTTAACGAACAGGAAGTTCTATTCGAGGTACCAGCTCTCCGCATCTATGGTTCCTTGCTTGGCCTTCTCTAAGTGAGCTCTGTATTGAGCTCGTACGAGGTTTTGGTAGCTGGAGTCCGTCGGGGCTAGGTCTTCCTTCAGGACTCGGACTAGAGCTTGGACGTTGATTTCTTATCTGCCACTAGTCTTACTATCCCATAAACCGGTACACTGAACCCGCAGATTTCAGCCAATGGAATCACGTAGCGCAAGGTCTCAAGAACTTCATAATTAAAACTTAGCATGCCTAAAGATATAACAAAGTGCACAGGCACCAACTTGCCGACGTAATTTAATTAGTTGATAGTCGGCCCGCACTCCGCGGGTTCAGTGTACCGGTTCATGGGATAGCAGGTGCCAGGAGCCCGGGGTTCACGGTTACGTTTACCCAGTTCCAGAGGTTTCTGGATTCGAATGCTTTGTGCTGCCCAGTCGCTCGATAGAGCGCGGTACTCCGCAACTCTTATCTAGTAGAGATCTAAATAATCTTCTTTAGTGGGTTTGGTCGGGAGCTCGGGAGCAGTTTCTAGAAGATTCCTGGTATTATAGCCGTCTAAATTGACCTGTTCCTACACGCCTTTGCTTATAGCGTGGAATTGGAGCTGCATATACCAGTATGGCCGAATTGATCGATCCTTGGGCTGGTAGTTGCCTGTAGGCAGAGCTGTGTCCGCCATGATAGCCTGATCGTGGGGAGTGGAGGAGAGTTTAATCGTGTGAGTCGATCGAGGGGAGGTTGTTTAAACAGATTGGAGAGTCTAAACCTATATTGCAGCGTATAATTGCGCAGAGAGAATAGGACGGCGTTCTTGAAGCGCCGGGCTTATAACTGTGGAGGAAAATAGAGCTGGACATAGTAAATTCAGGTGATCAATCAATCGACTACTGCCCTACAAGTCATCGCGAGTAGAGTACCTATATATACTACAAAAAGACCGTGGAGGAACGTATCTCCAGCTCGAGGGATCAGCTTACGTGTGGTTGAGATGCGTGATATTATGTAACAAGTCATGCTCCTGCCTATATTCAAATCTGGCACAGAGATTAGCAGACGGGTGCCAGAAGGTTGCATGATAAGTACTACGGATAAGCTCCAACAACTCAACTTGCTGTCTAACGGAGAAGATTAGACCCATTATCGCTCGTACTATCATGTTGGTATAGGTACTCCTGGCATAGACCAAGTGTAGTGATAGGATCCTGACTACGGTAACAGAGAAGCATCATAACCATCAAGATGGTTTGTGGTCGTTGAGGCTCTCCAGGCATAACGGTATGTAGTATGATGCTTGTGATCAAGGCCCAGGTATTTGGAATCTGATTCAAATGTGATGTGTCAGCCTTTGTTGTACCGTAGAAGCTAGAGAGGCAGAACAAACCTCCTGCTGTAAAACACGTGTGATATGAAACATCTGATCAACCTGGAATTCTTTCTGTGTCAGGCCTACGACGCCTTGATCCCGCAGATTCATCCTCGCCAGTCTACATTCCTCGGCGTATATGTCTTCCGCACTTTTCAGCGTCTCTCTCACGTAATTTGCCCGCTCCCATGTCGGCCATTGTTTCGAATGTTCTCTGATATTAGAAAGGAAGTTGGGGAGTTGTCTGACCCGATTAAGTGACTGCTCATGTGACAATATTGTCGATTTGCTCAGGTCGGAAGTATAGTACACTGACAACGCTTCGTCCAAATTGCTGAAGCCGAGACGTCTGCTGCATTCCACTAGAAGACTGAGTCGCTCCAGTCTTGGGACATCGGATTTTAGCAATGCTTCGTGTCCGGCATCTTGTGCCATGGGTGCTGTTGTCATCTTGTGAGCTGACTGACCGCTATTGCCACCGACCCGAACGTGATCCGATGAACCAAGATGTCGTGGAAGCGATGTACTTGACGGGCTTTGGCTGTGATCTGGGTTTTTGTGTCCTCTTCCCATTGACGGTGAGTGAACTCGTGTGCGTTCTAGCACGGTTTCCAATGCTCCCGAATCTGCCAGGAACCATTCAAGGTCTATAGGTTGAACTTCGACTGGAGCTCGGGATAGTGAGTCCAGCTGAGCTACAATGTTGGTTTGTGGGTTTGCGTTGAAACCTGATTCGACCGCGGTGTCGGACCCCAGGAGTGACTTCGGAGTATGATTGCCAACAAATGTGATGTAGCTGGAACTTGTACCCAATCTGTCTGATATGGGCTCGGGGTTTATTGTCGGCAAGACTCCCGGTATTGCGAATGACAATGTTGGATCGTTATGGGAGGACAACGGCATCGATGTATCATTTTGTATCGAAGCGCCGGCAAGGCTATCAAGCTGCTCCTCTAGCTGGCGGATGCGTGACTTTAATTTCTCCCCTATCTCGCGTAGTAAGAGATTGTCCATTAATTGATTACAGTCTCATGGTACAACTCACGGTGTACGCGTTGAGCTACGCGATTCTGAATTCTTTTCTTCTCTTTCGGATCGGTCGTACTGGTCCAAACTTCCTCCATTACGAATCTATCGCGCAGCACAAATAATTGGTAAAAAATGGGGGAAAGTCCTTTACGCTTAGTCTGGTCTTAGCACACCTTGGACAGGTACATAAACTACACAGAGAGGAAGTTTCAATCAGTGAAGCCAATCTGTTCGAGATCAACGTACTATAACACTGAAACAACGCGGAACACCAAAATACTGTTTTCGTGGGGGTGGTTACGTGAGCATGGACCTCACTAGGGTCCTACCAGACAGCCTACCCTTTTACAGGACCCTAGCCCTTGCTTAGCGCTTGTTATATGTTCGAGGGAATACGGTGGCAGGCCTTGCGTGACAAGCTTCAGAAAAGGCGCTTTTGCCGTATACGCTAACAGCGTAGGATTCGAGATCTTTCAAAGCTAGGTGTAAGAGAGCCTCCATGCTTTTACATAGATCAAATCTTACCTAGGTAGGCACTGTTAGATAGCATTGTATTCGTTAATGTTTGCAGGCCTTGAGGCTCTCTAGTTCCGTCGGCACCGAAACGATATACCCAGAGCCTACCAAACATTACAAGCGCCTAGTGAGCTGGCAGCAGGTAGTAAGCTTACATGAGTATGATGTAATGTATCTACGATAGATGCAGCAAACGCTAGCTCCCTTAAAACCTGACTCTCAAGCCACGTGAGCACCTAAACGATATTAAGCCTACTGAGTAATACAAGCGTCGAGGTACAGGGTTCCCAGTAGTTTATCATTGTAAGATTCAAGCGTGACGTGGCGTAATAGCTCATTCCAGAGCGTCTCCCATTTTTGTGTTCGGTCCGGCTCGGGCAGCTAGTTCTGTCCTGGGTATAGGCCTACGGCTTTTTCCGCGTAGGACCGTTACTGTTCCTTGGTGCGCATCAAGGACTTCGTCCCTATTGGTAGCGCGGAACTAATGCGGCCCTTTTCACGGCAGCGGTTACGGACGGCAGCGGTTAACGACCGCCCGCACACCTGTTAACCACACCCACATAAGGTAGATAGGGGATAGCGTTATGCACGTATAACACAACCGTCCTGTGTTACAATTTCCATGAAAGCTAACAAGGTAGGGAGAGGGTAGGTTGTTACTGTTACACACTGTTAGAGTTAAACAGCGACAGCAACGCGACAGCAAGTATAACAGCAATGTAGGAGATCGAATAACAGTTAGCTGTAACAGTGTTGCAAATCCTATAAAGCAGACACATTACACAAGATTGTATAGAGTCCGTGCGACACTATTGGCACTAGCTGCCTTATGCGGGTACTAGTTTACCAGCTATGCGGGTAGTCGGTAATCGCTGCCGACCCGTCGAAGGCAGGGCCGCGCGGCCGCTAGCTCCCACAAAACTTGGCGCCTATCCTATAGACGGGCTCGTTGAACCTGCGGATTTCGGCCCGACTATTGGCCAGTCAGATCGCGTCAGCAAGTTGGTATTATGCCTGCCCTTAAAATTTTCTTGGCACGGAGTTTTGGTTTCGATGTTTATGAGTTGTGCTATACAAATCTATTGGCCGAGCCCGTCTATGGGATACCTAGGCCTCTTAACTCCTGAGTTGCGTTAGCACCTAAGCGATATCAAGCCTACCAAGTAATACAAGTGCCTAGTAAGCTAACAGCAGGTCGTAAGCTTACATGGGTATTAAATAAGTCGTTATCTCATAATCTGCTTTATGGAACCCGCGGATTTCCTCCAATAAGATTGTGTAGCACAAGTCGAAAAAACATTGAGATTAAAACTCAAACTCTTACAGGGCAAAGTACTAACTTGCTAACGCGATCTAATTAGCCAATTGCTGGGCTGAAATCTGCGGGTTCTATAGAGCGAATTATAAGAAAACTAGTTTAACTGTACTACAAGCCCATCTCAGTTGCTAACATACCAGTAGCCGAATCTAGACCTCACCACCAATAGATTTGACTTCGCCGTAGAGGAAAAATTGGGCGAAGATTGCTATGTCAAGAAGCAATGTGCCTAGACCATCCACTAGCCACGGAAGATTCACCAGTATATGTCGACCATAAATCTTCCCCGCGTTACAGGACTGGCAGCGGTTTGGAACAGCGCTGGTCGGGTCAAATGCGATAATAGAGAAGACATACATGAAATTTCCCAAGCAAGCGAAGAGGAAAAACAATATAGAAAGTCCCTCCACAGACTTGCGACGCCAGTTCAAAATTAATTGAGGGAAGCGTGAAGCAAAATAAAACACAGCGCCAAGCCAGCCGAATATTTGACCCCAAATGTCATACTCAGGGACCTCCCAAACAGGGGCTGGACGGCTACTGCTTGTGGAGTGGTGAATAAGGTACCAGCTAACCATGCCTGTAGTACAAACCAAGAGAACAGCCACTATATTTCTTAAATGCATCTGTAAGCGGGTATATGTGAGAGGCGTTGCAGGCTCTTCGGACACTATAGGCAAAGCTGAGGGAAATTGAGAGTGAGTTTCGTTGTTGTTTCGGCTTCGCCTCTCGTCAGCTGCGGCTCCATCTAGTAATGTTGTTCTTTCGTTCGGTTCTCCTATTTCCATCGGCTTCGGGGTGGAAGGCAAGACTTTCTCTTTCCATGTGAAGCCCCTGTAGAAGAAGCATTGAGCCAACAACACTATATCAGCCACGGTGAAGTATATAGCAAGAATGATCATGGTCGGCAGGACGCCCTGGAGTATGGCTCCCACGACATTGAAGATATCGCCCAATAGCCATACTACAAGAAAATGTAGTGATAGGCCATCAGACGAGCCTCGACGGAAATTCTCGAGAATCTGTGGGCTGAATACTACAAGCCATGCTACGATGGAGATGGTACTGCTCGACGAAGGACGATCAGCTCAGATAAGGAGTAGAGTATTGTGCGATGGAAAGTATGTGCCCAGTTTTGTAACGCTAATAGATCCACTTACCCGCATATGCCTGAAAAGGCTTCAACATCTAGATCCGGTGACGGTATGGAAGCTACCATCTTGGTAGCAACGTGGACAAACATAGGATTCGCTAGCCGATGAGAAATGAGCCTTGTGAGTCGGTGGCAGACAAAAGGATATGTGTAAGGACGATACTGAGGGAAAACGGGTCCGAATTTGTATGAGGTATGATGAACTTGAAGAATGTACTATCTCTTTCTAAAGGTCGGCGTACAAGATGGAATGATAAGTAACGAAAGCAAATAGACTTCTAAAGTCTGTTCCCAGCGCGGACTCGCTACACTATTGAAATTTGCTGAGAGGTACTTCCAATGCCCAGATTACTAGATACAGTGTAAGAGTAAGAGATGTAGATTAGTCAGAGCTATGCCACATATAATTAGTGCAGAGATGACGCAGCGTGATAACAAAATGACACTATGAGGTTAAAGGACATTGGGTTGTAAACAGTCTCGGCGGCGATGACTAAATCCAGTTATCCCCGTTGATTTATGTGGAGGTCTGACTGTGTCCGAAGCAAGGGTCTCAAACTGGATACTGGATAGTCAGACCTAACGTCAGAGATCTAGAGTCGGATAACTCCGAATCTAAGTCTTACTAATTAGTTGTGGGGGGCTCGCATTCGGCTGCGGTCTGTCCCTTGGCTTCGGCTACTGATTGGTTTCGTCAGGTGTAAGGCTACGATACAAGGGATCTCTTACTCAGCACCTGCAGGGATCTAGACACGATCTTGACGATCTTCAGGGATGAAGGACCGAAGACCCCCACAGATTGCCAGAATGCGTGAAAAGACTAATCGCGCACTCATTATATATACGACAATACATACGCATGTATCGTTTACGAGATACAGTCTCGGTACTTGCCCAGACTACCCACTGCTGACGTTTCCCGCAGATATCTCTCCCTTCTCCCATCTTCTCTCTCTGTCAAGATAAAAGGATCAGTGTCATGTCATTCAAAATTTTCTCAATGGTCCAGGAAGAACCCGGCCCCCCTCCCGACGGCGGCGTTCGGGCCTGGCTTCAGATCCTCGCAGGTCATCTCATCAATGCGCTGACATGGGGATACTCTGCTTCATTTGGCATCTATCAACTTCATTATACGACAACGTTATCGTTGCCAGAGTCGCAAATCGCCTGGATTGGCTCCCTACAAGTCTTTTTTACGTTCTTCATAGGAACAGTCTCCGGCCGCTCTGCCGATGCGGGCTACGCTCAGCACACAGCCCTACTGGGCTCTGTGTTGATCGTGCTCGGAACCTTCATGACAAGCCTGGCGACCAAGTACTGGCAGATACTCCTCGCGCAAGGCCTTTGTACCGGCCTCGGCATGGGCGCTTTATATATGCCGGCCGTGGTTGTAATCGGCTCGTACTGGAAGGAAAGGAAAGCAATGGCCTTAGGGTTGGCTGCTTCTGGGAGCGGCACCGGCAGCATACTGTTTCCTTTGGTCGTCCAACACCTTCAGCCGATCATTGGGTTCCCTCGCGCAGTCCAGGTGCAAGGCTATATCGCTCTGGCGTTCGCAATTGTCATCAACCTTCTCCTTCGGCCACGTCTTCCACCGCGCAAGGCGGGTCCACTCGTTGAATGGAAGGCATTCTTGGAGCCTACGTACGTTCTCTTCGCAATCGGCGTGTTTCTGATATTCTGGGCGGTGTACTTCTGCTTTTTCTTCATAAACACATATGCGACCTCGACTGTTGGCCTGTCTCCGGAGGAAGCTGTGAACCTGCTCGTGGTCATCAACGCCGTCGGCATACCAGTACGACCACTGCTCGGATTAATTGCCGATAGATACTTTGGCGCACTGCCTACTTTGATTGTTTCAACGACATTCCTCGCTATCATGTTGTTCGCCTGGATTCCCATTCGCAGCGTGAGTAGTCTGTACGTGTTTTCCGTATTCTACGGACTCGCTACGGGCGCAACTCAAGGAAGTCAGTATACGTCCCTTCCATTCACTCTACCTTTAGCACGTCCTATCGTGAAACTACCTCTAAGAAGCGAGCCCTCCTGATCGCGCTTCGAGCATTGACTAATGATGTATACCGCGTACAGTGTTCGTTGGCGGACTCGCATCATTGACCACGGACTCAAGCAAGCTAGGCGTTCGTTTCGGAATGGTATGTTCTATACTAGCATTTGCATCGTTGGCAGGACCGCCAACGGCAGGTGCTTTGATCCAAAGCGACAATGGAGGCTTCCTCAAGGCACAGATATGGGCGGGTACGGTGACGATTTCTGCTGCTCTCTTCATATGCGCGGCCAATTGGACCCAGGTAAAGATTAACCGTCCAGCTCAAGAGCTAAGTAGCGGTAAACTAGAGGGAGAGGAACAAAATCCTAGCAGTTCGGAAGCTGTCCAAGTAGAAGACAACAGGCGCATAAAGGCGTAAGCTCTCTGTGTACACTTATACTCTGGAGACTGAATAAGACTTTCAAATTGAAGAGCTTCTTTAATATTTTACCGATCGTTAAATTCTTCATATTTAAAGACATCATAAGATTGAGAAACTTACAGGCTTTGAATAATCAACATCTAATTATTAGCTAACTACCTGTAGGCGTGTAGTAATGAATAAATGTTAAGTAAGAATCGTTCTTGTATAGTATGCCTTGCTTCATGTGTTGAATCGTTTAGTTTAAGATAACTACTATACAAGATGTTCAAAGACCCGGGGTGTCTGCAATCCGGAAGACATACTTAACTGCACTATTCTTTCCATCTTTCAGATCCTTCAGCGCCTGCTCCACAGCGGCCAATCCACCTCGCTTGACTTCGAATGGGTGGCCCTTGAAAGTGCCCGCCTGCAGTGCCCTCGAGAACCATCGGCATGTAACAAGCCCAAGGTCACTATTTTCACGGCCATACGCACCATCGTCCTGGTTGTGCACTGTGCCCACCGAAGTAACCGTCCGATCTATAGACCCAGTGTCCCAGTTGCTCGGGGCGACAAGATTGATAGCGCCGTCCTTGGCTACGATCTCAGTCAGGACCTTTTGGCTCGGTTCGCCGATGCCAGGATCCAAGCCGTGTTTCAGCTGCGGGTAGTTGCCGGCTTTGAGGTGAGCGCGAATCTTGCGGATCATTTCGTCCGAGCCATCACGATGGTTGAACACGACATCGCCCTTTGAGCTATCGAGAAGAGTCTCGACATATTTCAACCCGTTTCCTGCGATGGCGATGATCGGGTGGATGTTGCTGTTTTGTGCCAACTTAATCGCAAACGCGCCGACAGATGTGCTGCCACCGTAAATGATCAGAGGGATGGAGGTCGTCGCTGGGCTCCAAGGGGTCGGTAGCTGGAGATGCCTGAATATCGCCACCATGGCGGTTAGACTGGCCAGCGGGATGGTCGATGCTTCTGCAGAACTAATTAGCCATGAGTTCAGAAAGAGGGTTCGCGTAAGGGCTTACCTTCGAAGGATGTGGATCCAGGAAGGTGGAAAGTAGTCCAGTCCCATGCAAGCGCATACTCCGCATACGAACCTCCCGGGGCGCACATCTCATGGAAAGCTGCGACGCGATCTCCCACCTACGACGCGTCAGCTCTCAAGACTCACGATCTTTCGACTAAATGATCATACCTTGAATTCCAAGACGTTATCTCCCACCTTCTCCACAATACCAGCAATGTCGTCGCCTTGGTTAACGCCCTTCTTGGCCCTACCCATCATCGTGTCTTCAGGTCCATCATAGCCCGCAGCCAAACCAGGAACCTTCCAGTCTTTTGGATTACTGCCAGACACGACGACCTTGATGAGGACTTGATGGGCGGCGGGTGAGGGGATGGGACCCTCAGAGAGTTCGGCCTTGACCTCGGGGCTGGCAAGATTGATGATTTGTTTCATGATGAACAGTTGTGAGAAACGAGTGGTGAGTTTTGACTAAGTGATGTGAATGTGTTTAAATACTGGATGAAATTCATCATGGAGGCCGGATACGACCTAGTGGGTCCTTCCGTCCATACAACTAATAGCGTCATGGCCGCATTTGTCAGCGGCAAGCGAAGCAGAGTTAGCGAGAGATCCGGACTATACACGGACGAACGCAGCTAACAAGCAGAGGCAGAGTCTAGAAAGGCTGTTAAGATGATTTGTCAAGTAAGAAGTTTTGTGGTTCAAATCCGAGAGATTTCAATTGGCTAAGAAATAGTTCACACATAGGGCCCAACAAATACTTGCAGAAGATGGGCCAGGGTCGACGAAAGCACTTCTTCGATAATAAGGACTTCGATGGATGGGTAAGCAGTCTTGCGACCTAGTCACATATCGCCGTTGCTGATACGTGTTGACGTGTTATAGTTCGAACTGTTCTTCGCCAAAGCGGTAAGCCGTCATTTAATGGTATTGAGTGATGCTGAAAGCTGATCGTTGTGTTTGATACAGCAGAGGGATAAGCTGGAAGCGGGTTCGATGGTAAGTCGGATCGCAACGGCTGACATTTGGGGTGACTGCCAAAGTCTGCATTTTTTGCACTGCAATTACCTGACAATGAGTATTACAGTGATTGGCGACTCGAGTACGACGACTCATTTGTCGAAACCTACTTTGCGAGTATAGCAATAACGCAAGTACACGGACCTGCGGTCCAATGTTGTCCCTGCTGCGAAAGAGTTTTGATCATGGGCCACGCAGAAGGGCTAGTTCATGTCAAAATGCTTGATTTCATCGCATCTGCCGAGAGTTGTAAGATTTGCAGTCTTCTTCTTATGGCATTCATAGACACTATAAGCGACGATGGGAATATATATCTATTCCGCACTCACACAGCGCTTCGAGCAGGCTCTGGGGGCCAGCGTCTAGTAGGACTCAGTACCGCTTCAAGTAGGCTCCTCAAAGATCTTTCTATGACTATATCATCGGGGTTGACCACACAATCGTTCAACAGATCTCGCCAGATACGGCATGCTTGTCGGTCGACAAGTACGTTCGGACCGTGCTGCACGATTTTCAATTACGTTGTGCGTGGCTACGTCAATGTGATAATACTCATCGCTGTAACAACAGAAGCAACGAAGCATTCTTTTCAATGAGGATGCTTGATGTAGGTGGTCTGGAAGATATGGCATCCGCTACGGACTGGGTACGATTGACCTTGGCTAATGAGAGGAAGAGCAATGTGTATCTCGCACTTTCTCATTGCTGGGGCGATCTTCCAATTACTCAAAAAAGAAGCGTTCTGCACAAGTCAAGGCAACCTAGCTGGGAGGAGAAACGGCTTTCACGTATCTGAGCTACCCAAGACATTTCAAGACGCGGTCAAAGTAGTCAGAGCGGTTGGTTTCCAGTATGTTTGTATCGACTCATTTTGCATTATTCAATCTGGGGACGATAGTGAGGATCGGAGGCGTGAAACCGATCAGATGAAGCATGTATATTCAAAAGCTCACTGTGTGATCGCTGCAACCGCAGCTATCGACTCATGTTCTGGGTTCTTGCACAGTCACATTGGTAGCAGACACTTCGAAACCGAACATGTCTACGTTCAAGGAAACGCAGGCAATCTGTTTTATATCAGTACTGATATCGATGATTTTGACAGTGATGTTGGTAAGGCTACACTCAATACGCGCGCGCGGGTCATGCAGGAATCGGTCCTAGCGCGACGGACAGTTCATTTCACCACAAATTAAATGTACTGGGAATGCGGCATGGGTGTATATTTTGGAAAACTTACCAAGTTGAAAAGGTCTGTAGGTATGATGGATTAGTACACCCCGGGGTAGGTATTATACAATGAACCCGGAGTTTCCTAATCGACTTCTTCAATCATAGTACAATGATCCTATGAGGGATTGTATCTTTTTCTTGATCGAAGGATACTCAAGACGCGATATCACATTTCCCAAGGATCGACTTATTGTAATCTTGGAATTAGAAGACCGCGTCGCAGAGGCACTCTTCTGTGAAAGCAGATTCGTTACCTTCGAGAGATTTCTCCACCGCGGCCTTATGTGGACGGTATCTGGTGAAAATTCGGCAAGGATCAAGTATGAAAATTTGGTCCCTTCTCGGTCATGGCTATCGTGTTCTGGACGGATCGATTGCTCGAAAGAAGATATCGGTAAAATCAAATTGAACAGACGTATTGCCTTCCAGAAAGACCGCAGAGACGCGTTGGTCGCGGATCTGGGTGCATTCGTGAACTGTACACTGAAGCCAGAAACCGACTACTACGTTCTCCAGGACGGAACAGGGATAATGAAGGGATGGTTGAAACCTGATGAGTACGGAATTTTTCGACAATTTGCACTGCGTTGTTGTCGGCAGATATACCGACAGGCGCGAGATTGAGCAGTATGCAGTGATGGCGGTTGTGTCGAACGGCGACGGCGACGGCGACGAGTATAGGAGGATTGGCATCGGTGAGGTTGAAAGCAGCTGCATCGTCAAGGTGCAAGACACAGTGTACATTGTCTAGCATTATCAGAGATTTGGACAAAAGCGACGACGCATTGAGGAGAAGATTCCTACTGTGAGCGTACCTAGGACTCTCGTTATTGGTGGATGCAGATCTTGTGCGCCTGTACCCTTCGTGCTGCCATGAGCGTATAGACACTAAACGAAGTTTTGGAGTTCCCAAGAGGAAAATAGAGTAGTCGAGGATGCACTGTGATTCGAATTCGGAAACTCATCGTCCAGTATGCCGAGGTGTTATGGGAACGCCATTGGTCAGCACTGTATCGTGAAAGGTATGATGAGAGAGGGGAACGAGGATACAAGGCCTCAGACGTGTCGAGCTGTTATGTTCGTCATGGGAAGCCCGCTCGCGCTTTCCCAATGTTAACCTACCACAGTCCCAGGGAAGAACTGCGTGTCATGTCGGAAAGTGCCATCTTCAGCAACTATCAGACCGCATGCAGCTATCATATCTGTCTCCGAGTTTTCTCCTATCTTTCAAATAAGCTCAGATGTCTGCGCCGTATACACGCCCTTCTCCTAGTCGTCTTTCATCTGACCATCCATAGTTTCATCAACATAGGCCTCGCCCACTAGTCTCTCGAATCCCATCCCCTGCTTTACCTAAGGCAAAGAGAACGCCGCCACCGAAGAAAACACAATCGATGTCGCCGGGTTTGCAGTAATCCGGAGCGAGCATCGCTTTGGTGGCAACTGACATGAATAACGAGCAGTGGCCGGTGGCTGCATCCAGCAATGCCCTTACTGAGCAAAATGCAGAAGGAATAATTGAACGGGTAGCCCTCGTTATCATCAAAACTTCTAAGAGTTTAGTAATGCGAGACATGAACTCTACGTTTTTCGGCGTCCACCCTTTTGATGTAAAGAAATCTTCTGGCACGCACTTTGCGCACCATTACTTGCAATGACCGCTTAGCACGCACTTTCTACACTCATGTTTAAATCTTGGGGTCCATGATTATATAGAAAAATATTAATTTTAGTAGATAGCCGCCCGAACTTGCCGTCCTGTTAACCCTATTCAAAACCAATTTTGCCTGACGTTGCAAGTTGGGCCAGCCACCTTTCAAGATCAGCTATGATGCGCTCCCCTAGCATCAGATCGACAGCGCAGTCTGGCCAGTTGGCGCTGACACACATCCCCTGGCCAGCTACACTGATTGGGGCAAACTCGATGGCGGCAGCGGGGATCTCAGCACTGAGGCCAAACTGCGCTCGGCTGATCGACCACCTCTGGCCATCGTCGGACGTGTTGCCATTCAGCACACCAACGTTGGTCACCAGCCACGTGAATTGGCGCGTCTTTTTCGCCATGTCCCTCATCGTCTGCTGCCAGTCTGTGACGTACTTGAACACCCCAACCAGGTCGTTTCGCAGCCCGGCTTCCAGCTTGTGCACTATTTCCTGTCTATTATGTGCCGATACGGCCCAGAGCTCGTGTTGGAGGTCTGTAGACAGATCTCTACCCTCGCTGGCATCAGCCGGCAGCTTGGAACGAATTCGTGCCACTTGCTCTGCATCGAATCTATGGGGCAACTGGGTCACGTAGTTGCTCACTGTTCTATCGGACCGAACCCACGGAGCGTCCGGCGGGGCCGGAGGCAGATTTCGGCGATGATCCATGATGGTAGAACTTTGAAAGGCTGGGGCGATTGTGCTGTTGAGGTGCGATGAAAAGGCAATAAGCGCTAATCCGTTTATCAGGCCGGTAATGGTAGTCTTGTTTTGCCGGCAAAGGGCTAGGATTGTAAGTAGAGATGCGTTATCAATGAAAAAGGCCCGGAACTGGGTTTTGTACGGAGAGGAGCGAATTGGGCACCAGGCTGCTTGGGATACGTCCCGATTCAGGAACTGGGGCCTAGTTTCCTCCCAAAATACCTTGGCAAGGTACTTGAGATCTAATGGAAGGTTCTTTAAGCTCTCGATTGGGATTGGAAGGAAGGGGGGGGTTTCAGGTAGTGTAAGGATATCACCGTCCAAGCCCGTCCGCTCGTATGCTCCGTTCTCAGCTTTATTGAGCATCTCGAGAAAGTCTTCGTGGAACACCTTTGCGCCTGCACCGTCGAATTGCGGGTGATTCCAAGTGAGTAGGACCTCCATGATATGAGCATTCCCTTGCCGAATAACGGTGATCTTCCAGCACGGTTGCTTAATGGAAAGGTCTGCGAAACGGTCGTCGAGCTGAACGCGAAAGGTTTCCTGAACTGTTTGTTCAAAGTCGTTATGCGCTTCAATATAAAGCCATTTTATATGTTGCGTCAAGTCGAGACTCCGCAGCTGGATCCACGAGGGAGTCTTGGAAGTAGCATTCATCATACCGACTTGCAGCATTGGATGTCTCATGATGATGTCCACGACAGCAATCTTAACTACCTCCTCCAGATGAGTCCGCGACTGTGCCGGTGCCAGGCGTGGCGGGATTGCATAACGGCAAGAGAGAGTAGTGCCACGGTACTGGTCTAGTAGATACATGGCTAGTTGGTACGTCTCGCTAGACACGCGGTCGTTAGTCAGATGCCCCGAGATGCCATGCCAGTATGCAATAGCAGGTGCTTACTTGATTCCAAGTTTTCGTAACGCCATCGCCTTTGTGCTTTGGATCGATCTGTCTGCCATAGTTCGTGGTTTACTCACAGGAAACTTCAAGTAACTGTAGTAAGCTGACAGGTAATCTCTATAGCTTACGTAACCCTGTCAGTTGACTGCGTTTTGGAATTCCAACCCAAGACGCATCGTTTCCCCGCGTTTCGGCAAATGCGGACCACTCTTCTACGTCACTGGCTGTGACCCCACACCAACACTCAGCATGTTCATGGACACCAACACTGAAGGCACGAGCGACAGCGTGTACGATGGCCGTGACCGCCTTGCTGGGCTGCCCGACGAGGTTTTGTTGCAGCTTTTCGAGACGTTGGGTCGCATGTCGAAGCGTGACTTGTGCAACGTATCGCGATTGAACAAACGCTGCCATCGACTTGGTGACGTTGTGCTATACAAGAGCATCCTTTTCGAAACACCAGAATTACATCTTACATTCAGTGAGTCGCTCGGCCGGCGACCACGCCGTGGCTCCGCTATCTATGAAGTAAAGCTGGCGTATCCATCGTCAGAGCTATCCCAGCTAGCGCTCGATGCACCGCTCCGCAACCATTACGATCCGTCGCATTCGTTATCGAGGATGTCTAATCTGGAGAAACTAGAAATCTCGTTGCCAGACAAGCTTTTGCATGGTATTGGATGCCTGTTCAATGGACCATTCGACCTAGCCTGCCTCAAGACGTGTACACTATTCTATCAATGCACCGACGATCAATACTGGGATCTGCGCGAGAACATACATATCTTTGCCCATCCCACTCTTCAAAGTCTCACCATCCGGAGAGCAAAGCTAGACGATCGAGGTTTCGATTCCCTCGAACGGCCTCATGAGACAGCGTTGAAATCGTTGCATTTGATCGAATGCGACATCAACGACGATACGCTACTCGACGTCTTAGAGTTTCCCATAGCGTTGGAGGAGTTTGTCATGACTCAAATCGATGAACCGGAACCAGAGTTAGAAGAGAGCTCCGACAACTTCAGCGACTACATCGTTGCGCTTGATTCGCAAGCCCATTCTCTCAAAAGCGTCACAATCGACTTCCCAACGTTGGGCTGTCGCAAAGCATTACGACTCAGAGAGTTTGAAGCGCTGAAGACTCTACGAATTAACTGGGACTATCAGCTCTTCGGCAAATCGTCGAAGAAGCCCCGCCTACATTCGGTTGGTCTTCCTCCAGAGCTTGAGGTCCTTGAATTCTTCAATGAGCTAGGCAACGATGTGGAAGTGACAGATCTATTGCTCAACATGATTGAGAACAGAAATGTTGTCGCGCGAACGTTAAAGACTATGATTGTGGTTGAGGGTAATGAAAGCATAGTGAAAAATATCAAAAACGCTTGCAAGAAGCAGGGTATACAGCTAGATGTTATTGGCGCGATGGACATAGACACAGACTAAATACTGGAGGTTGTAAAAGCTCAATATAGCCCGATAGAATGTATCTCAGGTTCAAATCGGCTCTTCCGGAGGTTTTGTCAACCTTTTATGAGATCAACTAAACGTCTGCAAGTTGCGCAATTTCACGAGAGGAACGATGAGTTTACTTGTAATCAGTACAAGCCGCAAGTTCAGAGACCAATCCGGCATGCTAATCCCCAAAGGTTCTGCAGCGTCGAACTGTTGTGAATGTCAGATTACCCTCACTGTGTCTGACAAGTGAGATTGTTAAAACATCAACAGTCTGTAGGACATGGATGTGAGTCTGTATTCCCTTCTTAGGAATTTTTTGCGTTTCGTGTCTTTACGTTGTCATTTACTTCTTTAATCTGCTTTATTTGCTAGCAATGGCATCGAGCTAAAGTATCAGAAATTGCTAGTAGTACATAACAACAGTTGTATATATGCTTCATTTTGCGGTACTACATATGCAGACATCTAAAGCGAACTGAACATGCCATCATGGGCGGATGTTGTGAGAAGGAACGTGTAGTCACGAAGACTTTCACCGTATACGAGAATGTGATGGCGACAGGAAACGACATAACTGTTCTAACCAACTCGTTATTAAAAGAGGAGCGAGATGATAATGTGAGGTCACCTAAAAGCAATATGTCACACTTGTTAGTTAGGTGAGACTGCTTGATGATGAAACTGTACCGGTGTTGTGCGGATCGTATGCTAAAGCAAGAACCGGGCTTACAAGCTTTAGATCATGTAGTTCTCGCTATTTCAACATATGTCAAAACTTATGTAAGGAGTAAGACCTATGGATCTTTAGCGCCTTTGGTTTCGGCTAGCTCATGTATGATAAGTATTTCATCTCACTCGGCAATATTACACAGGGAATGGTTGATTAGCACAATTGCCACTAGAGTAGTGGAGACAAATAGAGGCCCCTTTTACTTTTCGAATTGCGAATGACATTGTCAGCAGCCCCGAGAGTAGAATGAACGGTTTGGTCGCGGCTGACGTGTAAGGAAGGATAGTAGCTCGTAATTGGACTCCTTCGCCGCCATTATCTAGAACCTCAAGTTTAGATTCTGGATTACCAATATTTTCCATCAAGATAACATGACCATGCTTGAGCAAAATTTCCCAGAGCGCAATTGGAGTATTGTTTCTTTACTGGTCAGCACAATCGCTACTTTACAAGATATATTCCCGAGTCCTACTGAGAGGTAGATTATCTACTGTACTCCTGTCTTACGAAAATGCAATATTCCTCGGGTTCATCGAAGCCCTCCAAACACATCTGCTTGGAATACTGCCTACTTAGAGCTTACTCGTTTTCGTTTCGATTTCGCGACTTACCGCCCGCAATTGCATAATCAAGGAGAGATTAGCGAATCAAGGTTTGGATATCAAGTGCCATAAGGATCCATCACGCGGTAAACGGCTATCGACTCTCGATTGGCATCCTTGCGTGATGGGCGATAACGTCTGATCAGACCAAGCAATAACTAAGCACTGCAAGCGCGGCAACCAAGCTCACACAAGCTATCTTGGCGACCTTGGAGCTCGGCATCTTGCAACGGGCATGCTGATCTCTACCAAATGTAGATAGAATAGCATGCTATTTAGATTGGAGTTGGCGTGACCTATCACGAACTTCCTATTTGGTACTAGTAGAACCACATCTATCCTTGCCAAGTGCCGGAATAATGATAAGCAACGACAAGCTTCTCCTGCAATTAATTTATGTTAACCATCCACTGTATCTTTGACTGATACAACATTTACAACTACGAAGTACACTATCGTTAATCCTGAGGGTTGAACCAGGAACAAGTCAAGCATGACAATAGCACAGAAATACGATACTGTTATACTGAGCATGTTAGAAAATAAGGCATATTCGAGGAACCGCGACGCCTTTCGGCAGCACGAATACCTGCATCCTTCCAACTACCGCACCGCTGCGGACATGAGAGCGGTTCCAGATGCAGGCCTCAACTGGTTTCCCACAAACAAAGGCAGCAATGCCTGTAGTAACCTAGCCCAGTTCTGCAATACCGTCGAGCCATATGCATATGGAACCCAGGATGCATGAACGTTACATTAAAAACTCTTTTACAGCGGATAAGGACGTTATTTCTAGACATTTGGCCTAACGAACCCTGTACGCCGTTTTTTAGCCTCCGCGTGATAGCAATACCAGGTCAGTAGGAATGCATCCACTAAGTAGAGATTAGGAAGGTATCATTAATGCTTGAGTTTGATCTATCGCGACATCACACACATTAGTCGCGTGAACATGTATAGCGTTGATACGGGCTCCAGAGCTGACTATAAAAGATCAGCAACGCTCGCTGCAAGATATCCTGCATCACGACAAGACAATCAGCAGTCAGACCAACACCTACTCCCAACTTCTTTCGCTTCCTCGCCAAGTTTCTTCCATCAATCACCATGAGGTTCTCCGTCGCCTTCATCTCTGCTGCCATTGCTGGCTCAGTCCTAGCTCGCCCTTCCACGCTCGCCGAACGTGTGAAATCCCGCGCTGATGGCACCCGCCGCAGCCGCCAGACCTTGCCTTTGATCAAGGTCGGCACTGGTGTCAAAGAGAACTTCGTTGAAGGCGAGGGTAACAGCACCGCCCACGTCCAGTACTCGAGCAATTGGTCCGGCGCAGTCCTTGAGACACCCTCCTCCGGTTACTTCAAGTCTGCCACTGGACGATTCACCGTCCCGACACCCAAGCATGTTGGCTCCGGTGGTACCGAGTCCGCATCTGCCTGGGTCGGTATCGACGGCGATACCTGCGCCAGCGGTCTTCTTCAGGCCGGTATCGATTTCACCGTGAGCAGCTCCGGTGCCGTATCCTACGACTCCTGGTATGAGTGGTACCCCGATTACGCATACGACTTCAGCAACTTCGCCGTGAGCGCGGGCAACGTGATCCAGGTCGACATCACAGCCACTTCGACTACCAAGGGCACCGTCAAGCTCACCAACGTGAGCACTGGCAAGAGCGTCAGCCAGACGCTGAGTGCGCCCAGTGGCTCGGTCTTGTGCCGTCAGAATGCCGAGTGGATCGTGGAAGACTTCGAGGAGAATGGCAGCCTGGTCGCCCTGAGCAACTTCGGCACTGTTGTTTTCTCGAGCGCCAGTGCTGCGCTTAGCACTGGTGGAACCGAGGGTTTGACCAGCGCCACTATCATCGACCTCAAGCAGGGCAGCTCCGTTTACACTGATGTCACTATCAACAGCGGTTCCCAGGTCACCGTCAAGTACGTCTAAGCGGGATGTGGTCGAAAAAGGTAGGGTCGGATTGGTAGTTGCTAGGACTTCCGAAGGTCTGAAACGATATGGTTTGAATATGGGAGCGCTGTAGAGGCTGGTACTAGATCAAATTTATGAAGTCCATGTCAGAAACTCTCACAGCACGTTGAAGCATTACCTTTCCATCTCGATCCCCTCAGGCAACATATGAACAATTCTCTCTGAGCCCGAACACGTCTGTGAGTACTGTGCGTAATATAGATGACCGTGAATTCAAAACGTATTGTCTCAACTATCCTGATTTTCAAGTTTGCAGTGTCCATCTGCAACCCTCTGACATTTATCCAGCATCTGGCGCAGTCATGTGTGAGAGTAAGTCGGCGTATCTAGAAATAATCATAAGTCAATTCCCGCATGAAAATGCTACTGGAGTGCATGTAGTCATGCCCAGGCTGAAAAGTTTTTTTTTTCCAAAGGGGCCGGTATGCAACGCCGATACTTTTAAAAGCGATTAAAAGGTTTCAGCGCCCAGGTATACAAGATTTCTGGACAATACAACATTTCAAAGCGGCCATGTACACCGTTTTTCCCTTGGAGTGTAAGTGAGTGATTCGGCGAGAGCGATCTCTTGGTTCGAACTGTTATTGGAAATGATAGTGGTTTGATGTGGGGTATTGTTTGATAGGATCTGCTCCTGCCAAGCCTTCTGACGTTTCGGAGGCGTTCCTTCATTCCTCAGCGTACGTCATACCTCGTTGTCCGACATCTCAATCCTCAAGGAGGACCAAGCACACAGGCTCGATGCGAAGATGGACGGTGTCGTTGAGAAGACTGGTAGTGGTAGCTGGGGATCCGAAAAATTAGAAAACGCACCTCTCTTCCCAGAAAGTACTAGCACCGCTCCGGTAGCGGCCACGTCGAGACAGCCCGATAAGCACAGTATGACCTACATCATACGTTCTGGGTTCGCTGGAGGAATTGCTGGTTGCGTGGTGAGCCACCTACTGTCGAACATGTAGAGAACAGAATGATGACCAACTGATCGTAGAACTCAGGCCAAAACATCTGTTGCACCTCTCGACCGTGTGAGGATCTTGTTCCAAACTAGCAATCCTCAGTTCACAAAATACACGAAATCCTGGGTAGGCTTCGCCCAGGCATTACGGGACATATATGGGCGAGATGGAATGAAGGGAATCTTCCGCGGTCATTCGGCAACATTGCTAAAAATCTATCCTTATGCGGCTATAAACTTTGTCGCTCACGAACAGTATCGAGCACTTATCATTTGTTCCAAGAGCCAGGAAACATGGATACGAAGGTTCTCCGCTGGTGCATCGGCAGGTGTCACGTCGGTTTTCCTCTTATATCCTTTGGACATCATACGAGTTCGTCTAGCATTTGAGACGAAGTCTAGGACCTCCTCACTGGTCGAAATTTGCAGGAGGATCTACCACGAACAACTACTCTCAAATTCAGCACCAGTTGTTTCTGGGTCAACTTCTGGAGTGATCAAAGACGTTGCATTAGCCGCTACACCGCGGACAGGCGTGATCAACTTTTATAGAGGCTTTTCGATGACGATACTTGGCATGGTTCCATACGCTGGTATGTCTTTCATGACCCATGATGTAGTCGGCGACTTGCTCCGCCAACCCTCCGTCCAGAAATACACAATACTTGCTCAACCCGCCAATGCGCCATCAGATAAGCCAGCACCTTTACGGGCTTGGGCTGAACTCACATCGGGGGGCGTTTCTGGAGCAGTTTCGCAGACAGTCTCATATCCCCTGGAGGTCATTAGACGGCGGATGCAGGTTGGTGGCGCTGTGGGAGACGGACATCGTCTCGGTATAGGAGAGACAGCAGGTGTAATATTCAAAGAGCGTGGAATTTCGGGATTCTTTGTTGGCTTGTATATTGGCTACGTGAAAGTCGTACCTATGGTCGCCATAAGCTTTTACACGTATGAACGGATGAAATCGTTCCTTGGTATATGAACGAAGAAAGCGGGAAATTGAACGCATCTAACGGGAGTAAGGTGTCTATGAAAACCTCAGTTGGCATTTGTAGTGTTCACGCGCAAGCGTACGTGAATGTCAGATGTTCTTCAGAACAAGAGCATGCCATCCTCGGCCTAATTTGTATGCACAGACAACTCGTCAGGTGGAACGCGTTGCACACTGTGAGTCTTGAAACCGTCCTGGAGTTTTCTTGGTAAATCTGGCCGATCTGGAGTTCGATGAGCTTGAGCGCAACATTAGTTAGGGTGATATACAGCGAATATATCATAGCCTGGAAATCAGCCCAACGCAGTTGGTGATTTCGAATGGCTAAGGAAAATACTGATCAATAGCAGTAGGGGTACATGGACAATGGATCTCTGGATGTGAGATCGTTGTGGAATCCAAGAACTACTTAACTGTATCCCACCACACTTGCAGGTTCATGCCAAGATTCTTATAGAATATTATTACATATGCAACAACCTCGCAATTGATTAATAGTCTGGGACCGAAAAGCAAGTGCTGGATTCAGCATTTTTGATAGCTATTGGATAAACATATGATGAGTTTAAAAACGAAGGTTGAGCAGCAGTTGCTATGTTAAACACATACTGTCATCAATCCCCTTCGTCCTATCTTTCCATTGCCAGAACCCCTCTAGTGAAATTCCCATGCGGCCCTCGAGCAATACGGAAACATGAACATCGAGCCTGTGCATACAAACTTGACTTACTATGGCTCGGTCAAAATTAATCTCTGTAACGTCTGGTTCATTGCCGTGGCGTAGCAAGTAGGGTTCGAATTTTTCGCATTGATCCGGGTCTTTCCTACACATCTCAAGGCGTTCCTCAGATCTGTGGGTGAATTGTGTGTCTCAAAGCAGATAGGGTGCCCATATTCTATTCGCACATCCTGCATCCTGATGGCGTTGGAATGACCAAAATATGGACCCGTACAGGCAACACCATGGATCGTGGCAATTGAAGAACGATGTGCTCGGACAAAGTGCAGCATCACTTATTTCACTGTTGACCATCTCAGGTGATTTTCTCGGCGAGGTATTGCGGCGCGGTTCGCAAGCTACTACAACAAATGTTGGCCGAACAATTCTGAACTCCAACGAATTTCTTGCACGAGATCTTCTCCACCCCTGACACAGAACACCGCAAGTCTAACGAAGAAGACCTCAACGACCGTTTTATGATCATACGACAAACCATGTATCAACATGATGCACTCCGGCAAGACCTCCTCTATCGCCTGCGGTGGAATGTCTTCGGCCCACTACGTGACATCAAGGTGGTGGAAAAGCCGAGCGGTGATAGCGAGGGCGGTACACTCAGTCCATTACAAGACCATCCTATTGCATCAGAGTTTGTTGGAGTACCGCCTTGTGCCCAAATCAGACTGGAGATAACGGAATGCATTACGAAACACAATTTCGATTATACAAGTGAGCTGGGGAGCGATGACGATGAGGAAGAAGAAGACGAAAAGGATAGTGATGAGGACGAGGGTGACGTCGAGCAGGGCTATCAACCACCTCCACCGCTCATCATCAGGAACAGCGACGATACCCCAATCACTATAGAGCAATTTGTCACTCAACTGCACAAATATTTCCACGACAACAAAGACAACATTATTCAAGTTCAAGGACGAGATTTATTCGGGCCCGGAAAACAACAACGACGGTCCCTGGCTGACAGACCTTGGGCCGAGGAAAGAAACCGGAAATATACCCGAAGGAACAGACATCTACCTCCAATCGGCTACGGGCCACATGTACGAGGACGGGCTTTGGGTCCAAGTAAGCCTTCTCGTCGATGGAGACTATGGCCTCACGAAAGAGGCGCTGTGGTCTTTCCAAGCAAAAGCCTACATTCCATCACTACCCCCTACCCATGTTCCCCACAGCACTGAACCGAATCCTTTAAATCCCAGCGTTTGAGCTTGTGGAAGGCAAGTCCATATATCTCGGTGTTTAAAATCACTTTCGTCGACGAATTGTTCTCTCGACTCGTGATTAAACAAAGTGTCGCCTCATGCTCAAGGAAAAAACAGGCGTCATATCTGCTTACGGCGGCTCGATTTTGTGAGTGCAACTATCGCTGCCGTTCGGACAATGTGTACCATTTCGAGTATGCTCGGATCAAGCGAGTTCGAACATAGACACAATTAACAGAAAAGTTACAATTCGCTACAAAACCCACTACCCACAAAGCGGACACTTCAGCCTCCCCATGCCCGTGCCCGTACTCGTCCCACCCACCCCACTCTCCTTCTCGACACACGTCTTATGCCAAAGATGCCTACACGCAAACAACACAACAGGACCAAGCTGTGCATCCGCCGCTCCACTCACCACCCCAGACCCCGTGCCTTCAACCCCCTCCATCTCAGCACTTTTCCCCTTCCCCTTCCCCGACCCACTCCCCTCACCAGCCTCCGTACCTCCATCCCTCCTCTCCTTCTCCCTCTCCCGTTCCCTCCCCTCCCACACCTCCCAGACCCCATGCCCAGCCCCAGGGCCCCAGCATCGACCTCGACATCCCTCGCAGACCTGGCCTCGTGGTCGCCATCCCCTTTCGCGCAGCACTTTCAGCTCCGCGACGTTTGTAAACGCTTCTTTGTCCAAGAACCTATTTGCCAGAGCGAGGATGGTCTCCTCAAACGTGTACGCGGCGAAGATTTCCGCGAGCACGGAGCGAAGGTCCGAGAGTGCGGGGGATGAGGAGGCCGATGCACGAGTGAGGAAGCAGCGCAGAATGCGGAGGAAGGAGGGGTTTGTTTGGGTGGTGTGGAGTTGTGTGTGGCGTAGCTGGGGGCGGGAGTTCGATGAGCCGTTTCGTGTGTGTTTTTTGTTTGGTGGGATGGTAGTCGCTGCGAGGAGAGCGGAGAAGGTTTGCTGGACAGATTCGCGCAGTTTGGTGGAGATTTTGTTTGTGTCGATTGTGTCGGAGGGGATGGGGCTTGACGATGCGATTGCGGCGTCGAGGTCGGTGATGGCGGATGACGTGTCTCTGATGAGTCTTACGACCGTGTCGATGAGGTCGAGCCAGAGCATCTCGTCTGATGCTAGTTCTGCTTCCTTCACCTCGCCGTACGCTGACTTTCGCCTGTCGACAATGGATTCCGGAGGCTTGTCCGCTGACCTCGTTTGGCCCTGACACAGCCATATGCCAACCTTGACGTACTTCTGTATATCCTCGAGTAAATCATGCGTTGCTTCTTCGGTATTGGCCACATCAGGACTGTCTGCAGCTGCGCCAATGAGTCCGCTGAGTGCGGTCTCGAGTGTGCTAATGTGCTTCACTAGGCGGCCCATTGCATCTTGGACAAGCCCATCACGAGCCATGAGGATGATAGCTGCGTCTATGGCCCCGCTCTTCTCAAGTGCAGGCAGAATCGGGTCTAATCTCAGGTCGCCTGACTTGAGTAGACTGACAAAGTCTGCAACATGTGAGCTGTTGTATGTACACATCAGTTGAACGTAGCGTTCGATAAGTCCTGATGGCAAGTTCTCATCGATCGCTGTGACTTCATCGGTCTGTACCTGGTGAGGCTCGACGATAGCTTTCAGGTGGTGATACTGAACATCGGAATTATCGTCGAGACCATCGAAAACAGACTTCAATAAGTCAGGCGCATACCGCTTTATCGTCAGTGCGGTCTGTGATGCATCCACAGCAGCTAGGTCACTCGCACGGTCCACGATGAGAGCCTTGACCTCGTTGACCTGCTTGCTGACAAGACCTTTGCCTGGTCGCAAAATGTCGTGTATGCAGTCAAAGACCGCTTTTTCATCTTCTGTGTCGTCAAGGTAGGTCTCCAGCAGCTTAGCATACTGTTGCGCACCCCGATAAACGGACTTGAGCACGCGATGGAATCCCGCCCGTTCAAACAAGGGAACGAGACTCTGAGGACTCGGCGGGTGGTAGATGGAAAGGAGATACTCGACTGAAAGTTGGCAGTCTTCTTTGATGACTTCAGTGGGGTAATTGCAAAGCCCGACAAGGATCTGGTGAAGGGAGGTTCCGGGGAGCATTATGTGTTGAGGGTATTTGGGTAGATTTCGAGCAATGAACATATAGAAGTATATGATGTCTTCCACATCGAAGTTATCCGGGGTCATGACACCAAGGAGGATGTTGACAATGTACTGACGTGTGGGAGTAAATGCTGAGCCACGCTGATTGCCGTTAATGTTGCTTCCGTTTGGCGCTTGTTGTTCTCCATTCAGGAAGCCGTCTTCGAAGGCCTCATTGAGCATACTCATGAAGCTCGATGCATCAAACTCCAACACCAAGCGTAGATATGGAAAAGGTGGTTCGGGGCTCTTGTCGGTGCGCGTCAATACCACTTCGCCTGTGCCTGGCGGCCACTGGATGTTCTTCCCCGAGAACATAAACCGATACATGTCCTTCTTTGCACTGTAAGCCTGCGCATCGTCCATGGATGTCCCAACAGGATACACCCGTCCTGTGAAAGTATAGGCTAAGTAGGGAAAGATTTTCTTCGCCGATGAGATGAAAATATTCTCTGTTTCGTCGATATCAAAGTCAACAAGCTTGAGGAGCTCCAAGATGTTTGTGAGTGGGGTGATAAAGTCGCCAATTGTCTGAGTCCAGACATGTATCAGGGCGTCGTAGAGAAAGTATTGCTGGCAAAGTGTAGTAACCTGATTCATGTCCATGGTGTCGGTGCTCAACCGACAAATCATCTCTTCCAGTTGGCTGCCACGACCAACTCCAGCGTAGAAATTGATGAGATCCTTCAGGACGTTTGGAGGCACAGCTGTAATCTCATCGTCGAGGATGTAGGGCTCGAGAGTCTCGAAGAATGGTTGTTCTGCCGATGCGTCTTCGAACGCATCATACACATCTTCAAACAGGAAATCCAACTCTTTCATGCTTAGAAGACCAGTGAAGCACACTTCGGCGAGCTCCTTCAGACGTGCGTCCCGCGAATCGTCGTCTTGTCGTGAGAAAGTGTATCGCATCGATGCAGTGATCATTTCCAGAAGCTTCTCTTGTACGAGTGCGTGCCGTGCACTGTCGTCATCTGGTAGACCAACAGTCAGTTTGTCAGCATCTCCAACGTAGTACGATGTTGCGAGGCGGATGGCTGCGATAAAATCGCCGTCTTCCATCAACGCCAGTAACCGATCAGCCCAGTTAGAGAGAGTGCCAATGGAGACATCGTTGAAGCCCAGTAGGAACAGCCGGCCTTTATAAGCTCGGAAGCTCATGTAGAAAGCATCGGCAACTACACCATGCATTGAGGCATCTCCTTCTTCAAGGGTCTCAACTACGGGCCTCAGCTGTTGCGAAAAGAGATCTGAATGGTAGATGTGTTTCTGCAACAGGTCGAACGAATCCGTTGTGCGCATCGTGTTATCTTCGAGGATGAGCAGGCGCTGGCTGATAGTCAACACACCCAGAACTGATCTGCTCAACCACTGGACAGCAACAATAGCTTCTTCAGATCTCCATCGACTCCGCGGTCGGAAGCGAAGTTCTGTGGGCTTCTCCTTCTCGGAAGGTGGCGCTACTATACTCTCAACATCGAGGACGGTCAAGACATTCGACCAGCAGTAAACGAGCTTGGTCTTCGAGACGGCGTTTTCGGATCCACCAGACGGCGTTTTCAGCTTCACTGCAGGGAACCATGCCATACATCCGCTCAATGCACCGTGTGGTTCGACCTCCTTTGGCCTCGGAGCCTTGTGCTGTGTCTGTGCCAGAGGCGTGGTCGACACGATGACTAGCAAGTATGGGGTTAGAAGTGCAGTCAGTCCCATGACATCTGTCGGCTGCTCTACGTTGCCCAGTGGAAGCGGGGAGAATGCAAGAACTGAGCTTGGCTTCCGTGGCTTCTCAAGCGACTTTGCAGACAAAGGGTATCTGCCAAGTATGCGAGTGGTCTTAACGGAGCGTGCAATGGCTCCCAGTCCACGGGTCGCAAGGTGCGAGAAGGCCATGCCACCATCATCGGCGGAGACAAGGGCTGTATGACGTGTACCCAAGAACCCTAGGTGGAGAATGGCGACGCCCGAGACGTGACCGTCTGACCTTTTGTTGTCCAAGGTCGCTCTATCCAGTGGAGGGATGTGCAGAAACGGCTTGGCGGGCTTCGACAATTCCCACGTGAAGACATGTCCCGTCGCATGGCCTCCAGCGATAGTCGAGTGATCAGCAGATATGGCCAATGCGGTGATGGCACCACACTCGACAGCTGTTGTTGAGGTCAGATGGAATTACCCTCAAGACGATGTTGCGTGTCATACCTTTGGTGCCCGGTCCGATGATAGATTTGAGAACCTGCTGATAGTCGAATACGAGAATGAAGCCCTTTGATGTGCCCACGACAAGCGACGCAGCGACACTCAGACACGTTGGGCGGCCAAAGTTACGCTTGCCAATTTCTGAAAAGACCTGCCCGGAAATCTTCTTCAATTTGGTCCATCGCACGACTTCCCAAGGCGCTTGTGGGGTCTCGGCCTCGTCTGGCAGCTGCTTGAACAAGATGCTCGATATTGAGGACTGTCGGGAGTGTCCTGACAGGAACGCAGGCGACGCAGCACGTGGTGACGCTAGTGGAGAGAGATTGAGGCGGGAAGAGAAGCGGCGTTCGAAGGGTTGGAGAGAGGGTCGATGAGGGCGGCTAGAAGTGTATGACGCAGGCACACTGCTACTGGGCGAGGACAGGATTGAGCCCTGCGGTGGTCAGACTAGGCGACGTCGTGCTATGCGCCGCAACGTACCTGTATAGAGGGTGTGTCGTCTGGTGTGAGTGTTGATGTTGGACTGCCCGGCCTCAGTACAACCTTTGGTACTGAGAGCTCTCCTATCGTGTCATCTCCTCGTTGTTGACTATCGTGGGTTCGTGTCCGGGCAAAAGTGAAGCCATTGTTCCCACTGTCAATGGATGCAGCCTCATCCTCAGTGTCCTCCTCCACGCCATGCTCCTCGGTCGCGCCTTCCTCTCTCATTGCATGTAGCCCACTGGACATATGGTTTTCATTTGAATGGGCCCCAACGCCCAGCTCAAGCTCATCCTCGTCATCATTGTGAGCGCCGAGAGAGCTCGCGCCCGAATCTGAGCTCATGGGGCTCGTTCTCCACACAGCATCGCTTCACGCGGACAAAGAGGTGTGGTTTCGGGCGTTTCTCGGTTGTGTCGAAGCCACCAATTCGGACCCCAAGATCAGTCGTGGGCGTTGTAGTTATAGGTTGCACGGAGATGGCGGGCAATAGTATGCGATTGCAGATGCTGATGCCTGGACGCGGTTGCAGGGTTTACGGGAGAATCGCCTCGATATTACAATTACTGCGCCGTGGCCGAACACGGATATGACGGGCCTTTGCGTCGACGAGGCACTTCAAGACGATACAGAGAGCGGTCGCGGGGATGCTGGAGGGAGCGAGCTTCCGGGCGCATGCGTGAACGACGGCAGATGCCGTACAAGCTCCGTCGCGAACAAGACCTCCACCGCGACTTTAACACCAATCCGCAAACAACACATTCACAACACACACAATGCCCATCGGACCCACACTGCCACCACATCTCGCGAAACGCAGTCGCGACGACGATGGCGACCGCGCCCCTTCCCCAGATGCTAGCGAAAAACGCCGCAGGGTAGCTGGCCCAGCACCTCCGCCCTCCGCATCACGTACAGCTGGGCCCACCCTGCCACCGAACTTCCCTTCACGCTCGAGCAGCGAAGACAGCGATGCCGGTCCAGCACCCCCACAGCCTCCGAAACGCGTCGCTGGACCCGCGCCACCACCCGCGCCGCTCGACCAACGCCCATCGAACCCGCCAGACGACGACTCAGACAGCAGCAGCGACGATGACTTTGGCCCCGCGCCACCGCCACCCGCAGGCGCATCATATGCATCCCACAACGACAATGGCAGACCCGCGCCTTCGCTCTTCGACACAGACCCCGCGTACACTGAGGCTCCCAAGAAGACAGCACGCGACGAATGGATGACCATGCCCCCCACCCAAGACGACCTCGCCGCGCGCATGGACCCGACGAAACTGCGCGCGCGGAAATTCAACACCGGGAAGAGCGCTGGCGCGTCAAGCGGCGGGGGCATGAGCAGCGCGTGGACCGAGACGCCAGAGCAGAAGCTCAAGCGCCTGCAAGATGAAGCAATGGGCATTATCACGCCGTCAAACGCTGCGTCGACATCTCATCAGAGCTCGAAGAAGAGCAGAGACGAGGAGCGACGCGCGCGCAAGATTCAAGAGAAGATTGAGGCTACGAGGGGGAAGAGTTTGGTTGAGCAGCACAAGGAGAAGGGTACGGGTAAAGTGAAGGAAGATGATCCTAGTAAGCGCGCGTTTGACTATGAGAAGGACATGGCTGTGATCGGTACGGTGAACCACAAGCAGAGGAGGGATATGTTGAATAAAAGCAAGGGGTTTGGGGACCGGTTTTCGGGCGGGAGTTTTCTGTGAGGCGGGAATGGGGTTGTAAATACTTTTGTTATATCCACTTGGATGTTTTGAAAAATACTCCTTGCGCTGTCTCTGATTGGACACTAACGAGCAGTGGGCTGTTGTAGACCTGCCCGATAATACCAACCCCATGTTCTACGTGTTGACTTGAGATTCGGCATATTGCAACTCCTCATTCTGTGCTCCATCGCACGCTAGTAAGTTTGGCTGTGAGGATGGCCAAGGTGTGCTTAGTCTCACAGAAGGCTCAAACGCACCTCCCGCTCAGTTGATCGAGAGAAGCAGAACTAAGCTGCCATCGTAACTATTTTCTATGTTAGAGGCTTTGGCTGTGACAAGAGCGTGCAAGTCGCCGCGTCCAATGTAAAGCCCGATTCAGCCATTTCAATTAGGTGGTATAGAAAGACCTTTCTTTCTGTTCCGCTGCTGTCTAGTTTAGGGCTAGCGTTGAATTGATGACGGTAGAGATTCTTCAGCTCTTGTGGAGATGACTCTGACAGGACTGATAGACCTCACAGGCTAGGCAACGGCCTTCCAACGGTAGCAAGCAGCTCACCTCTCGCGTGAGGCGAAAGGCCGGGAATAGCGCGGTGGTGGGATGCTTGAACACCACCACCCCAAAGCCGACTTGATCGCTGTAGGGGTTAGTTAATCCGACATTCGTAAAACCTGGTACTTGGGGTTTTGTGCCTCACGCCGTATGTTTATATTGAAATCAAGCCGTTTGAGGAGTATTCCTCACGCGTGCTACTATCACGGATTTTTGCTTCAACAATACACGCCCGCAATGAGTCTTGCGTATGTGATGCAGGGTCAACAAATAATCAGGGACATCTCATGCCATGACATTTTTACGTCGGGCGTTAGCCAAGCGTAGTTGAGGTTACATGGGCAAGGCTGGACTCAAGGAAGATCTTCCCGCGATCTAGGCCGCCTTGACTTCGACTTGACGTCTTAGCTCATAAATTCCTGGCTAACCTCTGTCCCAATTTCCCGCAAGCGTATATCTACCACCTACACGGTCTTAGTCTTTAAACTTGCCTACCTGGCGGATGGAAAGACTATTAACCCTGGGAAAATAACTCATGTCCTTCATTAACTAGTCAATTCACTGTTTATCTGCACGTCAATGAATTGTCTTGTTGAAGAAGAAACTGAGCGCAGTGCCCTCACCAAGCTTCGTTTGTGGCTGGCTGAGAAACTTAGCCCTTGCCCTCAAGCGGCTGTGGCGTCTTCGGTCAACCCCTTTCCGAGGCTGCATCACGAAAGAATCATGCCCAAGGGATGATTTCAACGCCAAAGATGAAAACCATTGAACAACAGGCGTGACTAGTCTGGTGTGAGGTGTCGATACTTGAATTCATCTCATCCCGTTGTTTTTCCCATCTCCTTTGGGCAATTCAGCAATTTGATAGTTGCACACGGTTGGCGTGCAATGTTGTTTACCAAATTCCTCCTTCTGGAGGCTTCGGTCAGCGCACTCAACACAGCTGTTCAAAACCCCAACGCAGCGCGATGCAGTCTTGTCGATCTTGTTGTTACTGCGTTGCGTAAAGAATCTGGAGCTTCGTCATTCTGCTCGTCGTTTCTCCAGATCTCAACCGCAACCGCATCGGCGACCGTAACTCTCACCAACACAGTGAGCTCAACGTCCATAACGCCAACAACACTCACGGTTACGGAAACCAGAACCACGTCGACTTCGACCACAGATGTGGCTCTTGAACCAATTACTTCCACAGCAGACGCCGTAACCACTACCGTGACAGATACAGTGCAAGTCTTGCCCCCATTTCGGATGTCTCGGCCCAGATGAGTACGATGTTGGCTGACACTGTATGTAGAACCTCGACATCCCTGGCATGTGGTGGGCAAAAAAAGAAGAGAAATGCCCCACAAACTATCAAGCCCACTTCGTCTTCCACTAAGAAGACCATGAGTTCTTCGACATCCTGCCGCTCGACGTCTAAGAGCTCTTCGACTTCGAGTTCCACCACTCGTTCATCATCAACTACTCGTTCATCATCAACTACTCGTTCATCATCAACTACTCGTTCCTCGTCGACTGTCCGATCGTCGGTTGCTGTCGTTCCATCGGTAGTCATCCGTCCAACGTTGATCGTCGCTTCATCTTCGACTATCCGTTCGTCGTCAATCACTTCCTCCTCCTCGGTTGTCCGCTCATCGTCAACTACTCCCTCAACTACGCGATCAACATCGACCCCTCAATCATCCAGCGCCACGAATGTGATCGGCTGTGCCCAGGCACCAGGCTTGTTGAAAGTTTTCCCTTGCTCCCAACTGTCCTCTGCGTGCGGTTGCCTCTCTCTACCCATGCCCACGAAGTCAATCACCCTCACTCGAACAACGCAAACTACTATCGTGAACACCGGTTCTGATGTGAGCACGACCACCGTGACGATCACTCAAACATCCATTATCACAGTAAGGAACACCGTAAGAGCTTACCGAGCAGAATGCGGGCTAACATGGCATAGAACCGGCCTGTCTCTACCTACACACCAACTTTCACGAGCACGTCCACGATAACATCTGTCACCATAACATGCCGTACGTCGAACCGTGCCATCCTTTTGTTCATGATTGTTGCTAACGCATTTTAAACAGCTTGTGCCACACCTACCCCAAATATCTGTGGTACTACCTGTGTCGACCTTCTAAGCGACCCCAACAACTGCGATTCCTGCGGCAACGTAGTAAGTCTTAAACTTCTCCATGTCGTTGATGCGCTGATACTAATCCCACTCAGTGCTCTTCTGGAACCTGCATTAACGGAAATTGCAGCATGTCCGACTGTCCCGTCGGAGGGAGTTGCAACAATGTCGTTACTTGTGGAGGCCTCTCATCGTGCCATTGCAGACAGACCACGAGAGGGATCAACCGCTGTCTGAGTCAAGCGCAATGCCCCGGTTCAAGTGCATGCGATGCTGATTCTGATTGTGGATCGGGTCTGTACTGCGTTACAAACACTTGCTGTGGGGACAATATCAACGTTTGTGTGGGCTATGGCGCTTGCCCCAACACTTTCGCGCCAGTCCGCATGTTCAAGAGGAGGGGCCTGATGGAGAGGGCGCGTTACGACATTGACGACCCTGAGTCTCTTGTGAGGGCAAAAGCCGCTAGCAATCAGTCAAGTTAATGCTGTAAGTTTGTTATGACGAGTTTTCCTTAGTTGTGGGTTGCCAGTTGCTTATATAGATTTAGCACACTTGGACGTTATTGCCTCGGCTTTTAATTTGTCATTCACCTTTCATTTAACGTCATATTATATACCTTATGATCGAGCTGCCATGTTGAAATCATTCTACTATCTTCAATCAATCTGATTCTGATTAAAACTGTATTCCTTTTTCACCTTCGTTAACATATGTTTCTTTTTCAATATCCAGTTTCGACAATCAGGATTAATACACGCGCCTGATGTATATTGTGGAGATTCATCGCGGCTCTAATTATAAGATCCCTAACGTTTTTAATAATGAAGGAAGTTCTGATGTTGAAGTTTAGTTTAATGTTATGATCTATTGTAATTTTGCTACTGCAGTCCAGCACAAGCACTTTCTCCGTAGTAGCTGTTGGAGTTACTTTTCTAGTACTACTCAAAGTCTTAGCCAGCTCATCACCAATACTTCCCCACCGGAGGCATCCTCAAACGGTACCCAAACTCCACCCAACAACAGCCTGAAAGTATTGAACATGCAAAAATGACTTATCGACTCGTCAGGATCTGCACTGTGTGAGAGGATATAGATACACTTCAACAGAAAGGTCGTCAGGTAGCGTTGTAGGTTCACTGCTCACCTCTGCCACCACTGTGCTCTCTCCCAGTAGAACGCAAGGCCTCTCCATAAACAGTTCAAGCTCAAGTACCACACTTAGACCATCTTCTTTGACGATGACTTCAAGTATCACTCAGAGCCTGATCAGCAGCAGTTCACTGCTCTTCTCTTCCTCTCCGACGGTTACTTCGACCGATATGCAAAGCTTATCTAGCAGCAGCTCGACTACGCTACTTATTCATTTCTTCTCAGTAATATTTCCCGCCGGTAGTGTGAGCCTATCGCTCGTTTCTTCGGTTTCAGTGGTCCCTTTGAGCAGCTCTCTCCAGTAACACGCTCCTTGTCACTATCTCCATCTGCTCTTCCGAAAAACGCACTCATCAATCCACAATTTGTTGAAATTTCTGGCGAAGTATTACGGCCGCATGGTGTGCAAATTATCAAATAGTCTTTTCTCTGCTAGGGCTGCGTATTTTTATTGACAAGATCACAAGTTGTGAGTACCGCGCTCGTCTCTATAGAGCGGTACGTTTTTGTCATTTTTCTTTAATGGTATACTCGATAGAACTGTCTTCTAGCACTTTGATCTTCTAGCGCCTGATTGAACATGTGGTCACAACAACAAAGCTTTTCTCATCTACGCGAGAAGAGTGCTAGACTAAGATACAGCGACACCGAAATTGATAGTAACCTGCACGGAATACATCGTTTGTATCGATATCAGCTCACATCTCGTCATCTGAAAACTCTATCGACAAGAGTCAATGAAATGACACATTACATCTTTGCAGGCCTTGGTTCAGTCCAAGGTGTTGTGTACATGCGCCTCGTTTCGTTGTACTTGCCGCTCGAGCGATTGTTCGTACGCGAGAGGTGACCAGGGGTCTTAAACATACAGCAATGCTGTGCCTCAATGCACTCGTACAGTGTGCATCATGCAGTGTGCTAGAAACCAAATTTTGTCGATATTGCAACCTGTGGGTCGATCACGGTCTCACATGCAGTTAATCCTTTAGTGGCTTGTCGAAACATAGCTGAGCCTCTCGTATCCTGTACATACGGGCATATTGCCAGAACAACGCCGAACTCGATGGCAGTCAAGTAACGCAGGTTCGGAAGCTATGTTCGGGAAAGTGAGTGGGAGGGCGGGAAGTGGGTCATTTTACCCCATGTCCCTAATTTGATTGGTGCGGTCAGCTATCGCCTGCATTGGTCCTTCCCCACCGCCAGCCAGCCACAACTCTCCTCTGAATTCCGTTTCTACTCCCGAGCGCCATCCGCTGTCTTTCAATTACGCGTCATGTCCATCTGCATGCCTAGCCCACAGCAAGATCGATGTAAAGGCCACAATGAACACTATGCGAATGTTGATCATCGCTGCACTGGGTTTTGGCGACGAGCTAATTGCATGTTCAATCATGCGCCGGTAGGGGGATTGCACTCTTCTGGCAGGCATCTGCCTGCATCGACCCAGGTGTCTTGCACAAGTTTATGTCCGTTCCAGCTTCTTTTGCGGTAAGTTTTGCGCCACACCTCTCGCAGACCTGTCTTGACTGAAACTTGCAACAACTTTCGTGCTACCTACTCATCCGGCATGCATTAAAACAATAAAGCTCAGCTACGTTGTAGCAAGCCTCGTATGTTTGGGACTCTCTAGATCGGCGAAGGCCGATACGTATTGACAACTCAAAGTTGTGATAATCCATAAATACCCTCCACAAACATCACCTTGATATCGGATATCATCTGCAAAATCGTGTCCACAACAGGTCAACTTCATTATGCCTGACTTCATGCTCGACGAAATCGAAGCATTGGGTAGCTTGCCTTCCCAAACATCAAAGATCGATTCCGGTCGATACACCATTTCATCCACTGAACGACTGAATTTGGAGTCGCCGGACGACCAGGTTCATGCAAAGATTTGGTTCCAGTCTCCAGTATGAGCATCCTTGCAACTCTCATTCGGATCGACCTTGGCCAAACAATCACTGATGTTTCCAGCCACTTAAAGTCAGCACTATTCGGCGTATCGATAATCTTCAACTCTTAGCCGAGTCCCACGATCAAGGCTTTGCCGATAACCCTTCGGCTGGCAACTGGACTTGGTTCGAACTAGCCATACTGGAAGACGAGTTTGCAAAGACACCTCGGGTGAAGGATGGTATCGAGCTTGTCTGGAAGAGCCATCGCAACCGATTTCGCAAGCGCAAATACGGCTGGGTAAGCACACAACATCCTACCCGTTGAACCTTTTTAGCTGATGAATTATTCCAGAAAGAGGGTCAGGAGTTCGATGAAGACCATGATCTTCTACGTGCACTTGAGGTAAATAACGGTTTCGAAATCTAAAGACGTCGACTTACCATCTCATGTTTAAAGGACGGCAACGTCATAGCTGTTCGCATTTGCGCAAGGTTTCCCAATTGGGAAATCGCGGCTCGATCAGGTTATCTTGTAGTCAACATTGGCGACAAAGAATGCAAGTATCAACATACCTTTGCTTCGATCTTCAGCGTATTAACATATCCCATAGTCAAGCGCCAGCCCGTACATTACGACAAGGTCGTCTCTCAAATCGAGACTATTCAAGAGACAATACACGAAATCAACATCCATACCAATACAGCCTTCACAACGACTTTGCCCGACAATCTCTTCCGCGCGGACGTTTTTGGCTCCAGTGGAGAGCGCCCACTTCGCGTCCTATCCCTTGGTAAATCTTTCAGATATTGCTTCGATAGCCTCTCTGATTAGCTTGCAGATGGTGGAGGCGTTCGGGGGCTTGCATCGCTACATCTTCTGAAAGCGGTTATGGACCAGGCAAAGCTCAACAAGAAGCCTTGCGAAGTGTTTGACATGATCGGTGGTACTAGTACCGGAGGGTAAGCCATCTCGTATCTGTCGTGACGCCTAGCCGTTACTGACTTCCACAGTCTGATAGCTATAATGCTGGGTCGCCTACAAATGACCATTAAGGAGTGTATCGACACGTACACAGTGTTCATGAAAACGGTCTTCAAGAGCTCATGGAAAGGCAAGAACGGAGACCTGGTTGCAAACGGCTCATACTATGACGCCAGTATCCTCGAGAAAGTGGTCAAGGACCTTATTCGGGATCGACTCCACAACGAAGATGTCAAGATGGTTGATGAAAGCAAGGATACAAATAATGCTTGCAAAGTGTATGTCCACTCTGCGGCCTTCTCCAAGCTCCCAATATGCTTACAGTATGCAGTTTTGTCATGGCGGTGCGTACAGATGGACCAAGCAACCGGGCGCCCGTCTTTCTACGTTCTTATGTCAATCCACAAGACATTTCTGCAATTCCTGACATCAAACTGTGGGAGGCTGCTCGTGCAACATCCGCAGCCCCACTGTACTTCGCCCCCATGAAGGTCGGCGACTATGAGTTGGTGGATGGCGGCTTAGGCGCCAACAATCCATTGGGATGGTAAGACGCTCGCCTGATCTTGTCGTAGTAGTTCTGTGCTCACTTTGTATAGGCTCTGGACAGAAACGCTGGCTGTGTTTGGACCCGCGCGAAGTACCGATTGCTTCCTCAGCATTGGCACGGGCATTTCAGCTAACGAACCGCTTTCCAATCCAGGAAGGACCAACCCAGTCACAACCGCCAAGGCTCTTTCTTCCATCGCTACAAATACACAAATCGTGCATGTACTTTTCCGTTCACTCATTAACGCATTCGCACCCAAGCCTCTGGAAAAGAAGTACTGGAGGCTGAATATCGGCGAGGAAATACCTGAGCGGGTAGAGCACAAACCGGGTGGCTGGTTTTCAGGGCCAACTGACGTGAAGCATTTGGACAACTTCAAAAAGCTTGGCGAGCTCGACGACACTAGGGAAGAGGTCATTCAGGAGCTTTTAAAGATGACAACTCAGTATGTGAAGTCTCAAGATAGTCAGATTAGCGACTGTGCTGCGGCCATAAGAGCTAGTATTGGACGTCAGGATTTGACCAAGGAGAGTGATAGTTTACGCCCCTAGGTGGGTAAACTTGTCTGAATGGTTATGAGGGTATTTCGTGGTAGATAGTTCAATCGAGTGATCGTGTTTAGTCAAATACGAGTACATCGATTTCCAACTTTCATGAGTTGGCTGTCAGGATATTCTAGGCAAATTCAAGATGACGATTTGTGGAGCCATGATGTCCAACTTCTATAGGATCAAGGGATGGTCTACCTAGGGTTTACTTCTGCTGTTGTTGGTATAACTTCAAGAGAAGAAGAATTGATCCCAGAGGTTTGGGCAAAAGCTGTGTAGAACTTTTGAAGTGTCGCTGTGATGCAGGACTTTTGTCGTGAAATTGCGTTCAGAACCGTTGATGATGGGACAGTCTCACGATTGACTCTCGTAAAGACCAAAATTTCCAACCCATACATCACATTAAGAATAACCATCTTACTCGTTGCATAAACGGATCCATGATACGTTTCAGTAAGCCTGGTTCGAGACTTCCTTGCAAGAACCATTCATACGTCTGCGCCCATGCTCGGTTTCCATCAGCCTCGAGTACGTCCCCATGACACGGTATGATGCTCTCGACGTCCCACTCAGCGACTCGTTTCGCGTCTCGCCGCATGAGCTGGTAGTCTACGCTCGCAATGTAGTATATTAAGCGCTTGAACCAAACTGAGCGTGGATGTGCGCGTTTCGCGAACTCGCGCGAGAAGATGTCTTGTTCGGACGAGGAGGGCTTGTATTGCTGGAAACAGTCAGTCATGTTGATTATGGCAAGGGAAATGCTTGACTACCTCCGTGCACGGTAAATTCATCATCAAGTCCGCCTGAACCAACGTTTTAGTAGGCTTGTGATACCATGCAACACAATAAGTAATGAATCCCTCAAACAACACAGTTTCCATATCCTCCGCAAACCCCAAGACCTTCTCAGGACTTCTGTTTTTCTCTGAGTAAATGAAGTCCCATTTGACATCCTTCCTTTTCCCTTCCAAACCCGGCACACCGATCGTTGTCGCATCAGGCCACACTTTGAGATATTCGCCAATGTACATATGATGACCCAAATCAGCCGCCACGAGGTGCACACCGCCAAGCTGAATAAGCTTCTCTCGTACGGAATTTGAGAGTTGAATCGGGTTGATTAAGAGCATTCGGTTGTCGTGCAGACGAATGGCGGTTGCTCGGTTGCCGACTGCAACGAACTTGCGGTATCCAAATGGTGCGAAGCGGTTGAACGGTGTGGTGAAGGTTGTGACGCCTGGAAAAAGGTCTCGAATGACAATGTCGGAGGTAATCATGGTTGCGGTGGGGTTTTGAGCTCGACGGTCTATTGAGTGTGAGTGCTTTGATGATAGTTTCGATGGTCATGGGCAAATTCCAGACGTTGTGGTGCGCTACAAAAATGTCAGATAACGCGAAGCGGCTGATTCTTCACAGGAGAAAAGAATCCCTTCGTCCAGCAGAATATTTGCATTGCAGGTTTGGGGTTTACAAGGAGAGTTGACATGCGCGATATGAATCATGACGTCATGTTTTCACAAGCATCAAAAACTCGTGGTCGTCCTATAAGATTGAGGTTTGATGAAGTCAGGATGCATTGCATCAATAGAGACGATGGAAACTTCTGCTATTTGAGCAAGTCCTCCGGCTTCATCATCCCACCTTTCAGCATTGCTACCACTGCTGCGGTAGGATCAGCAAATATAGCAGTTCCCGCTAGTTTGATCCCGCCATCACTCTGTTTGACGTAGTGAAACTTGAAAGCGGCCGGGCCAGCTCCGTTCCACTCCTTGCCCAATCTATCCTTGACTCCGGCTCCGTGGCTAGGAGCAACGATGTTCCAGTACAGAGTAGCAACACCAATCATCTCCCAGCCGTCCTTGACCTCCCAGATGACGAGGAATTGAGGTTCGTGGAGATGTTCAGAGAGAGGTGCGTATATCTCTTTACTCAGAGAAGACCAAGAAGCATCGCCTCCAGACACCGCTTCGCCGGTAGACTTGATAAGTTTGTGGTCTGCGGCGAGCCAGTTGGAGTATGGCTCCTTGTCCCAGGCTTTAGCATCGATTGCATTAGTGTATTCTTCCCTATGTACTGTCAAATTGCAATCCAGATCGAAAGAGTCGAGTGTTTAACCACTCACATCCACTTCACACATTCATGGGTCCGCGTTTCATCATCCCAGCCGCCGTAGTGGACGAACGCTTGCTTGGTCGGGAAAGACATCAGCAGTATGTGTGGGTTGGACTGATAAATCAGGTAGATATTTCGCAGTGTTGGTTACTCAGTGAAGTCTTCTGTCAGAGCGATACCCTTTTGTGGGCAATTCTAAGTTCTTATGCTTCGGTCCCAGGTCGCGTGTTGGCCAGCCAAGCAAGCCACACTACCGCTGTGTGCATTTAGAGGCTGAGAAGCTGAAAGATCAGTCAGCCACAGCTTGACCCAAGTGAGCAGACTTTCCGCGGACTTAGAACCGCAGGATTTCCATCTAGGTGAGTATGACCTCCACCGATGAAGTTGGGTGCAGTGCAAGAGTTCGTTTGGCAAATTTACCTTGGAATATAAGAGCAGCAAGTCCCACAGTACTACAAGTACTGCAACCACTATCATACAGTCTATGGGTATAAGATGGTACGTCAACGCCATACCGCGGTCATACTTAGTTATAACTCGATAGTCTTAGCGTGAAGCCACATGGCGTAGAGCTGAGTGTTTGAATGCGGGGAACCAGATCATGCGGTACACAGCTGGAAGATGCTGACGCTAGACTTGTTCTTTGCTATCCCGTGTAGCAGCGTTGAGACGACTCTGAGGATTGACTTATTGCTCCACGTCCCGCCCGGCTCTCGATTAAGTGCAAAGGCCGGAAGTCATTCGTGCTCGCCTGAGCTACATAAAAACGAAAATTCTGATAAGAATTTATACAAAACAGAATAATGCAAAGAACACTAGGAAAATTCAGGGCACACACGTTTTATGGAGATGGATTGTTATGCCGCAACAACGAAGTCGGGGTTTACTCTTAATTCCGACTTATTTAAAGAATAGCTCTGGCGAGTCGAAAAACCAGGAAATAAGAACTACAACGTACCGGTATACTACACAACAACTGATCTAAAGCCGGAATTACAACCATAGTTTTAGGTGAGGACATACAAGATTAAGGTACTGATAAATGCAAAGGTCAACAATTCTCGCATTCCATGATGGTTGACATTGAGTGTCATGGGAGGAGCCTTATTTCCCGATGTTTTGATTTGCGCAGAGAGCGGCAGGCTCGCGCCACGCTAACGGGCCTTAGTGCGTGTAGGAACGACTGCGCCGCAATTTTCGTTCAATCGATTCACTTGACTATCTTTGGCGATCATTCCTTCAGAACCGGCAACATGACCCTTTTGAGCGACGTTTGCGCGGTCATGGACAACTGAATTATCGTAGTCAGGGGTTGAAATATGCCGCGGAGGCGATGCGAACGGGCTTCTTAGTCACGATTTGTATAAAGCCGTAGGTGCTTCCCATAATGGCTCACCGTCCCAGTGCGATTGAAACGCTAGCAATCACGATATGGCAATCTCAATAAGTATAGCGGCACTTTTGCTCTCTATTCCAGCTCTTGCTGCTGAGCCCGCTGTAACTAGTCTATCTGGCGGCCAACAATCAGCGTGCTCTGTGTTCAAACTCCAGTACCCCCAACAGACGTTCTACCCCAACACTTCAGGCTACACATACGAAACTCAGTCTTGTAAGTTTTTCAAGTCCGCAGTGAACTTAAGTGCTGATTCTTCGTAGCTTACTGGTCGGCGACAACGTTTAATGGACCGGCATGTGTCTTCGTCCCACAAACTGCTCAGCAGATGTCGTTTGCAGTCACTACGATGACTCTAACACGGTCAAAATTTGCTGTTCGCGGCGGTGGTCACATGCCCATACTAGGATACAATGGAGTTGACAGCTCAGGAGTACTACTGTCGTCATCCAACCTTACCTCATTGACACTCTCATCCGACCAAACCACCGTGTCGGTCGGACCGGGGAACCGATGGAGAGATGTTTATAGCCTCCTAGCGCCTCGTGGACTTGCTGCTGTTGGAGGTCGCGTGGGGCATGTCGGCGTGCCTGGCTTACTGCTTGGAGGAGGTATCTCGTTCTTCTCTTCGCAATACGGCTTTGCTTCTGACAATGTCGTCAAATACCAGGTATGTCCAGTTGACATGAGTACTGTGTGAGAATTTCCCTAACATTTGTAGTGCATATTAGCGAGTGGATTGATCGTAGAGGCAACAGCCACCAATGCCTACTCTGATCTCTTTTGGGCCTTGCGAGGCGGCGGAAACTCTTTCTGCCTTGTCACACGCTTCGATTTGAAAACTGTTGTTTCGAGCAAAGTATGGGTAGGAATTGCTCAGTTCGATGAGTCGCAAGCAAAGGGATATCTGGACGGCGTGTACAACTTCGGCAAATACGGTGCTCCGTCCGATCCAAAGGCCGCCATCATCCCTACCATTCTCACTTTCCCGTCGGCAAACTTGACCGTCTACGCAGCGGCAAAGTTTTACGATTCGCTGACCAATAGCCCAACTGCCTTCGAGAACTTTACCGCACCAAGGCTCACACCGGTCGCCGATTCATATGCACTACAACCGTTGTCAGACTACATTTCGGTAACGGATGCTCTCCAGCCAAACGGTCTTCGACAAGCATTCCGTGTCATCTCGTCTGTCGTCAATCGTGAGGCAGTCCAGGAAATCCACGACACCTTTATTTCAGAGGTAGCGGAGACCCTCGCAGCTGTTCCCAACATCCAGGCGTCTATTACCTTTCAGCCAGTGACCAAAGACTTCCTGCAGCACAGCATCAATAGCGGAGGAAATCCGCAGGGAGTCGACCCCTCCAAAGCGCCCTATTTCTGGATGGTCGAAAACTGGACGTGGGACGACGCGGCCTATGACGCTATCGTCCAGAATGCTGCTGATAACATTACCTCTAGTATCAACAAGCTACTAGAAGCTGGCTCGTGGGAAGCGGGGTATTTGTACATGAACGATGCAGGGTATGGCCAGCGCGTCTTCCAGAGCTACCCGGCCGCGAATTTACAGAAACTCAAGACTATTCGTACCAAGTACGACCCTCTGCGAATCTACTCAGATTTGATGCCTGGGGGGTGGAAAGTCGTCGAGGCATAATTTCATTGCACTTATCTGCAAGGCTTTTAACCTTTGTCTACGTCAAATCCTCGTAATTGAAAAAATCTCCCATCACGAATGTTTGGAAACTTAGTGAAGATAGTTCAGCACTGTGATAGTAAATATAAATTAGGACTTCAATGATATGACGAGTGATTAAGCCACCCGAATCCCCGCTTTGCCAGGTAATTGGCGGAACCCACCGCTATACTCCGTGCCGCCGGCATGGTTACACCCCAGCACACATACCGCAGAACTTGAATCCGATGTCATTTAGCAAGGGTATCCAGCAAAATTGGTCGTTATGCGAGTGGTGGAACTTGCATAGCCGATTTGCGCCACTATGTGCCCAATTGCCGCACGTCGCTTCGGTCAGATCCCTGCCAAATGTAATCGGATTGACCGCAATTTAACGGTAAATATGGGCCATGTCGGACTAAACTAGCTGTGTGCTTACCAAGATAAACGGCACGCATGCCTAGTGCCGTTGTAGCGGTTACAAGATCTCGGGAACAGCTAATCTTGCGACATATGTGCAGCAAAAGGCCTAGGCATGTTTCTATTGTATTGTAACTCTTCGCTCAAAACACGGACGATTTAGCGACCTTCCTAATACGTACTCGCTACTTTTGATAAGATTTCTTGCGCACCCTGGATGCAAAGATTGAAAGTATCTTCAAAGAGACATTGACTTTTGATTTAGTCGCTTAGAAATGTTCAATATGATACCTTTTTTCTACCGACTTCAATCACAACAAGAAGGTTGGAAGCCTGGACGATGCACGAACTATCAACCCCGTCGTATCATTGCAAGCTAAAACTGTACCCACGTATCGTTTCAGGCTTGGTGTGCGAATATGCTACATTTGGACGATACACCGATAGGAGAGCACTGGCCAGCAACATCGGTGATCACCAAAAACCAGTATCTTTGTATATGCCCTTGGGCCCGCACTGAACTCGTGGGAGGGCAAAGTCATCTTTACACAACTCTACCTTTTCGACAAAATGGCACTGACCTATCCCGACGTTATGGTAGGTAGTGCCCGTCCCTGTAAATCAAATCACTGATTTTCTGCAGACCCTCGTTTGGGTCCTTTGGGCCACTTCATTCTTATTAACTGCCCTGCGAGGGTTTTTGCGATGGCACTCACAACGTCACATCTACGCCGATGATTACTTTGTCTTTTTCGGGCTGCTCACATTGACGGGACTGTCCGTTGTCATCACGAAGGTCCTTCCGCAGTTCTTCCTCGCTGGAGGGTACGCAAAGGCAGCAATGCTAGATCCCACAACACCACTACCATTACCGGCAGCAGAGTTCAGCCAGAGGACACAAACCGCATTGAAGTTGATGTTTAGCCAAATGCTGCTCTTTTGGACTACATTATGGGCTGGTATGGATGAGCGTACAACGCTTCCTAATCACCAATGGTCTGAAGTCTGACGTTGTCACAGCTAAGTTCTCGATCTTGTTCTTCTTCCGCCGCTTGGTGAATGGCCTGCCAAAGTACATCAAGGCATGGTGGGCGTGTTTTATAGTGGTTTCACTCCTATATTTGGCTTGCATACTTTCAAACTTCCTGACTTGCCAGCCATTAACAAAGTACTGGAGTGCGAGTAAGCTTCCACCCAACCGCCGTCTCGAGAATTCGATGTGTGCTGACAATCTCTAAGCTGGATGTAGCGATCCGGAAGATCTCGTGCGCGCAGATGCCTCCATCAAATTCGCCACTGCCGCCGACGTCGTAGCGGACGTACTTATTATGGTCCTTCCACTCCACCTCCTCCGCAAATTACAAGTTTCCGCTCGACAGAAGTTTGGTCTCGCCGTGATTTTCTCCCTAGGGACTATCATTGTAGCCTTTGCCTTCGCACGTCTCGCGCAGGTGACCAAAGCAACATCGGCCGCAGCAAGAGATCCGACAACTATTGCCGAGGGCCCTGTACTCCTGAGTACATGGAGTCATATCGAGTCTTCAGTCTCCGTTATCGTTGCTACGCTTCCAGCCTTTCGGTACCTTATCAACGAAAATGTCGGTCGTACAATAGGTCCTTCTGGTGTTGCGGGATATGGAAACAGCCGTGACAAAGACACGTCTACCAGGAGTAGGGCGAAACGGGTTCTGAGCACGCGTCACAAGTCATCGATGAGGCTTCATAGTTCGGAGAGATCAGGGACTAGAAGTGAAGAGTGGGGTAGTGAAACAGAATTGAAATCTATGGATGGTATTGGGAAGAATGTCGACTATGGAGTAGCGCATGCACCTCACGCGTTGTAGAAATGCTGGCTATTAGTAGCAATGAATGCTGTCTATCATTTTGATTGTTCTCATCATGAAGTCTAAGAAAGGTTCGATATACATAACATACCAATCGCCATATAACAAACAGAAGGAAATGAAGGCTACATATAGATGTGACGGAACTAAACCACATTTGCATTTTGATTTTCGTACATATACGTTTTATGGGGGCTAGCAGAAACAGACAAGTTGTAAGGTATGAGATCGTTGTTCGGGGCTGGCGACTTATTATACATCTGTCGAGAATTACAACAAACAGCGTGAATCCCACATGAAGATATTGCGTTCAGCTCAGAACACCCGTTCTCTGTCCCCCTACCACACATTCGCGCCTGATATGACGGGGTTATCACGAAGACCGCGAAATCTTTCGAGGAAGAATCTTGCCGAGCTGTTGCTCTTGCTACGCTTATATGTACTTAGACTCAAACCCATTCTCCGACACCAGTTATAGTACTTGGAAATACATGCTGAGTTCTCGGGCACGTTCTGTTCTGATCGAATTATGTAGTTTTTAGATTCGAACAATGTGTAGTTACCTGAGTTGGCTACAAGGATTGTGCGAATGCTTGAGTCCGACGTCCTGATCGTTTGCAGCTCAAGAACAATAGTGACTGCGGACCTTTTGGATTAAGCTAATCATGGAAAGTCTTTCCTGGCTTCACTAGGTGTGGACAGAACAGTTAGCCTGGCCTTTTGTATGGCGCAAAACACGTCGAGAAGTGTTGGTATTACAAATGATGTAAACCCTTCCGCCAACCTTAGAATCCACGCTTTTTTGCGTTAGTACAACTGTCGCAATCATGTTAGAAGTCAGGTGGAAGTTAAGGGAAGTGCGAAAGACTTGAGACAACAGGTTAGTTATATGACTTTTGTCGTTTTCGTGTCAGCGTCAGTGCTGAATTGTTAAGCGTATCTGTTAACATAACCTGGACCATCATGTTGCTCAAACACAAGTCTTCTGGTTGACTGATACAAAGACCAATGCGCACACTTCGCCTCATGCACGTATGCTCCGATACGATTTTCGCACACGACACTGTGTGTCTTTAACTTCTTGTACTTAACGCTATCACAAATAGAGCATTTGGAGCGGGTGCAGCACAACTCATGCAAGCTCGACCCACATGATAGATCAAAGTCTAGACACGTTGACGCTTGCTAGGAGTTGCTTTGGGCCTAGTAGGGATCGACCACGCTTTGACACCAGAGATAACCAGCTGACGAGATCCGAGAGTGGAACGATCAGAACCAGGTTGCAGCTTTTGGCCATAGACATGGCATGTCTGAGTAAATACATCAAGGTATTTCGTCAACAACTATATCTGACTAGCGCCAATTGCGCTCAGTCAGAAATTGGGCTGCAGCTGAGTACAGACCTCTCGTGGAGAAAGTAAAGTAAAGGGTAAATCTGTCAAGGAAGCTTTGTAGATTTCATACTCTAATTACATCTCAAGCATGGCTTCAAGAGGTGCGCAAGTGAGAACTAAGCCATTTCCCGACTTTTCTCCGACTCGCACAGGAAACCAAAAGTCGACGAGGCTGCAGCGTGGTGGAGACATACAAAACCTTCGACTGGACCCAACATGAAGCGATGCCAGTCTTTTGGTGGCCTCACTGCATACTAGGTGGGGTCGTTGAAAAGGTCGTCGCAATGTAACACTGGTGCTGACGCTACAACAGGCGGATATGTAACACGAGATAAGCAACGCAGGAACAAAAAAACGTGAACCACATCACTACATCGATCATGTCAGGAGGAAGTACCTATAACGGTGGGGTGCAGAGACAAGCCGGGAGGCGTCCGGGCCGTACGGACACCCGCAACGATAACCAATCAGGAGCCTGTAGATGGGTCAGCTCAAACCTTGGTGGCGCTAGCCTTTCATAATCTTCCCATCACCAAATTCCCTGCATGATATTATGTTGCCCTTCCATTTTTGAAGCGATTACCACCTAGAACGTTGAAACAAAGTTAGAAGTCTGCGGCATCCTTGTGATGGTTCGTGGGTGCAGCTGAGATAGAGAAGAGGGAAGTATCGACGAGAACAGTATCAAGAGTGGAACTACTCCTGGTGAGAAACTAGTCGCACTAATCGGTCGAACTCTGCAGCATATTTCTACTTACAGGGGCTTTATGCAGCCCACACAACTTTAGCAAGGTATATTATGTTAGTGATCAGGTGATGGAGGCCTAAACCAATCTTCATCTCAATGGAGATATCTAGGTAGCTATTGAGCGAACGGGTGGGGTTTGCCAGAGTCCCAATCCAATTATACGTGAGTAAGTAACACAATGGAAAAGCAAATACTAGAATCAGCTCAGAATTATATGACTGCGAACTTCTGATTAATATATCTGCCTGGCCTCATTATCGAGGTATAGACTGAGCTCCTACATAGTGAACTACGTAAGCCCGAGTTCTGCGGGGCCAAACTATCGATTATGTTATGACCGCATTCCAAGTCGTGGCATAGGCAACCAGCCTTACTACCATCTTATAGTGGGGTCGTACGATACATACATACTACACATCCCAAGATGTGGGTCTCAAGGCGGTAACATCGTCTTAGAAAAGTGTATAAAGAGTTCCCATTTTCTCTGCATTTCGCAACACCATCATCACCTACTATTTACTAGAATTCAAAGTCTTTGCTCCAGAACTATCACAATGAAGTTCACTTCTGCTTTCATTGTCGCCCTTGCGTCGCTCCAGACGGCGACTGCGGGTCCCATCGAAGCCCGTGAGGAGTACCCCGAGGTTGTCCCCGGCCCTGGTCTTCCTTCGCTCGAGTCCCTTGGTCTCACTACCGCTCAACTCTACGAGATGCCAGTGCCGGAAAAGTCTGGTATGTTACGTCACGGTCATCACAACAAAGAATATACTGACGCCATTCGTAGCGCTCCCGTCCAAAGTTCGGCGCGCTGGAACGTGTGGGCCTGGCTCCGCGTACACCAACGTTAATGGTATCATTGCATGCTACAACTACTTGAACGGTCTTGGAACGGCGAACTGCGCGGTCCCGGGTAAGGGCGTTACTAATCATATGTGCTCATCTGGAGATGCCGTGATTACTGGCCAATCCCTCGCAGGCGGAGGGACGTCTAGCTACTGGTATGTTTGAACTGATTGTTGAGTCTCAAAAGCGAGGTGACATGTGAGCCCATGGTACTTGAATACTGACGGAGACTTGTAGCCGCGATGTAGCAGCTGCCGTGCTGTGGACTATCAACTCATGCACACGCTCCGATCAGACGTGCGCCGGTGTGTACATCCCTTGTTTAGATAAGTGTGAACTTGCTCACGTCAACTCTAGGAGCCCAGTTCGCAGGTGGAAACGGAGATTTGTCCGTTGGAGCTTACAGCGCAGGATATGCTTAGGAGCAGAAGAAAGAATCGCTGGGACTTTGAGAGGTGTTCAACTCTGATGTCATATGATTACACAGGAAGACAAAGCTCTGAGGTTTGATGTGCCGTCAAATCATGTATATCAATCCATTTTATCCTCGTAAATAACCCTTGATGTTGTCCTGCAATGTAATCGAGTTATTTGTAGACTTTCTCGATTCGTCAAGAAATGTATATGATTCGATGTCTCTGATTTTGGTTCATTTTCAAACGAGTGTTGGGTGATGAAACAACTGGTTTTGCACCTGATATCGCAAAAAGTCAGGGCGTGGCATTCTGCGGCACATTGACAGAAGGAGAGCGGACACTAGCTGCTTTCTTTCCATTACAGGGGCCTTCATCCATTCCATCACCTCGAATATAAGCCGGAATCTTACAGCCCTAATAGCCGTAGTATGTAGCTTTTCCAGATCTGGAAACGCAGATTTCTCGTGGTTAAACACTGGATGAGGAGTTACTTAGTTATTCCTGACAACCCCGACAGATCTAAAGCATTTACATATGTACCAAAAACCTGATATGAGGGTGAAGAAGTCACTGAAATCGGAACTTCCACGGGTTCTACCCTTCTTGTATTCTATGGCGTTGTCTGAAGGGTTCTGAAAGTCACAAGAACGAGGTTCTTCCGATGTTGGCAAGTAGACATGTAAATACGTACGATGTGATTCGAAGAATAGGATGAGCGAAGATTTTCGGCCTGAGTTCCACGCCACTTGATGCTATACCGGGCGGGCATGAATCATGACATGGTTATGTTATGACTTTATAAGTACTTCTAGTTGTAGGGTCTCCCTGGACTGAGCCAGAGATATGGTTAGATCCAGAGAAGAGGATAGTTGGGGTTGTACAAAGCAAGACACTGTAACGTTCATTTAATTGTGCAGTATGGCACAGCTCTGATGCTTGGTAAACCGCATAAGCTCATCAACAGGTGGATATGTTCCTAGTGAGTAGCGTTATGTAATGCCATTTAGTCTATTTTTGCAACTTTTGGTCCATGTACGGGATTCGCTTCACTAAACATTCGAGCGCACAATTGTTAGGAGCTGAAATTTCTACCATCTTGCCTCAAGTCACTCAATGGGGTAGCTCTGATTTTAATTCATGTTGTTTCGCTCTGAGGGTTCTCAAGCAAATGTGCGTCGAGTTTTACTGCACGGAGCAGGCTCGAAGAGGACGCTATAAATGAGGATTGCTACCATTGGATTTGCACATGGATGTAGAATGTAAACTGAGAGTAGACAAGTCGCTGAGGCTGGCTATCTTCCGTTCGATGTTGTTGTTCAAAAATATATTTGCCAACGTCATGTGACAGTATTTGGTCTGATTCTGGCAGGTAGGATTGGAATGAGTTTCGTGCTGTTTGAATCGAGATTAGTTGGATTTGATTAGTGGGATGGAGGGATTGTCAGATTGAAAAATCACAGGTCGCAAATTTTCAATAGACTGCGGAGTACAAGATTTCCACATGCTTGATACGTGACATTTTGTATACCGATTCATTCAATTCATAACAAGTATTCGTTTGTCCTTCGTATAGAATGAGAAATTCGGCCCTCGAACTATTTACAAGATTTCTACGCTACTAAAAGTTCCTCCTTCTATCTGTCTCTCTTCAGTGCCGGCCCACATCTTGAGCCACATTTATCAATGGCCGAACCCAGTTGAATGGTTGCAGCCACTCGAAGACACTTCTCTGTTGGAGATTACTGGCCTCATTAGCTATCGCATTCCCGACAATCTGAGCACCACCAGCTATCGCATCTCCAATGGCCTGAGCCCTATTTCCCATGCTATTTTCGTTGTTGGGATGTTCGTACTTGAACTTCTCGAAGGTGCTGAAGTTGGGGAACAGTAATCCCTCTCGGATCTTAAGCCATTCATAGTCTCCTCCCTTGCCGGCGATTGCGACGGTCAAGTGCTTGACTACACCGGGCTTCGGATCACCACCCATGGTTTCATTTGTGATTCTTAGTGCGCGTGCTTCGATCGCAGCTTGTGCGTCGCACTCCTTGATAGCGTTGTATCTGATGTCGTACTCAACTCCGGCTCTGCTCAGCAACGCTTTGTTGAGCACTTCGATGTCCTCGGGATTATCGAACCATTCGAGGCCTCCGTACATAACGCGACTGATGCGGTAACGAGATGGAATGGCCCAGCCTTCAGGGATTGACAAGCGTAGGTGCGGCCCGGTGGGATAGTCGCGGTAGTCTATTGTGAGGACTTTCACCACGCCGGGTTGCGGATCGCCTCTCATATGATCGTTGTTGACAATGAATAAGTTTGGTGCGTGTTTAAGCGCGAGCTCGTCACGAATGTGTCTGATAACTTCTCCATCGGTAATAGTTTTGTTGCCGTAACGCACACCGTCGATTTGGATGTCGTGCTTGTCAGAACTGGAATAGCGGATATCGGCCATCGTTTCGGTTCTCAAAGATAATGAGGAAATGCTTGCCAGATTCAAGTGCGAGGCGATGATGCTGAACATCCGAGTCCCAAGGTACGTTGAACTTTATACTCCCCAGGTACAATCTGAACCATCTCAGCTGAAGAGATCGCACAACAACATGGCTGGCTGAGGAGTGAAGATTAACCAAATAGGGAAATGCATCTGCATCAACCATCACTCGTGATGCGGTCTAGAATCTTGCGTCTTAGACAAAGCTAACCAATAGAAGACTTGCGGGTGCGGGCCGGCACCGACACGTGGTGAGCAGCTGCCCTGAGCATCACGACTAAGGGTGCTTCCAGACCACTACAGATAGTCGACCTTCATGAACTGGACAGAAACCATTTCGAACGGATGTTCAAAGTGGTGACAAACCCTTGAGCCTCGGTCCTCGACAGAGATCAGTTTGAGTTGCTCAAGTCTGCCGTATCGAAGCAAGCCCCAATCAAGATACAACAGCGCTCAGAGAATGTATACACACACCTACAAACCCATTCACTAAGCTCAGCTGAGGCTGAAACAAGCCTTAGTCTCTTCCAGGAACCTGAGAGCCATATTGCTTGTTTCTATAGCATCGGCTCAGCCGCACGAAGCAAAGCACCGACAATGGGCCGATCCGAGGCAGGCACCCGGCTATCACCGCAAATCGGAAGCTGGCATGAGATATCACTGATGCTAAGAAATTGTTTGAAGCGTTTCCAAGCACATAGTACACGGTACATTCAGAAGACGTTTCAATAACAAACTATGGCCCCTTCTCCACGTTTGGACTATTCGCCACCTCAGGATAACCTTTTAGCACGCTCACAGATTGGTCAAGATCATCTTGATCGCTGTTTCCGGATCATATGAGGACCTAATCCCACACGCAGTATATGATTATTGTATTGTCGGGATTAGCCTAGTAGCATGTAAAGCAGGTGTGTGTGTTGTGGAGTTGTACTTGAGAAAGAATAGGAGACTGTTGGACGCACACATGATTTTCGTTACTTTTTCAAGCACCCCAACAACTTCCAGTTTATATCGTAGCAGACAAATTCATACCTATACCGCTACCAAAAAGCTGAGTACAGTAAGTATATCACCCGAGGTGGCGACCCCCACGAATAACTCGCAAACTACCCATTCACCAGAAACACGCTGCACAACACATATCCAGAAACAGCCATATTCACTCGAGCATAACAAAAATTAATTGCAGTCAAGCAACCGATCTCAATCGGCGCCGGGTGGTATCTAAGAATGCACACACACGCAGACACAAAGAAAATGATTAAATCGCATCCCATCCCATTCCATTCCACCGCATGAGCAAAAAAGCCGGAAAAGGCTCCAATACAGGATGGATCCGTGTCCTCCCAACCACCCCAGCTGCCATTTTGTGTGCACCAAGACATACTCGGTTCCAAACACCCGTCCAGAATTGCTGAATGTGTACAATGATGTCCAGGAAGGTAGGCGGATGCGAGAACGAGTTGAAACAGCGCATTGACTACTATACACGACATGCCCATCCTTGTGGCCGGACGATCGATCAATCCCTCAAACAGGCAGCCGTCACATTATCCACTGCGCTCGCGAATCCGACAAGGCTCGATTAAAAAGTACTGTAATATGCTCTTTCTTTCACGACCAACGCATCTCGACGTCGCACTGGCTAAACTTCCTCCCGGGGACAGAAACTGTGGACGCGGAATTGTGATACCCATATTAGGACGCGAAAAATCAATAGTGACGGCAGGCTGGTTCTGTTGTGTCTATGGGGAAAACTCTTGCGGTTGCATCCGCGCTTCTCATGCCTATATCGCTGGCGCCCGCGGCCCTGACAGAGTGCCGAAGAGTTGCTCAGGCGGCAGACGACCGACCTGACCAAGCCGATCGGGGTAAAATTGCGGGGCCGGTGAGTAGCCCTTAGCCTTCTTACGGTAGAGTTCAAGGGCGAAGCCAGCGGCGATGAGGAGACAAGTGAGTGCTAGTGCGATGGCAAGACCAATTAGTACAACGGCCCAAAGTCCAAGATGTTTCTCTGTTTGGTTGTTAGCGAATTCCTTGAAAGTTATGGGAAATGCAGGATCGACATACTAGACTTCTTGAAGAAAGAGTTGGGGTTTTCCACAAAGACTGAGGACAGGCTGCCCTCGGTGTTGCCTGATGTTGTAGCAAGGAGGAAAGGAATCAGAGCAGTGCCGTTGAAAAGAGCGCCAGACGCAGTACCGAAACCAGTTATGTTGATTTGCCCCATAAGCAGAAGATCCTGATCTTGATCAATCAAGTCGGACTGGCCATGGCTTTTCGATAAGGTGACAGCCTGGAGGCCACGGATGTCTGAGCCTTGACCAAAGAGTGCACTGTCAACGGGCTTCCACTTGCTGCCGTCGAACCGTTGGAGGTACACGGTACCGTCGCTGCTCTGACCAGACGCCCACAGCTCGTCGCCGTCACTGTTAGCCACCGTCAGGGCAGTGATGGGTCCAGGAAGATCGTTTGCCCCAGGAAACATTGCAAATTTGTTGCTAGACGAATCGAACGAAAGGATCCTTGTTGTATTTTCGCCAGATGTCATATTGCCCGCGATGAGTAATGTGGTGTCCGAAGTCCATATAAGGGAAGTAACATCACCGGAAAGTTCGTTGCTTGGGCTCGTCCACTGGTTGCGTTCGGTGTTCCAAACACAGACAGCGGCGCAGCTCAAAGCGCCAGCGGACTGAAACTGACCAGCCACATATACGTCCTTAGATTTTGGCCTGAGTGCAATGGCGTTGACGGTGACGTTCTGTCCTTGGAGTCGGGGTGGCTGAATGTCAGCAAACTTGCTAGCGGAGAGATCGTAAGCCACAATGCCTGCTACGAGGTTGTCGTCGATCTGTCCAGTCACCACGCCGCCAGCATAGAGGATGTTATCGTACACAGTAACAACTGCAAAGGTAGAGTTTGCGTCCACCTCATCACTGAACCCCGAAATCTTGTCAGAATCGTTGCCGTCGATGATTAAAACGTTCGTAATGTTCTGTCCGTTTGAATCGGTCGACGCGAAATGTCCCGCAAGGATGGTCTTGTTCATTCCGTTTTCCTTGTAGAATGTACCTGTTTGAACCCCAGTAGTGGTCAGGTCCTGTGTTGCTGTGATGGCCCGTTTGCGAAGAGAAGCCTGTTGCTGCTGGGTTTCGATATCGATAGGGAAAGCACCGAGCGATAGATTGTCGTTTTGGCTGCGCAACTCTGCAGTACCACTTGCACTGAGGGATCCAGATGAGATCGAACCGCCGAACCATCGTTCACCTCCCGGAATATCGGCAAAAGTCATCAATCGGCCCTGCATAGCAAGTGACCCAGATCCCAGATTGTGCAGCCAGTTGCCTCGAGAAGGAACCCAGATTGCAAGGTTGTCCACAGCAGTAGCAGTGTGATTACCGAATGCGTTGACACTGGTGAAGAAACCGCTGACAGCGAGAACCTGCTCTGGGCTGTTGGCGGTGAGGTTGAGCGAGAACGGCACAAGGAACATGACTACGCCATTGACACCAGCCCCGAGGGGTTGCCACTTGTTGTTGACCAGAGCAGCGACGCCGTTCAGTCCCTCCGCGTCGCCGTCAGCAGTGTTAGTGAAGTTACCACCGACATAAAGCATGCTGTCGTTGTGGAACATAGTCATGACCTGTCTGTCCAGTCCATTTCCTGGAAGAGCCGTTGGTTCGTTGGCGTCTTTGCGAATGAGGAAGATGTTGTTTCGTCCATTATCGGTCGAGAAGTTCCCGCCGACATAGAGGTTGGTATCGTCCGCAGCGACACTAGTGACAACAGCTCGTTCTTGCGGGTCCAAACTAGCACCGGCGGCGTTGATGACAGAGTCGGAAAGGTCGATTTCGTTCAGTTGCTGGCCCGGCTTGTGTTCGAAGAGACCATTGACATTCCCAGACGTAGCTGTGAGTGGTGAGAAACGCACTCTTTGTGCCACAATTGTAAGGGGTGTCGGGCCCTGTCCTTCTGCAGGCTGCAAGACAATTTGCGGGCGGAAACCGTCGGTTGCGTCAACGTAGCCATTGTAGACCTCGTCGTATTTGTCGTAGTCGTTTGTCTGGAATAGGACTACACTTTCTGCTGTTGTCTCATCCTTGGCCATGATTGCTGTAACATTGACTCGGCCGCGGCTTCCACAAGTTCCGTCGCCCCGACACCCGGGTGTGTAGAGGGTGACTGAATAGTTGCCCGATTGTTTGATATCCGGAAAAAACGTAGCGATGGCCGCATTAGTGTCCACGGGGCTACCTTGCACAACTGCTGTGAGATACTCGGAGGAACTGTCGTGTGACGGAGTAGTCACCCAAGAACCGGTGTTTGTTGACGAGGATCCTGTTGTGCCGGTGGCACAGTTCTTCGGCTCGTTGAAGTCGTCAATGGCGTACGCATACATGTCTGCAGCTGTCAGTATGGAAGGAATGTGAGAATCAAGAAAGTGTCTCACCTTCTTGGAAGAGTTGGATGCCGTTCAACCCAGCACCATCACCGTACCAATCAGAGATGTCAATCTTGAATGCGTTCATTCCTACAACATTGACAAATGTAAAGTCCTGGGCTGTAGTGTTGCCCTCGGGCAAGGGACATCTAGCGTCGCAGTACGCCTTCTGTCCGTTCGAAGGGTCGACGTAGGAAAAGTTCATGATGCCGCCGTCTGGAAGCGCCGTGTATCGCCAGGTCTTGGTGCCACGACCTTCGTAGTCTGTGTTCCACAGTTTCAAACTGGTCGGTAGGAAGCCAAAGCCAAACTCGGCCTTCCAGAAGCCGGTGGATTTGTCGGCGAGGAGCCACGTCTCGCCGGAGCCTTGTGCGGAGAAGTCGCTCTTGCATGTGATGTCTTGAGGATCAGTGAAACCGGGAAGTCCAGAGCTAGTTTGGGCGGAGATGTCTGCATTGCTGATAGGAATGACCTGGGTGCTGTTCTCCAAATTAGTTGTCGCGATGCCGTTGAGACCGTTGAATTCGCCGGCGAAGACTATGTTCCCGTTTGGTGCGGCGACTATCGATTGGACGATACCGTTGAAGCCAGCAAATGTCAGGTCCACCCAGCCGTCCTTCCAGATGATGGCATTGGTCGAGTTGCTGCCCTCGAACAGTCCGCCGACGTAGACTTGGCCTGCATCCCTGTCGCAGTAGAGCGCGTTGACAGATCCGTTGAGCCCCTCCATTGCTTCTATGCTTCCGGCTACGGGGTCGAGCAGGGCCACGCCTCCAGGTACACGCATGTCACCCACGCTGGTAAAGTTGCCGGCAAAAACGATGCGTTCGGCGCCGTTGACCTGGAGGGCGCACATGGCCTTGACGTCGCCGTCGGTCTGGTTGAGAGTGGCGAAGACGCCATCGGGATATCGCGACAGGAGGCCGCCATTACGGCCAAGCGACTGCTCGCTCTGGCCCACATACTTGTACAGCGATATCGAGTCGAAGTCGCCAGCGAAGGCAACGCGGCCCAGGCTGTTGATATTAAGATTTGGGGATGGGACGGGGGTAAATTGAATAGCAGATGTGACTGGAGATGCGACGAGCAGCGAGAGGGCAAGCTTGCCGGCCCGCGACGCCAGCAGGGAAGCGAACGAGTCCCTCATGGCTGACAGGCGATGGCGAGATAAGACTGCTGTGGGTGCTGCGTGCTGCGTGCGGCTATGTACGAGTGACGGCAGCCGATCAGCACGAGAGGGCGGCGATAGACATGCTCGAGGCTGGGGAGTCGGGAAGTCGCGATGGTCGAGCTCGTGTTGTTCCCGTCGTTCGCCCACACACGTCAGGAGCGAGTCGGGCAGAAGATGGCTTGGCACGGCGAGCAGCGGGATATTAGGGAGACGGGGGAGTGTGGTGGGCTGCGGTGTTTGCTGCGAGTTTGCTGCGTCGGTAACGAATGACTGTGGTGAGAGAGGGCGATGGGAGCAGTCTCGCGAGGGCCGTGGAAGAATCGACGTGCTGGCGTCGGAGGGTCGCAGCTGCGGTCTTGGTGGTGATGGCACCTGCTGGGACGCCCGCGATTGGTACGTGCCAGACGGAACTAACGGTTAGTGTGTGTGCAACTCGTCACAACGGTGAATGCCGATTTGACACAGTCAACAACGCCAGAAGCTGAAGAACACGACGGCTGCAAGGTTTATCGCAGTTCACGCTGGGTGGCGATGCAGTTGAGCAGCTGCCCGGGACAGGCACAGCTGAGTGGACACCCGCTCTCGGTCAATCCAAGTACCATGAATCAAGGTGCAGTGCAATCGTGCAACAGCTTTAACAACTACAACTAAGTTTAGTGTAGAAATTTTGTGCTAAAACTGCTAGCAATACGACTTGCGCGCACATTTATAAATTTAATCATGTAGCTTTGCAGCTTGTACGAGCCACAAAGAACGCAGCTTGCTTCCCGTGTTTACAGTTGACCGAGAGACCCGTTCCCTGCCCCTTTGTCCTGGCCAACGATGCATCGTGCGACCAGTTGGTCCATGTCCTGCATCTGCATCCAGTCTTTTCCTCGCACATGCCCGCGTCATTGTGGCTGCTGTGACACCACGGCGATGAGGTCGACGTCATTGCTTTTCTCCTCATGGCGCTCGTAACTCTCCTGAATCCTCCTCAACTGATCGCTAGCAGGCCAGCCATTGTGCACAGGACTCAACGCGTGCTGTCGTCGTGGTAATGCAATTGAGCTTGACGCTGAAAATAACACAAATGCGTATATCGTCTAGGATCTCGTTGTCCCACCCGCCGACGCCTCTCCTTTCACGGTCGAGACTTCGAGACCCTGAACGTTTTGCCCACACAGATGCCTGCACCTACACGGCACGTCATTCGACCTAGGAAAGAGCGACGCGCAAATCTCTTGATAAATTCCTACATAGAACATACATGCATCAACTTTAGCCTAACCGTCCAACAATACCCAGCCCTATCGTCGCCATCATCTCCATTTTGTCGTGACGCAAGGCAAGCCACTGGCTACGAGCCCCTGCTTCTCATCCCAACGGTTTGTTTCACCGCACATCCCTGTATGTCACATCGGACCGCCTCGAACGATCCAGTTCCACGCGAGACTCAACTCTCGATCTCTCGAGATTGGGATTCATCAAAGACCCACACGGAGTGTTTCAGAGTACTAGCAACGCGTTGGTGATTGTTGAGGACGACCACACTGCACTGCCACACCCTGGAGACACAAGACGACTCAAGAGGCATCACGTTGACATTCCACTCGCATTGACGAGCAAGATTTGAGAGAACGATACCCGATTAACCCTGCGCTTTACCAAGGATCTCCGCAGCAATCCTTCCCGGCCATTTCAGTCGCAATCCTTGCATTGACAAAAATCATGGCGATACGCTGGCTGGGCACTAAGGCATCAATCGCGTCAACCAAGGACAAATCCTGAGACCTGGGCTGTCTTGCCCTCGACCAATTTGAGAGCAAGAATCCGGGACACAAGCCCAACCCTGTAGCAATACATCCTGTGAGATCTGGAGAGGGACCTGGCCACAGCAGATTGAACTACCCATAATAACAACTGGCAACTGCCTTGACAATAACCACTGACCCTGCAAAGGACATTTCCATTCACGACAAACAAGCAAGCAAAATAACTTCCAACAGGAGATGGAACCAACATGTTCAAGTTCAACTTACCAACGCCTAACCAGCCTCTCGGTCATCTGTAAAAGCGGGAAGTAAGCTACGTCCTTTGTGGTTCCTACAAGTCGCAAAACTACACAATTAAAAGTTTTTAAATGCACGCAAGGCATATACAGCCCTATGTTTATGCATAAGATTCCTACACTAAACTTTGTTGTAGTTGTCAAGCTGTTGCAGTTCCTGGTATTTCGATTGACCGAGAGCCAGCATCCCCACCCATATACCCAGGCATCCTGATCCTCTCCTTATCACCACCCTCCATCAAACCCCTCTCACACCTAGCACACCTCTCCACAACTACATAACCCGTCGGACCCAACACCCTAATACTCTGCTTCAGCTTCTCATGCCTCACCTCGCGATGATGCTGTCTCCACGCCTCCCGCGCGCCCTTGGCCTTCTGAAGTAGTCCTGGTTTACACCCATCTGCATCTAATGTGCTTTCAACATGTGCATCGGGTTCTCGGAGTAGAGGCCAGGATATCTGGGGCGAGAGGGGCGCGACATGCGCCGGCGGTGAGACTGAGACCTCAACGGCAAGAGGCGACGTTGGTGAGACCATGTACGGCGATGTGGGAGACGCCAACGCAGTGCCGGGCATCCTTGTCATAGGCATCGCGGGAGACGAGTGCTCGTCCGATTCATCGGAGATAAACGCCACGAGACTGCTCCGTCGTGATCGTTCAGAGACGGGGGAAATGTTGACGATACTCGCACGCAACGGTTGTGGCGATGACGACTCCGACCGCCGTACCAAGGCCAAGCGTCCGGGTAGCCGCGACAAGGACGTCGGTGACTGGCGAGCTGAAATTGCAGGCGGTGGGGGCGGGCGAGGTGGGTGAAGCGGTGGGGGAGGTGAGCGTCTCGCTATCGTCACAGCTTGAGCAGCCTGCGTGCGTTTCTTACTCGACTTCAGCCCCGCGTGGTGCAAAAGGTTTGCTAGAAGCGTTTCTTTCTTCCGTGGTCGGTCTATGATGACTTCAAATTGGGGCGTTTTCTTTCGCGGTGAAGATACGGGGTCACTTGATGACCAGAGGTGAGGTCGAGTCTTAGGATCCTGCCGCTTGGAGTGACTGCAATGAGGGCAAGCGGTTGCCTGTGGATATGGACTCTTTCGTCCTAACGCTGAGGATGATCTTGCTTGTCGCTCTAAGACGATTTTATCCAGAGTTGAGCCGGTGAAACTCTTCTTCCACTCCAGAGGTGAGGGGAGCAGTTCATCGTCCTTTGGTGGAGGAGATGGCGGCCGAGATGACGACTCACTCTCGTCGCCATCATTGTCATATTCGAAATTGAACTCTCCGAGGACTGCCTCATCTAACGATCGCGGTTTCGCGGCAAGTAACCTCTCATGCGGATCCTCTAACGCGCTATCGTAGTCCTCTGAAGGACCGGGTTGTTCCATCGCGTGGCTCGTCATAGCATCATCCGCCAGCTTACTCCCTCCAGCATCTGGAAGTATCCGTTTGCTCTGCGACGAAGCAGTCGACCTCGCACAGCCACCAGTACACGAGCCTTCTGCATCAAATGCCGCCTGCTCCCAATTTGCATTTCTCTCCCTCGGAGAACCAATATATACCGACGCAAAAGCCTTCAACTTTGTCGACAGATTGGAAATCGGAGAAACCACATCCGATGTATGCGCCAGCTTTGCATGTGCCACTTCTACACAGGATATAGGAGTTTCGCCTCTGAGTGGAATGGCCAGATGGGGTAGGCTCGACGAGTTAGCAGACTCGTTCTCGAGAGGTGGTAATTGCGCTAATTCGGGTCTGAGCGGATCGTGATTCGGAAAGCCTGGCACGTCGAACGCTGGCTCTTGAATCGGGAGTAATTGCACCTGTTGAATGCAGTCGGGACTCGACTCCCATACCCCCATTTCGCCAGCACCCCCATCCAACGCCTCGGGAATCACCGGCGACGAAGCCCGGCCCTCATCTGACGGCGTTGCGCTCAGCTCCCGACCATCCTCCCACTCCACACTCTCCCTCATCGGCGAATCCGGTAAAGGCGGCAACACCGCCGGCGAGCGTAACAGCCGCTTCCCCATCGCCGGTCTGGGAATCAGCGTCCGACTACTCTCAAACCCCGGGTTTGGGGGCACTGTGCGGATGAATGATTTGAAGGAGCGGACGGGCCGCTCCATGCCCTTGAGTGGTGAGGAGCGCAGGATGTACTGCTTTACTGTTGAGGGGATGCGGTTGTGGGTTTCGTGCATTTGGTTGGTTGGCGCGGGGAGTAGATGATTGGGAGGTTTGGCTGCGTGGGCGATTTCCTGGGGGGTTGGGGGACAAAGGGGTGGGTGAGGATGGGTACGGGAGTGGCGGGACGGGAGGACGCTGGAATGAGGGTTTGGACAAAGACGGGAATGGTGAGGAGGGGGGATGCTTGATGGTTTGCGTGTGAGTAGTGTGTGTTGCCCGTATGTGAGTGAAGTGCGTATGAGGATAGCTAAACCTTACAAAATCTGCTCGTAAGTACGACTTTGGTATAGAGGTGACCATGATGGATGCAAAGCCGAGAGCAACTAATCAACGTTTCGAGCTGTGGACCCCTAGACGACATTCCCAGCGGCATTCACTGGGTCAAAAGAACGATCATAATAGCGAGGTCCTGATGAAGTATGGAAAACTACAACAGCGAAAGACGGCGTCCTTGCACTCCACAAGGAAGTTGATGAACAACACTGCACCGACCACCTCGCACATATTCCATCTCCTACAATTAAGCACTACCTGCATTCATTCGTAGGACCAAGAAACCATCACCTGCTCGAGATCCCTCACGAGTTCAAAATCCTGTCTATCTGATCTGTAATAGCAGATACTGCGATGTTAGGCGATTGTGTACTGGCTATCGTGTATGTCCAGGTAGAATTGACGGATGAGGACGGATAGGCAGGTATTCGCCCTTACAAAGGGTCATCCCGCACACCCGTTACGCCACCACCACCGCCATCAACAAACCTCAGCACAAGACCAGTGCGAGATATTTCCGGAAATTCACTATCTTGCGCTCTCGAGACCGAGGGGGAGATCATATGGAACTGGAGAAGATGGTCAAAACTCTGAGCTCACTAAAGACTGAGTTTTCTCGGGTGGTAAGTTTGGTGGTTCGGGATGGGGATGTAGTGCTCAAGTTTTCGAAGCCTGGATGCGATGTAGATATTTCCCGGAAGGGCTAAGGAGATGCGGTGAGGAGGGTTTGGTTTGTTGGGGTGCTGGTCGTGAATGAAAGGGGAAAAGTGGGTTGTAGAGGATTGTATGTACGCGTTGAGACTGCGGGTCTTGCTAAGAGAGCTTTTTGTTTGCCGTCCATGTTTGTATCAGGGAGTTGCTGGGGACTGGTATGGAATTTCTAGGGGAAAAAAAGGTCTGTATCCGGAGAGGAGAAGAGAGAAGAAGAAAGGTACATAGTTTTCTATCTGCCAACTCTTTGGTTCTGGGCTCAGATGAATACCACTGATTGGTTTGATGGGAAATAACTACGACTTCTTTCCTCAAGGTCTTTTGGATAAGATGATCAACTGATTGAAATTGGACTTTGCGTTTGCCTTGTACCTGTGAACCGGTTCTCGATGAAGAGGTAGAAAATCAGCAACAGCTTCACTTGACGATGAGAAAGCTTGTCGTGAACCTATTCATAAACGTATTCTTAATGACGCAACAGATCTCGTTTTATTCCTTAACTCAGCGCGCTGCTCAAGTAATTACATCTACCGAGCCTCGAGTCCGCAGATCAACGTGTAGCACCGAGAAACGCGTTTCGCAACCCCAATTTCTGCACCTCTTCCAGATCACGAGATCCTTCTGTCGATGTGGGATACGCAACATTCACTACCTCCTTGCAGCTATACGCGAGACTCTGAAGTTGAACTTCGGTACTATGATGTCAGCAACAGAACTTTTCCATGACATGACATGACATGACCGAAAACCGTCGAGCAGTCGTGTTAGGATGAATGGCTGAACAACTACCCAATCTGCATCCAGGCACCGGTGCTCACATTCCAGAACAACAGTCTGGATCCACATGTACTCGAAATCAAGCTTTTCCTCCCCTATCCGCGTGTACACAACATGCACCGCCCATATAAGCGGGAAGGAAGCAGTGGTGGTTTCCATGATTCGCCGCTTGTGGCGTTCTCCCGTACGTCATAGTCTAGAGGGGCAGCTCTAGACGAGACAAGGCATCATCGAGGGGTAAATACCAACCAACCAACCTACGTAGCTTAACTCTCACGACACAAAATCCTCGATTGTAGTTCTTTTCTTTTACATTTCATCACAAAACTGTACGTTGATTCATTTCATATCTATTGCATGGCAGGATGACAAGCCAATACTACACGTCTGAATAACAAGCGCTGTATTTTACTCACACTACTGCAGATTGACACGCACAAGCACAAGCATCATGTCCTACAACAACGACGATTCCTACGGTCAGCAGGGCGGCTACGGCGGCGGCGAACGCCGGAACGAGGGCTATGGTCGCGATGAGGACCGCCGTCAGGAGGGTGGATACGGTGGTGGTGGTGGACGTCAAGAAGGCGGGTACGGAGGAGGGCGCCAAGAGGGAGGCTACGGAGGTGGACGTCAAGAGGGAGGCTACGGAGGCGGACGCCAGGAAGGCGGTTATGGTGGAAACCATCAAGAAGGCGGATATGGAGGGGGACGTCAGGAGCAGGGCGGATATGGAGGTGGCGGACGTGAAGAGGGTGGTTACGGAGGAGGTCGCCAGGAAGGCGGCCATGGGGGTGGCCGTCAAGAAGGTGGCTACGGCGGTGGTCGCCAAGAAGGTGGCTATGGCGGTGGTCGTCAGGACGAGGGTGGCTATGGAGGAGGACGTCAAGAGCAGGGCGGCTATGGTGGAGGACGTCAAGACCAGAGCAGCCATAGTGGAGGTGGAGGACGCCAGGAACAAGGCGGCTACGGAAGCGGAGGCAACGGCGGCCACTCCAGCGCCTCGCAAGACTTTTACGGCGGCGGCGGAAACGGAAACGAAGGCCGCCAAGGAGGCGGAGGCTACGGCAGTGGACACCAAGAAAGCGGAGGATACGGTGGCAATGGTGGTGGACGTCAAGAAAGTGGAGGATACGGTGGCAGCAGTGGTGGCCGCCCAGGGAGCAGCGGCGGCTACAACAGCGGCGGCCGTCCAGGAAGCAGTGGAGGCTACGGCGGTGGTAACAACAACCACCAGCAAAGCAGCAGCGGACACGGCGCCCACCAGCAAAGCAGCAGCACACGCCCCTCGGGCCCCAACGAAAACGAGCTGGGCTACGGCTCCAACGCAGCCTACGGCGGCACAACCCACGAGTTCGCGGGCGCAGCATCCCACGCGCAGTCCAACGGCGGCTCATCCGCAGACTCGAACCTGTTCGGCACCGCCCTCAGCCTGCTGTCAGGCAAATCCGATTCGCTCAAGAACGAAGACGTCGATGAGGACGACGCGGTGCGCCAGCACGAGAGCATGTACGGCAACAACGGCCAGGGCAGCAGCCGCCAGGCGTCGTCGAACAACATGGGCGCTGCGGCCGCTATGCAGGCGCTGAAGATGGTCACGGGCGGAAGCGGGGGTAGTGCGCAGAGTGCCAAGGGCGGGCAGAATCAGTTTATTGGCCTGGCCATGGGGCAGGCGGCGCAGCTGTTTGATCAGCAGAAGGCGCAGGGCAAGACTGTGAGTTTTTCTATGATGGATGATGATAGAATGTTAAGCTAACGGTTCTGTGTAGGACCCCGGCGCGACGAAGCAAGATGCCATCTCTCAGGCGGCGCAGATGGCACTTAAGTTCTACCTCAAGGGCAACACTGGAGCAGGCGGTGGCGGAAACAGCAGCTCCGGCGGTCTTGGTGGGCTGCTGAACATGGCGAGTAAGTTCATGAAGTAAAGGGGTTGTGACTTCAAGCAAGATGGTGAATTTATCGATACGTCTGAACCAAAACCTATACAGTACATATTAAAAAATACTAAGAATGCTATTTCTATCCACACTCTTTCTCCCGTTCCGCCCTGTCTTGCGTATCCATCAAGTTCTCAACTATGCGAGAGAGAAAACTGCACTTCAATTCACTTCACTACCACTTCCACTTCAACCCCCCCTCTGCTCGATGGAAAACTCAAACCAAAACGCCTCACGCAACTCCTCCGCCAGCATCGCCAGCCGTACAAACATGCCCAGACTAGCTTCCAGCCTGTGCTTCCCCGCGCCGACGTCGAACACGCGGGTATAACGCTTGACGAACTTCATCACGTCGGGAAGGATTTTGAACTGGAATTTGGTATGCAGAAGGGAGTTTTGTCGGAGCGGGGAGTAAGCGTAGATTGTTGGGCGTAATGCCGATGCGAATGCTGAGGTATGTGATGGTCTCAAGGGCGGTGATGTTTCAGCGAAGCCGAGTATAGGGTGGCCTTTACATGTCCCGCTACGCGAGTCTAGAGTGGCGCAAAGCTCGTCGCAGGGCTCGAATAGCGCGCATAGACCCCAGGATCCTGCGGAGGATAGCTGGATGAGCACGTATGGTCGCGGCGGCCATGTGGGCCACGCGTACTGGATGATGTCTCGCACACCGGTTGAGTCGCGCAGGCGAAAACTTTGCACGCAGATGTGTGGTTGGGGCATTTGCGGCGCCGTGTCCAGACAGTTGCTCTCCTCGTGGTGCGGGAGGCGGACGCATGTGTCGATGTCGAGAGTAACGGGGAGGGTCATGTGTTCGTCGTGCGCGTCTAGGATCACGTTCGCGGCGTATCGGTTGGTGAAGGAGATGGGGGAGAGTATGGGCAGGTCTTTTTTGGCCATGCCGTATACAGCGGGCATCAGTATGCGATGGAGTAATTGCCAAACAGTGACATTGTAGTCGACGAGCGAAGTGACTCGTCCTGCCCCCGCGTCTGTAACAAGTCCAAGGAGTGCAAATACCCTATCCAAAGGTACTGAGCACGGCATAGCGCCGAAGGCTTCGAACAGCGCTTCGAAGCTACGGGGCCTTCGTTTATCCGCGCAGAAATTGCGCATCTGCAACATGCGCGATCCCTTTGCCGACGTGATGGCCGGCCACGTGTGCGCCGTCTGGAGATGTATGCCAAAGCTTGCTTTGGATGCAGCGCGCATGTCCAGCAGGCGATCAAAGTTTGCGTATGGCACCTTGTTCAGCCCCGCGAGCAGGTGCTTGTCCTTGCCCAGCAGAAACTCCTGCACGATCCACATGCGGGTGAAGTACTCGGAGCCGGCGATCCAGCGCAGCGCCGTGAGAATTTTGCCATCGTCTTTGCCGAGAAGAGGGCGCACGGTGTCGCCGAGTCGGGCTTGCGCGCAGATGTTCAGGGCATTGGCGATGGTTTCGTCGAGGCCTAACCAGCAGTAGACGGATGCGGCGCCCGTGTAGATCTGGCTCATGATACGGACTTGGCTGCTTCGTTCGGCCATGTCATCTTGGTCTGACGGTGTTGATGTACAGTTAGTCCAGTCCAGTCCAGTCAGTCAGTTTACCCAGCGGTGGGTCTGTTCACACTGCGTAAAAGTGTGTGTGTGATAGGGGCTCACGCACTGATACAAATAGCATCGATCCATATAACACGTGTCTTGTACTTGCTTCGACACGCTCTCAGGAAGTACGCTAGATTCGCTCGTATGCCAAAGCTGATGCCGTTCAAGATGATAGATGACGCTAGCTCGGGGGCACCCCATACGTAGGAGCCTGCAATATACTTCCCCGCTGAATCTGCAACCGAAGCAGTGACGAGCTCGCACAGTATAGGCGGCGTGTCCGTCAGTTTGGGCAGTATGCGTAGGAGGCGGAACTCATGGTTGCCCGCCAGCGGCGTGTACTTTAAGGTGTTCAACGTTGGTTCGGGTACAGGTGTGGTTGAGGTACTGGGGCCATCGATCTCGTCCGCCATATCAAGTTGAAAGGGTCGAAAACAGAGAGAAGAAATGTGAAGTAGAATCGAGAGCAGTTCTCAGCCTGGTGCTGAAGTAAGAGCACGCATTAGCCCAAGCCATCTGCGGCTAGCACTCCTCGACCTGCATCTCGTGAGAGTGTTGATTGGATCGCGATGTTTCCCAAGCATACAACTATTTGAGTAGTCTGCACGTCAGCGCTATAGAGATCACCTAGCGGTTGGTAGAGGGTGCTGGAGATGGAACGTGGGGGCCGATGCGGCGTTCATGCAGACTCTTGCCTGAAAGGGATTGATTGGTACCCTCTCGGTTAATTAACATACCAGGAACCAAAGGGCGGCATAGTCAGGCAACAGCTTAACAATTACAACTGTATTTAGTAGAAAACCTATATACCTAATTAGTTAACTGTATGCTCCTTATGTACCTATTTTTAATTTTTATCTATGTAGTTTTGCGGCTTGTAGGAGCCACAAACAGTGTAGCTTACTTCCCGCTTCTGCAGTTGACCGAGAGATGCCGTAGACTTCTACTCTGCTTAATAGGATAGATCTCCCGCTAACGAGTCTTGGCGGAACGTCACCTCACCTTCCATCTACCTACATCTGTAGATCATCAACTAACAATGACACGAAGAAAAGTGACCTAAGAGAGAGAGAAAGACACATAGAAAGTGTGTGTGTGCGTAAGACAAGCGTAAACACGACCCACAAACTTCAATACGCGATCATGAATTGACTTTCTCAAAAACCTCCCACAAGGCACAATATATACAGTTCAGTCGTCAAGACAATATTGTTGTACCCTTTCACACCAGTCGCAGGGAAAGCAGTCATTGTTTTCTACCCTTGTGCCTCTATTACTGTACTGACTATTCTCAACCTGCCCCGGTCGACCAGCAGAGGCGTTTTCTTTGTCACGCTGCTCAGCTGGTTGGTATGCTGAAGATTCCCGTCTCGCACGACATTCGCAAGGGAGCTGCCGCGGATATCTTCGGGCTCAAGTCTGATACTGGCGATACTGATAGAGTTCGGCGCTCGTTGGGCCACACAATGGCGGCCATGAACAAAGGCCACACCGATACATATATTGGGCGTGACAAAGGCGACTCGTAGGCTGCGCGGCTGGACTCAAATACACCTATCGACCCATTCGGCGTTGAGATGGCTCCCACGCCGTTCAAGAAGCGTAAGGTAGCGACTACAGACATCGACAAGTACTGCAACACCAACGGCCTGGATAGGACAACACGAAACGGTCGTGATACTGCTAGGATCAACCTGGCAAAAGAGCAACATGGTTAATGGTCGGCTCACCAACGAAGTATGGCTGACACTGTTCAATCGTCCACCTCAAAGACGTCAACTACCCGGGAACCCTTGTGCAACAAGTCACTTGAGGGCGATACTGTGCGTGCCCCTGCTGGAAGCATCGACGAAAACACCGACCAGGACCTCCTTCAGAAAGACACCGACGCTGCGCTTCGCGGGTTCGTCCTAGAGAACTTGGACCCTAGGCTTCGCGGGTTTGCCGACAATGTGCTTACTGTCCAGACGGATACGACTAGCAATACCACAAAAGACAACAGTGTTGAACTAATGACGGATGGATGTATCGCTCTCTGGGATTCATCTGAGGCCTCTAACGAGCCTGCTGTTTTGACGGCAACGGCGGAACAATTCATCAGGTATTTCTCGACGATCAATCTCGCCAGCGTTGCAACGGAAACTCTTCCAACAGGCCTTGCATCTGGTAACTCCCGGGATCCTCCCACGAGGTTTCTTCATCATTGTAAGACTGAGCGTTGCCCGAGAGCATTCAATTCTTCGCTCCGTCGTGATCAGCACCAGGTCAACTGTCGCGCCGAGCCACCTTCTCTACCTTTGGACAACGTAGAAGGAGACGACACACTAACGCCGTCCATCACGACTACTACTGAATCGCAGCGCAAGCGTAAGCGTAAAGATATCAACAAGGCCAGCGAGGGCTTCCTAAAGCGTTGTCCGGACAGCGACAAGTGCCATGTTGAGAAGGAGTTCGCAACCGACCACTTGCTCAAGAATCACCGTGCTCTTCACCACGATGCCAACTGGCCAAAGGACACTCTTTGCAACTTCCCCAGCTGCCAAACTGCCCAAGGATCACTACTTTGTCTCGCGCGAAGCTTTTCGGCGCCATCTCTCCAGTTATCACTTCCTGGATGCGCTGCTCAGGCCCGCGAATACATAGGCAAGATCATCCCAGTGGCATTCCAGGCAGCTCGCGGAGTCGCCAAGAACTAATCTGAGCAGTCTGCATGTCAGCGCTATGAAGATCACCAGGTCGCCTAGTGGAGGGTTCTGGAGATGGGACGTGGGGGCCGATGCGGCGTTCATGCACTGGCTTCTGCCTGAAAGGGATAGATTGGTACCCTCTCAGCTAATCGCAGCTTGACAACTACAACTAAATTTAGTATAGGAATTCTGTGCCTGAATTCTAAGCTGTATACGCCTTGCGTACACTTTAACAGATTACAACTGTGTAGTTTTGCGGCTTGTAGGAGATACAAAGAATGTAACTTACTTCCTGCTTTTGCAGTTGACCGAGAGTCTGCGTACCTAGTAAGTTTACCGCTAGCAAGTCTTAGCGGAACGTCACCTCATCTTACATCGAGATATATACCGTAGAGTTTTGCTTAATAGGTTAACCAGTAGTTAGCTTTGAGCCACGGCGCAGTGACTGAGCCATATCGGCTTGGTTAATTCTGTGTATTCAATTGGACCGAACCTCTACTAGTGGTATAACCTATCAAGCAGAATTCTACGGTATGCATCTCCTAGCAAAGAGTTAGAAAATCGCAAATCCTTCATCTCTACTAAGGTCCAAAACAACCTATTGCGTTACTTGCTGCATAAAACAGTCGAGTAGCAGAGAACGACGGAATGCTTGTTGTAACACACACACCGATGCGAGCAGACATGCGTATCCGGAGCCTAAGCAAGTATTGAATTCCTCAACTCACTATATTCCTAACAAAGTTAGTAGCATCAAGCACCACCACGACCGTCTTCTCCCCACAACAAACTCACGAAATACTAGCTATTCCACCAGCCAACGATCAATTCCAGTGCAAGAAGGTCGGGGTCTGGCGGTGTGGTACTGCTTGGTAGAGTGGGGACTTGCATATACCATGTATCAGCAGGAGACTACAGGCCTGGCAGCAAGTAACTATTCACAAGCTAGATTAGTGATGTAGTTGCCCGGCCTGCTAACGTAATGTATTATTGCTTTGAGCCATGTTTTCTTGTTTGGGAGTGAGATGGGCATCCTGTGGTATAATAGGAATTCGTGATGCATTTCGGTGCATAGTATACCCAGAAGCACTGTTGTTGTGTAATGAGTATACATTACTCGGATCCAAGACCGCAGTCTAAGTCGATAGTGAGTTAGTATAAAAAAAAGGGGATAAGACGTCATTCACACCCTCGTCACAACAGTAGACATGGGTAAAGGGGGAGAAAATATGATCAACTCAAGAAACAAAAGAACGATAACCAGACTTTCAGAGCAGACAAAAACAGGAAAGAAAAGAAGAGAGTGACAGACACAAGGGTTCTAAGAACCACAAGTTTTATACGCGACCATGAATTGACTTCTTCAAAACCCTCCCACAAGGCACAAAATAATATATACAGTTCAGTCCTTGAATTGCCATCACCAACAACTACCTATCTACCGGTCAACTTCTCCGAAAACCACAGAACACATTTTCGCCTTGGCATTGAAGTTTGAGATTTATATGTATATTTGGACAACGTGCATGCCAGGCCAGCAAAGCGACTCAATACACGAAAGAGAGCAATGGCAAAAAGCATCACCTGTCTACTTCTCCAAAAACTAGATCCATTGTGCCGATGATAGCGACAGCATCAGCCAGCATATGGCCTCTGGAGATCTGATCCATGCAAGCGAGATGGGCAAACCCAGGGGCGCGAATCTTGCACCTATACGGCCTCTCACTTCCATCCGAGACGAGAAAGACGCCCATCTCGCCCTTGGGGGCCTCTATAGCGCTGTACGTCTCTCCAGGAGGGACAGTGTATCCCTTGCTGAAGAGCAGGAAGTGGTGGATGAGGGCCTCCATATTTTCCTTCATGGCTGCGCGGGGCGGGGGCGCAATCTTGTAGTCTTCGACTTTGATAGGGCCGGCGGGCATATCGTTGAGGCACTGGTGGATGATGCGGAGGGACTGGCGGAACTCCTCCATGCGGCAGAGGTAGCGGTCGTAGCAGTCGCCGTTGACGCCGACGGGCACGTCGAAGTCGACCTTGTCGTAGGCGTCGTAGGGCTGCGACTTGCGGATGTCCCAGGGGACGCCGGAGCCGCGCAGCATGACGCCTGAGAAGGAGTAGTTGATGGCGTCGGCGGCGGAGACGGTGCCAACGCCCTTGGTGCGCCCGATCCAGATGCGGTTGTCCGTTAGCATCTCCTCGGTCTCGTCGATGCGGTCGCCGAACTGCGTGGCCCACTGGTAGATGTCGTCGAGCAGGCCGAGGGGCAGGTCCTGGGACACGCCGCCGGGGCGGACGTAGGCGGCGTGGAGGCGGGCGCCCGAGACACGCTCGTAGAATTCCTGCTCGTGTCAGTAGGTGCAGATAGCATACCCCAAATCATGTGACGTACCATCAGTTTCTCACGCTCCTCGAAGCCCCACAGGAAAGGTGTCAGGGCACCGACGTCCATGGCGTGGGACAGGACCGACATGAGATGGTTCAAGATGCGCGTGATCTCGCCAAACAGGGTGCGGATGTACTTTGCTCGGTCGGGGATCTCAATGTTCAGCAGCTTCTCGACGGCCAGGGAGAAGCACTGCTCGTTGGTCATCATGGAGACGTAGTCGAGGCGGTCGAAGTAGGGCAGGGCCTGCAGATAGGTGCGGTACTCGATCAGCTTCTCGGTGCCGCGGTGCAGCAGGCCGACGTGGGGGTCGGCGCGCACAATCTCCTCGCCGTTGAGCTCGAGGATCAGACGCAGCACCCCGTGGGCGGCCGGGTGCTGGGGCCCGAAGTTGACCGTGTAGTGGCGGATCCGCCTGTTGTTGGCCAGGTCCTCCTCCTCGCCGCCGGCAATGGCTTTGGCGGTTTCGGGCTCGACGGGGCTGGCAAACGAGTCGTCCGTCTGGGTCATGCGCGTGCGCAGGTTGGGGTCGACTTCGGCATGGCGGGGCAGCGTCGTCGACAGCAGGCGGGCGGCGGGCTGCCGTGTGTGTGTGCGGAGCTGTGGGCGGGCGGCGCTGAGGGTCTGGCGGGCGGCGCTCAGGCCCAGGCGGGAGGCGGCCAGGCGCGCAAGGGAGACGGGCATGGTGGTCGTGGCTGGCTCTGGCGGATTGCCCGGGTGGAGGCCTCAATGGGCGTGTGGAGGGGAGATATGCGCGTCGTGGCGTCGGGGGGGATCGGTCGTGGTTGGAGACATCATCACTTTCGACATGGCCGCCATTGGCTGTTAGTCTGCTGGTCGACGGCCTTGGCGGCGGCCGGCGGGTCAAAAAAGTTCGAGGAACACGGGCCCGCGCAACTTCCCCAAGCAAAGCCACCCAAACCACCCTCACCACCGCAACCATGCCTGTACCGAGCGCTGACGAGCTGGCGCGGCGGAAGGTCAGTCCGCAACTGCAGTCACATGATTGGGAGGTGCTGACTGTGCGCGTAGAAGCTGCAAATCGGGCCTGAGACGGTGGGCAACCAGGCCTCGACCGACTTCCCAGGACACTGGCCGGGCGAGAACCACGAGTGGGACCTGGACCTCTTCAAGGAGGTGCGCGTTCTCTCTCTTCACCCCGCCATACATGATCATGGTCTGACCCTCTCTCCCAGAACTTCAGCGTCACCTTCCACTCGCACTCAACCCACGACACGCAGTTCTCGCTCGTCGGCCTCGACACGTCCGTCGCCAACGCCTTCCGCCGCATCCTGCTCTCGGAGATCCCCACGCTCGCCATCGAGGATGTCTTCATCTACCAGAACACGTCCATTGTGCAGGACGAAGTGCTGGCCCACCGCCTGGGCCTGATCCCGCTCTGCGGCTCGCACGCCGGCCTCAACTGGATGAAGTGGTACAGCAAACCGACCGACGACGACGAGGGCAGCGGCACCCCCAGCGACTACAACTGCATCATGCTGAACCTGCAGGTCGAATGCACCTGGCAGGACGGCGGCCTGCAGCGCGCCGCAGCCGGCGAAACAGACCCGGACAAGCTCTACACCAACCACTCCGTCTACGCGCGTGACATAGTCTGGAGCCCCATCGGCAAGCAGCACGACATGTTCGCCTCGGAACCCGTCCGCTCCACAAACCCCGACATCCTCATCGTCAAGATGCGCCCGGGCCAGCAGATAAACCTGATGATGCACGCCGTCAAAGGCATCGGGCAGGACCACGCAAAATTCTCCCCCGTCGCCACCGCATCCTACCGCCTCCTCCCCACAATCGACATCCTGCGCCCCATCGTCGGCGCTGACGCAAAGAAATTCGCCCGCTGCTTCCCCCGCGACGTCATCCGCCTCGACGCCATCACCCCGCAGGACACCGAGAAGGACGTCGAACTCGCCGGCCAAGAAGGCCAGCTTAAAGCTGTTGTGAATAACCCCATGAATGACAGCGTCAGCAGGGAGTGTCTGCGCCACCCGGAGTTCAAGGATAAAGTCCGTCTGGGCCGTGTGCGCGATCACTTTATCTTTCAGGTGGAGAGCACGGGTCAGTGGGATAGCGATGAGCTGTTTTTGGAGAGTGTGAAGTTGTTGAGGGTTAAGTGTCAGAGGATTAAGAGGGGGTTGGATGAGATGATGAAGTGAAGTGAACTACTTTACTTTTCTTTTGGAGAGGGTGGGGTGTGGTGGGGCGAGGGGTTTCGATGAGCATTGCATTGCATGGCGTTTTTCTCTGTCTCTTTTTTTTTTGGAGGGGATGGCAGGTACTGGGGATAAAAGTCCAGTCACGATATATCATGAGGTGTATCCATCCATCTAGTATAGGGGGATGAATTGAAATGAATTGAATCAACACACAAATCAAGTCCATCCATCAAACAATCCATACTTAGAGCTAGAATACCACGAGTCCGAAAAAAATACTACCAGTACGACAAAAAAGCCGGGATAATCAAGAGACATTGCACGGGTGAGAAGATGTTTTATTTCTACACAGGCCCCAAAATCACGAGTGAAATTGGTACCAGAGATTTCGAGGGGGGAATATGTCTATTTCTAACCACGCTCAACCCTCCGAAGCAGCCGCACCGGTGATAATCTCGACAAGTTCGCCCGTAATGACGGCTTGACGGGTACGGTTGTACAGGATCTGGAACTTGTTGATCATGTCACCTGCGTTCTTGGATGCGTTCTGATATTGTTAGTAACTTGAATATCATGGGCGGTAAAGATAAACTCACGTCCATGGCGTTTTGACGCGCAGACTGCTCACAAGCGTGACCCTCGGCAAGTGCCTGTACTCCAGTCAGTATTTTAATCAAATCAGATCAATCACATTGCATACCCAGAAGAGAGAGTTGGCGAAAGCGTACTCGCGGAGGTTGGGGAGAACCTCGTCCTCGATCTCAAAGGCAGAGAATTGAGCTGTACACAGGTCAGACGTGAACTCAGATTAGTGATATTCCAAACATACGGGACTGCGAGATGGCCTCCTCGGAGAAAGCCTCCTGAACGGTAGCCTCATACGACGAAGCGTTGATGAACTTGTTGTACACAATCTGGATCGAGGCGTAATCGGTGGGGAGCAGAGAGATCTGGTCGGCAATGGCCGAGGCGTCGGCGAAAGTAGGAACGTCCTTTCCGGCACCAGCGAAGCTGACAACGACGTTCTTTGAGTTGGAACGGCCCAACTGCGCCTTGCACTTCTCGCCAACAATGGCAAGGTCGGCCTCGGGGGCTTCGAGAAGCATCTTCCTGACCCTCCTCGACATACCCGAGTGGATACCACCGCAGAGACCCTTGTCGGAGCTGCACACGACAATCAGCGTCTTCTTGCCCTCGCCCTCAATCGGCTTGGTCTCGGCGCTGTCGAAGAGCGTGTTGGACGTCTGGCCGTAGGTACGCGACGTGTGCATGGCCTTCTGGGCGCGCGTGAGCTTGGTCGAGGCGACAACCTTCATCGTCTTGGTGATCTTCTCAATGTTGCGAATCGACTTGAGGCGACCCTCGATTTCACGGAGAGTGGCATAGCCGGCGGCGTTGGTGGCAGTGAGGGTGGCGGGCCTGGTGATGCACAGTCTAGTCAGCACTTGATGCAGTTCGAGGTGCAATGGACATGGCGGGTGCGGTGCGAATAACGCGGGCAAAGCCATGGGCCGGGTGCAGCGTACCGGGCGGCGGCGGCCATGCCAGCCTTCAGAGCCGGGCGCGCAGCTCGAGACAGCATCATGGCGAGGAATTGAGATGAGTGGAGATGGCGACAGCCGGAGTGTGGTGGTTCTGCTGTTGCTGCAGAGCTTCTTCCGGCGGGCGTGCGGGAGCGTCGAGTCGAAAGTTGCTGTGCTTGGCGTCACGTGATGTCTCTCGAATGCACCCACGCTCACTATCGTAAGAGTGAAGATGGAGATTGTATGCTCGGATACTTGTATACGTCATAATTATATTTCTAAGTACCATATCAACGTCAAACATGTGTTTGACATGCCAGATTCCTCCGACGGACCGTTTGCAGAGTCGACATGGATTGAGAGAACGAGCACTGTCATCTCGACACACGTCTCATGCCTTTCCACATCACTGTACCTACCATATCTATTGTTGTATCTGCTGCAGATCTGTCCCCAGCAAATCTAATCCAATGAATTTCTCGGTCCAAAAACGCTCCACAGTGACGAACGTCCCATACGATGAATTTATCATGTCGAACAATGAGTTACTACACAAACGAGGCCTTGACCACAGGCAACGACCTTCTACAAAAACTGATAGCTGTGCATTTACCCAGAATAGCGCGTCTCGTATCACTGCCGCAGAGTCTGATCGTGCAACGCAGCCTCCGTTACGAGAATCACTTGCCCGATTTTAACAAGGCCGCGAGACCCGTGCGCAAGCGACTCGAGCGATCTGCTTGGTTCGCGGTCCTCCCTTCACTTAAACTCAGCATTCTCTTGCTTCGCCATCCATCATTTTCTTTCCTTCTCTCTCCACCACCACCGCTCTCTCGCGGGCCTTGCAGAGTGTCTGCGTGAGCCAAAGTCGCGCCCTGCCACTATCACAGCGCGTCTTTTGCGCTCACCCACTCACTTCTGCGAGATCTTTGAGGACTGCGCCAGACAAAGTTGGACACGTCAACCGCTCGATTTTCAGTTTTCACCGATTTCAGCGCGTACGAATTGCTCCCAAAATGTCTTCTTCAGATGATGACACGCCTCTCGTAAAGGCAAAGACAGGAGGTGAGTCTCTCACCAACTTAGCGCTAGTCTCCACGTCTATCTCACTCACGCGTCGAGCGCACCCCTCAAGCCCGACGCCATCACTTCCCATCTCACTCATCTCGCGCAACTCCTCCATACCCACACACATCTCAGCATGGCTAACCCTCCACTCGCTGCAGCCGTCTCACAAGATCGCATCCCCAAAGCTTTGGACAAAGCCATGGACAAACAGGCTCCTTCCAACGGCCATGTCGAGCCCGGCATATCCATCCGAATGGGGCCGGTCGACAAAATGGACGTCGACGAACCGGCCACCAATGGCAACACCAACGGGAAGCGCAAGGCCCGGGTCAGCACCACAAACGGGAAGACATATAAGGACGCAAGCAATTCGGAGGATGATGACAAACCACTGGTGCGTGTTATTCCTGGCCCCTCTGTATGCCCTATGCGCTAACTCTCTATAGAGTAAGCGACGACGAACATCGCAGCAAGCAAAACCACCCAAAGACGACTCATCGTCGGAGCTTAGTGACGTCCCTCTGAAGGCCAGGACTCTCCCCAAAGCCAGCGCCGAACAGATTGGGCAATCCTCGGATTCTGACACGCCTTTGACCACAAAACTCCTGAGGAAGAAGGAGTCGATCGAAAAGGCCGCCGACAAAGAAGCCAAGGCGATACGAGGCAAGGAGAAGGCCACAGCCAAGCGCAAGTCAAAGATCGCCAGCGACAGTGACGACGACATCCCTCTCGCGAAGAAGAAAGCGCCGGTCAAAAAAGGCAAGCAGGTCAAGAAGGAAGAATCCGACTCGGACGCGCCTCTTGCGAAGAAGCCTGCTGCGAAGAAGGCCAAAGCCAAGCCCGTCGTGACGACACCCGCAAAGAAAGGCAAGGGCAAAGTGAAGGCCGAGCAGACCGAGGAGGACCGCTTGGCTGAAGAGGAGGAGGAGGAATACCGTTGGTGGGAGGATGCGGGTAAGAGCGATGGAACCAAAAAATGGGATACACTCGAACATGCCGGCGTTGTATTCCCGCCAGAGTATGAACCTATGCCCAAACATGTCAAGTTCATCTATGATGGTGTGCCTGTTACCCTGCATCCGGAAGCTGAAGAGATTGCGAGTTTCTACGGAAGTATGCTAAACTCGGCACATAACGTTGAGAATCCCACGTTCAACAAGAATTTCTTCGAAGACTTCACAACTGTTCTGGACAAGACTGGACACGCCAAAGATAAGGATGGCAAAACCGTCAAGATCAAGACGTTTGAGAAGTGCGACTTCAAGCCCATCTTCGAATGGTTCGAATCGGAACGTGCTAAGAAGAAGGCTCTTCCAGCGGCCGAGAAGAAAGCTCTCAAGGCTGAAAAGGAAACAGAGGAGGCAGCTTTCATGCACTGCATGTGGGACGGTCGCAAGCAGAAGGTCGGTAACTTCCGCGTCGAACCTCCTAGTCTCTTCCGTGGCCGTGGTGAGCACCCCAAGACTGGTCGTGTGAAGAAGCGTGTCACGCCGGAACAGATCACCATCAACATTGGCGAGAAGGCCAAGGTTCCAGAGCCGCCGGCAGGCCATCGTTGGAAAGAAATCAAGCACGATCACGAAGGCACTTGGCTTGCTATGTGGCAAGAGAACATCAACGGCGCTTACAAGTATGTCATGCTTGCTGCAAACTCGGACATCAAGGGCCAGAGCGATTTCAAGAAGTTCGAAAAAGCGCGAGAGCTGAAGAAGCACATTGATCACATTCGAAAAGATTACAGAAAAGAACTCAAGTCCGAGAAGATGGTTGATCGTCAGCGGGCTACCGCCATCTACTTGATCGATCAGTTTGCGCTCCGTGCGGGTAACGAGAAGGGCGAGGACGAGGCAGACACCGTTGGCTGCTGTTCCCTCAAGTTCCAGCACGTTACATTGAAGCCTCCGAACACGGTCATCTTCGACTTCTTGGGTAAAGACAGTATCCGTTTCTACGATGAGGTGGAGGTGGACCAGCAGGTCTTCAAGAACCTCAAGATCTTCAAGAAGGAACCCAAGACGACTGGAGATGACATCTTCGATCGTCTGACTGTGAGTAGTAACTCAATCCCTCATGAATCCCAACTGACATTCATCAGACCTCTGCGCTGAACAAGCACCTGACCAACTACATGGCCGGTCTGACTGCCAAAGTCTTCCGTACCTACAACGCTTCCTACACCATGGCCAGGTTACTCAAGGAAATGAAAGCCAAGGGCACGATTCAAGAAAAGGTCAAAGCATACAACGACGCCAACCGTGAGGTTGCTATCTTGTGTAATCATAAGCGTACTGTTGCTGCAGGCCACGCTGGATCTATGGAAAAGATGATCGAGAAGGTTTGTTGAGTCCTATGCATTGTGTGCAACACATACTGATCTCCCCCAGATTAACGGTCTTCGCTATCAAGTCTGGAGAACCAAAATGATGATGATTGATGTGGACACGAAGGTCAAGAAGAAGAAGGGCGCTGAGTACTTTGAGCGACCTGAGGACCTTGACACGGAGTGGATGAAACAACACCAAGAGGCAGAAGTCGAAGAGCTTCGCCAGAAGATCACGAAGAAATTCGAAAAGGATAACGAGAAGCTTGCCGCTGAGAACGAGAAGGAGATGAAGCCCAAGGAACTTCAAGAACGTCTTGAAAAGGCCACCGAGCTCGCCGACAAGTACAAGAAGGAGAACAAGACCGGCAAGGTCGAGGCTGAGGGCAAGGGTCCAACGGTTGACAAGCTTGAAACGGCTGTGGAGAAGCTGAACCAGCGTATTGAGAACATGAAGATCCAGATGGAGGACAAGGAGGGCAACAAGGAGGTTGCCCTGGGCACATCGAAGATCGTAAGTTTGCTTGAAATATATGGGCAGTTTGAGAGGAAAGCAACTAACTGGATGGTAGAACTACATCGACCCCCGTCTCACCGTCGTCTTCTCCAAGAAATTTGACGTCCCGATTGAGAAGTTCTTCTCCAAGACGCTACGTGAGAAATTCGATTGGGCCATCAAGTCCGTCGACGAGGACTGGGAATTTTAGATCATTGTTATTCTGCACGCTCGGGGGTGCTTTCATCGTATCAGATCAGATCAAGGCGTGGATGGGAATGGGAATGGGAACAGGCATGGGGAAGGAGGGGATGGTGATCTTCGGCGTATAAAAACATGCAACCTTTGTACAACAACTGTTTGGGTCGGTCGGTCGGTCGGGTTCGGATGGCTTTGGCTTTTCTGTACTCTTTGCTCTTCTTCTTCTTCTGCGTCTCCGAATGGCTTTGCGATTCAATTGCAATACCGCATAAACTGGTAGAATTTTGCTAAGCTAGGCCTGATCAGGCAGGAGGTTAATACTAATTAGATAGCAGAACCTAAACTACTAAGTAACGTTAATCTATTAATACACAGTTATACATCTATATAGGCTAAAATTACTACTATTTAAATACTATCCTATAACTCTACTACTATTTAAGTACTCTTAAGTATATAGCTGCAGTTTTAGTAACATTATAGGCGTTTTTAGGTAGAATTTAAAGAAGTTAAGATAGTTTAAATTATAGTAACTACTACTTATCTAGGTATTAAGCTCTACTATTTTATTAACTACTTTATAAGGTTTTATAAGTTTAGCTAGTAGCTTAACTAGCAAATATATCCTTATATCTATTTTATCTATCTTTATTATAATACTATACTTTACTACTATCCTTATTATAGCTAAGGCTTTTAGGTAAGGTGTAAACTATTATAAACTTATAGTAAAAAAATTACTATTAAGTAAGCTACCTTTTTAATTAGGATATAAAGATTTAGGAGTTTTAATATAAGACTAAGTACTTTAGAGTTCTATTATAAGCCTTAGTACTAGAGTTAGAATTTAATAATTTTAAATAGCTATCTTAACTTTATTTATAATACTAATTAATACTTAACCTTATACCTAAACTTAGCTTATATAAACTTAAACTTAGAGCTATTATCTATATAGTAGTAAGATAAGTTAGTAAAGCCTATACTCTTAGTAAATTACTCTAGAGTAATATAAATTTATACTAATTTAGCTAGATTTTTATATAGTTAAAAGCTTTAAAACCTTATAGTAACTCTATAAGTCTAACTAGCTTTAAGCCTTACTTTACTTTACCTACTCTACTAAGCTTACTTTTTAGTATTATATAACTCTAATAGCTTAATAAGCTTAGCCTTTTATATTAGTAGGCCTCTTAAGCTATACTATTTAAGGTTTTCTTATAAGTCTACTATAGTCTATACTTCTATATTTATTAGGTATTTTAGCCTTTTTATTATAGGCTTTCTTTTAGGCTGTGTAATTTTATTAGTACTTTATAAACTTAACTTATATAGTATATACTAACTACCTTTACCTTTTAAAAACTTCTATTTAACCTTCTTATCTAATATAAACTTACTTTTTATATTATTAATATTCTACTTAGCTACTATCTATAAGGCCTTTAGCGCTGTAAGCTTTACTAAATAATTATTTATTTTAGTTTACTAGCTATTAAAGCTTACCTACTTAAGATTCTTAATTTTAAGCTTATAATTATATAAGCTATTAATAGGTAATAAGATTCTATATTATTAAAATAATTATATTATAAGCTTAGGCTTAAGAGCCTTTTAAGCTTTACTAATAGTATATATAGTAAGCCTCTATTACTACTAAGAAGGCTAGTCCTTAATTAACTTTATTTTACTAAGGCTCTTCTTAATAGTAGTAAGAGCTTTAGTCTAATACTAAAGTACTACTTTAAAGGCTTAATTAACTATAGTATTAAGTAGCTAAATAAGAGATATATAGCTAGAAAAAATAATAGTAAGTAATATCTAATTTATATAAAGTAAGTTAAGTACCTTATTAGTTTAATAAAAGCTTACCTAGTTTAATATAAGTAAGAAATTATACCTATTAGTAGACTAGAGAGGTATAAACTCCTCCTTTAACTAGTTTAGGAGACTTTTTTTATTATTATATACCTTATTATTAAACTCTACTATTACTACGTTACTATATATAAAATCTTCTTAACTTTTAAGGTCTTTCTTAGTAGAGCTATAGAAGATTATCTTTAGCTTTATAGGCTTAGAGCTGTTAGTAAAGATATATAGTATTAATATAGCTTAGCACTTACCTTAGCCTAATTTAATACTACGTCTAGAGATTATATAATTACTAGTATAAGTATAAGTATAACTATCTAAATACTTAAAGGGAATTAGTATCTTATCTATATTTAGAATATAAGTAGCTAGGTACTAATTACTACCTATTTTAACCTATAAATACTATTAAATAAACCTTAAGAATAAATTAATAATACTAACCTAATTCTTAGAAAGTTTTTAAGCTTAATTAGTAAGCCTTCTATAGGAGATACTCTATTATTTTTTAAAGCCTAAGAACTAACTAATAGTAAAGGAAAACTTAAGCTTAACTTTATATATCTTATAGAATAACTATTAGGCTATACACTAGAACTAGCTACTAGAAATAAGTTAATTACTTAAACATTATTTAATAAAGCTCTAATATAACGCCTTCTCTAGGGCTAGCTAATATAAGGTAGAAATTAGAGATACTACCTAATAACTAGTCTTTAAAGCTTATATAATAGTAGCTTATTAGTACTACTAATTTCCTATTATCTAATATAGGATTCTGTAATAGGCTTAGGCTTTACCTATACCTTAGTCTTAGCTTAGTAGGACTAGAGAGATATATATATATATATAGGATTCTTCTCTACTCCTTAGAGAATATAATACTATTATTAATACTTATTATAGCTTAACTCTAAAGCTAGTTTATAATATTTATATTCTCTCTTCTAAAAAATACTCTTTTATAAAAAATAGGATAGATAGTATTACTTAAAATTATCCTCTCCCTACTAATAATATTATAATATAGGATATCTAGAATAGACTTTAGGAATTATAGAAGTAATAGGAAAAGAATTAGGCTATAATAGCTATATTATAATAATAGCTAAAGGATTTATAAAACCTCTATATTACTATTCTAGAACTCTAACTAGCCTCTCTAGGTAGAGCTCTAGTATTAGTATCTATACTACTAACTCTAGGACCCCTTTAGAATAAGGCTAGTAGGAGTATAGACTAATAAATACTCTAGCAGAAGCTACTCCCTATAGAAGAACTCTTTTTAGGTAATAAGATATACTTTAAAGTATAAAAAGTTACTATTATATATAAGCTATATACTAATAGTAAGTTTATTAGAAACTTATAAAACTAGTTTATATTTATCTAGGCTAACTTTAGTACTACTGTTTAGAAGAAGGTTATAGTATACTATAAGGCTAAAGGTAAGAATAGACTATAGAACCCTATATACTTTATAGAATATCTTAAGTTCTACTATAGTAATAATTATAGTAAAGAATAGGCCTAGGCTAAACTTAAGAAAATTTACTAAGAAAAGGTAGAGCTATTTTCTAAGTTCTTTATTTAGTTTAAGTAGCTTCTAGTATAAAGTAGTAGTAGTAGCTAGGACTATAAGCAGAAGCTTAGCAAAATATAGTAGGCTCTAAATAGTAATATATAAATAGTAGCACTTTATTAAGGAGTTTTACGTATAAACTATAATCTTACTATTAAAAAATATAAAGTAATTATAGTAGATATTAAGACTATAGCTATTAAGGTATAGATATAATTAACTTTACAGAAACTAGCTCTACTAAAGCAAGATTAGAATAGTAATATCTAAATAATCTATATTAGAGTAGTAAGAACTAAAAATAATATAAACTAGTAGGTTCTACGTAGTTAGAATACTAAGGTAGAACTAAAATAGGCTAATTAGGTTTCTAAAGATCTTTTCTACTAACGTAAAGCTATAGGCTTATATATATAATATAAAGGAAGTAGATACTATCTCTAGGATTATACTAACGCTATATCTACTAAGTTAGTAAGAATTTATATAGTATAGTCTCTTTAGGTAGATAAGTATTTAAGAAACTAAGGGCCTTTAGTTAAAACCCTAATTAGAAGCTTTATAAAAATACTATAGTAGAGAAGCAGCTACTCTATTAGAAAAGAGATAAAATTATAGTAAATATTAGTAATTAAATAGATAAGTTACTATTTTTAATACCTCTCTTTCTTAAGTATACTAAATATATAAAAGTATTAGTTAATTTAGGGTATAAGTATTTTAGGGTAATTAGTAAGAGGGTTATAAAGAGGATAAGGCTAGAGCTAGTAGATATTCTACTATAAGTACTATAATAGGCAGTAGGCCTACTTTCTAATACTTAGATTACCTAGTTAGCTATCCTAAACTATAACTTAGATAGCTAGTTAAGGTATATAGTAGCCTACGTAGTACTAGGCCTAGTATATAATATAATTCTAGGAAAACTATAGATAAGATAAGAATAGGTTATATTAGACGTAGCTTAAAACTAGTTAGTAATTAAATAGGTAAGTAATATAACTATTAAGAAATATAGTAGTAGACCTTAGGTATCCTTAAAGAATTATATAGAGGTTAGAAGAATAAAAGACCTAACTTATAAGAATATAGTATTAGAAGTAGTACTAACTTAGATCTACTCCTTTAGCCTATAGGATATAACTTATACTATTAATACTATAAGAATAAAGTAGAGTACTATAGAATTAAATAGAACTATAATACTAACACTACCTCTAGAACTAATAGACTATATAGACCTCTTTAATAAAGATAAAGCATTAAAACTACCTCTATATAAAGGCTAGCTAGATTATTATATATAACTTTAATAAGATAAAGATAGATAGGAACTAGAATTACTATAAAGTCTACTATACTCTATATTATATAACTAGCTACTAGAACTTTATAGGTAGGTAATAGAACTTATAAATAAGAGATAGATTTAGGTAAGCTTATTCTTTATAAAGGTACTTATACTACTTATTAAGAAACTATTAGGAGGATAGAGGCTATACGTTAACTACTAAGGGCTAAATAAGATTATAGCTCTAAACTAATACCTACTT